GGTCAAGCTGATCAGTGCAGGGGTGCAGGGCAAGGCCCCCAGCCCAGGCCCATGCAGGTGGGGAAGAGGAGTGCCCCAGGGAGAGGGGGCCCCTGAGGGCTGAGGGCACGGCCCCAGGCCTGCGGTGCCAGGTCTGGTGGCGGGGCACCGGGTAACTCCTCCCTCCTCTTGGCCTTGGGAAACACGAGGTCAGCCTAAGCGGGCTCGCCTACCAGCCCAGAGGCAGCAGGGCTCCTGCTGAGAAACCGTAGGGCAGCTTCCTGCCGGGAAGGCAGAGGTCAGCATGGGAGCCACACAGCACTGGTGCCTGCGTGCCCCGCCGAACACACTCAAGCCAAGGGGCGAAAATAAAAGCTCGGGCTCATCCAACAAGAGACGCGGTGGGTCCAGCTCAGGCAGCGGCTGCCGCTCTGGGACATCTGGTCCACGTGAGTCCAGGTGACCTTCCTGGTCAGGTGAGGAGCAGAGGACGCCACCGATCACATAACTGCCAGACTTCGGGGTAGGAAGAACCAGGGCTTCGGAGGCAGGCATCCCTGGATTCTAATTCTGCTCTCCCTCTTACTGCCTCCTGCAGATACTCACAGAAGCCTGTGTCCCCATCTGCAACATGGGGTTAGTGACAGAAGGGCCTACCTCCGGTCACTTTCGTGAGGATTGAGTGAGGTCCATGTATCCAGCCTGCCTGACACGCAGCCCATGCTCAGAGGTGGTAGCCATGGTGACGGTTAATGGGGGGCAGGTGTCCACAGGGCTGAGCGAACTCTCCACAGGCCCCCAACCTAACAGAGCTCAATCGCCACAGTCTCTAACTCATAACGTTTTCTTCTTTCTCACAAAACGGTTAAGTGGGAGGAAACTAAGTGAGATTTAATTGGTGGGCTATCCTATTTTTCAAATAAGTGAATTCCCAAAGCCGAGGGGAAGAGAATGTCTTTGCCAGGTGAAGTGACGCTGGCTCCATGGAAATTTACGATCGATCAATAAACAGAGGTCCCAACAAGAAGGAACTGCCTCAGAAAAGCCCACAGATTTCTCTATCCACGTTCCTGGCACATTTCGGCCAAAAGAGGGCAGAACACAAAAAAAGAGAAAATAACATTTACCAAGCGATGCTCTGACTTGGAATCAGGTGGCCTCTGAACCTAATGCTACTACTAACAGCTGCAGGACCTTACATAAGTCACTTAATCTTTTGGCCTCAGTTTTCTTACCTGCAAAATGGGAATAATATCTCATGGGAAGACGAGCGAAGAAGAGTAAGCATAATGTATGGAAAGTGCTATTTTGGTTTCTCTTGAACGCCACTCACAAGGGGCTCACCACTGCCCCTGTCAGGGGGCTGGGCAGCCTCTTACTAACAATACTTCAGGGTTCAACTTCCACAAAAACATCGTTTGTTACTAGTTCCAACCACTCCCTTCATTCTTCTTAAGACCATTACTGTCACCCGGCTGGTGTGGCTCAGTGGTTGAGCATCAACCTATGAGCCAGGAGGTGATGGTTCAATTCCCAGTCAGGGCACGTGCCTGGGTTTCAGGCTGGATCCCCAGTGTGGGGGTGCAGGAAGCAGCCAAGCAAGGATTCTCTCTCATCATTGATGTTTCTAGCTCTCTTTCCTACTCTGAAGTCAACACAAATATATTTTCTGAAAGATCATCACTGTCAAGACAGTCTGCCCAGTGTACACATTTGCAAGTTAATTCTATGGAAGAGGTATACTAAATGATTTGCATTGTCCAGTTCGTGTCAGAACCCTTCTTCTCCGTTCCAGTCCGACCTTGCTTGGCCTGTCCTGGTTTGAAAGCAGAGGTGACATGGCTGCGGTCACGTGGCCCCAGGGGAGACTCTTGGGGAAGAGACTTCGACATCAGGCAGCATGACGGGCGACAGAGGTGGGGCGCTGTGGAGACGGGACGCCCTCGGCTTGTGACAAGCTTGTGGCTCCCGTGGGTCCCGTGGGTCCTGGGGGACTGGCCTCGGAGGGATCGGCAGACGGAAAAACCTGACGCGCCCACAGCTGTGAGTTCCCCGGTGTGATCCTCCCCAGGCGGCCGCAGTATTCCTCCAGCAGGTCCCCCGGCTCCATCGCCGTCCTCCACCTGATCGCTTTCCACCTGCCCCGGATGGGTAGACAGCTCCACGTACAGATGAGGGGAAAAGAGGTCCGGAGCAGTTAATAACCTGCCCAGGGTCACCCAGCAGTGAGAGGCAGGCCCACTGGGAACAACCTCGGAATCTAGGCATTTGCAGACTGTGACCCATCCCGCCCTCGGGCATCTCAGATGCTGTCTGCACGCACCAACGCCAACAGGACTCCGCGAGGGAAGGAAGACAGAGTCCGTTCCTTGGCCCGTCTCCAAGCCAGTAGTGAATACCGGCCAGTCTGGTCAGGTGCAATGTGTGGGGCCCTCTCTGCCCTCTGCTGTCAGGGCTGCCCCTGGGACTGGGGGTGGGGGGAGTGAGGGAGGGCGGGGAGCAGGAGTCAGTATGTGCAGTGGGTCAGACACAGCCCTGGGGCCACGATCCTGCTCCAACTCTTGCCAGTCATGTGACCTTGGGCAAGTAGCTCTGCTCTCTAGGTCAACACGACATAAAAATAGCAGCCGAGAACTCGTATTGAGCGTTTACCAAAGCCCTGGCCTTGCATCCTTTCACTCCATGACCCCAGCCATTGTCTGAGGCAGAAGGTATCACTGTCCCCATTTCACAGATAAAACTTCAAAGAACCCTGAGGGGGTGGGGAAGACATATCCGCACCAAGTTCAGCTCCGGGCTCCTCCGGCCCCCGGCTAGTCCCGGGGCCAGCAGACACTTCCTGTAAGGGGCCAGGTGGTAAGTGTTTCAGGGTTTCGGGCCACACAGTCTCAGCTCTTCCACTCTGCCGCCGCAGCCACTGTGTCAATGGCGGGCTGGGCTGTGTTCCAACGTGACCTACAGACTCAGAGGCTGTGGCGGCGTGGGCCATGGTGCTGGCCCCTGACCTAGGGAATGGCCAATCCCGCCCCATGTCCACCTGTCCCTGACTCTCTTCTTCTACGTGCCCGAGCCCCACTTGCGGGAGAGAATGACCTGTGAGGATATGAGGTAATAGAGCAGAGAGGACCCAGGGAAATGGAGGGCGGCAGGGAGGGGGGGTCACAGGCCAGGGAACCTGCTGGTCTCCATCAGCAGCGAGTGGCGGAGCCCCAGCAGGAACAGTGTTCGGTCAGGGCGGCAGGGAAAAATGGTCATGGTCTTCAGAAGCAGGAGGGACACCTGCCTGGCGGAACCAAGACCCCCGGTTGTGATGGAGGTAAAGGAGCAGGTGTGGACAGCAGGAAGCATCAGACGGAGGGCTGAGATATGGCTCATCTCCAGCGCTTGGGGGTGAGGGTAGAGGGTGGGGGAGAGAAGCAAATACAGAGAGAAACTAAGGCAGAAGTCCATTCAAAGAGCAGGAGAGAAGATGGGGTCAGAGACGCTGTGGGTGACTGAGCTTTGCCTACTGGTAGGACAGGCCAGGAAGATCCTGCTGCCTGTGGCAGGCGAGACCAGATGGGGAAGAGCAGCCAGGGCCCCCACCTCCGCCTGCTTCCATCACCCCTCTCAGCATCCCCGCACAAAAAGGGAATGGCACATCGCAGCCCTGGCTGAGCCCGCTGGGTAGCTCAAGGAAGACCCATAGCCTTAATCAAGTCCATTCAATTCAGCAGACATTCACTGACCAGGTGCTCCATGCCGGCCCTGGGGACACAGCCGGGATGCCCCCTGAGAGCTGCCACGGCTTACAAGGGAGGTGACACGTGCGCAGCTTCCCCCCCCGCACAGAGGAACAGGCTCACAGAGCGTGACCGGGCGCCACTGCCCAGAGGACTCTGCCTGGGGGAAGGCCCCTCAGGGGATTTGTTAGCAAATAAGAATGATCATTTCTATAATCAATACACGAACCTATTGGTTCCCTGCACATTTTCACAAGAACAAAGATCTGCCCCATCTTTCTAGAACTCATGTGAAACCTTTCAACATCCGAGGACTTTTTCCCCCTGAGAAGCGTGAAGGTATCAGGCTTCCCGGAAAAAAAGAAGAGCCGCGTACTAACCAACACGAAAAAGAGAGAGAGAGAGAGAGAGAGAGAGAGAGAGAGAGGGAGAGAGAGAGAGAGAGAGAGGCATTGTCTCAGGCCCTTCATGTCCTCGGAGGAGGATGGACTTAAGCAAATGTGCGTGCCCCTCACCCAGCGAGCAGAAAGCAGGCCCCGTCCTCTCAATAACGGTACGTCAGCATTCAGGGGCGTTCCAAGTGTTCAAAGCTCAGAAGAAACCGATATCAGGAACTAAACTCTAGCTCTGTACACTGGTTTTAAAAAACCCCAGGCTCACAACGGTAATAAAAAAAAATGCATTTAATAGCATGTCATGGTACAGCTTAAAGGTATATCAAGTCTTCTTTCAGTCAGTGCATTACAGGGAGAGAGGAGGGAGGCGCCGTCTGTGAACGCAGTCAGGTGTAAGCACGGGCGCGGCCGGATCTCGGCGTGCCCACGCTATTAAAATCCCGAGTGGGGACACGCCGCTCGGAGCCCGCGCCCCGTGCCAGAGCGGGGACACGTCTGCGATCTACAGTTTTCAATTGAGTTTGTATACAAGTCTTAACAAAAGAATAGAATTTATTATTCACAAAAAACGGAAGTGGTTATCATAAAGCGTACAAGAAAAGTGCAGCCTAGAACGAATGCATTGAAAAACTAGTTTTAAAAATCATAAAGACATACCAGACAGTTTCTGGAAAACGATAGTATCCTTATAAAACAAAGGGGACGATCGGCACAAGTTTGACCACCTAGTTTCTAAGTGCACTTTGTAATGGTCCTCGCGAGCTGCCTCTTTTCCCAGGAGAAACGACAAAAAGCTTCGGCCACGCGCCTCACGGGCGTAGGGTGACGGTCGGGGTGTTTTGTGTTTATTGCATCGCCAAGAGTGGGGTTGTTTTTTGTTTTTTTTTTAAGAAAAAACACTACAAAGGTTTCAAAAACCCTATTTATTCTCTATCATCAAAAATAGCAACAGGGGGGACTTATACAACTTTTCTGTGAGTACCCACCAGTCTATTTTGTTTTTGTTTTGTTTTCTTAAAAAAAATAGAAGTTAGATAAAGAAAAATGATTTGGTTTCTTAAAAAATAATGTAAGGAAACACTTAATCAGATAGCCCAAGGAGTCGTCGGAAATATGTGTTAGCAAGAAAGCTTCGTGGGCGGCCCCCCGCCGGCCTCTGCAGGTCTGGGACTAAGCTAGAGAGAGGGTGTACAGTGCCAGCCGGGGCCCCCGCCTGCCCGATCCGGGCGTGTCCTGTCGAAACCCGTTATTGCTAAACCAGAATGTTGTCGCGGAGCAGCCGGGGCGCCGCTCAGAGCGGGTAGAACTGGGAGGCCGCCTCGGAGGACTGGATCTCCACCTGGGCCATTTTGAAGCGGGTGCACTGCAGCCACTTGCGGAGGGCGGCCAGGCCGGTGCCGCTCGGGGCCGCGCCGCCAGGCAGCGTCCTCAGGCTGTGGTGGTTGACGTTGTTCTGGATGGCCTGCAGGCGCAGCTGGAGGCCCCCGGAGAGGTGCTGCGGAGAGAGGGCGGGACGCCTCCTTCAGTGCTCTCCTCCCGACGTTCCCCGTGGGCCCCGTTCGGGGGGAGGGGTGTGGGCAGCCTGCACTTGGGTGGGCACAACTCAGTGGCCCGGGGGCCATCTGGCCCGCAGCAGCCCAGCTCTCGGGCTTGGCAGCGCTCAGGGCGGTGGCTGTGAGCCGGTACCATGTTTCTAGAGTCGACCTGGCCCACATCCATCCAGAGCGGGCCATTCCTAGCTCAGCTCAGCCATCACCACGGAAACCGAGAGCAACATCAGTGCCCGGGCCAGCGCCGCTGGGTGCCCCCGGGAGCTGTGCACAACGGGAGCCTGCTGTGGCCATGGAGTGCCTGGGCTCCCTGGGTTCAAACCCTGGCTCCTCTCTGGGCAGCGCTGGACACAAACTCTTTCAGGCCGTGCTTGGGTTTGCTCACCTCGAGGGTCTTTGTACGGATACGTGCGCTAACGGAGGGTTCAGAACAGGGCTGGGCACAGGGTCAGTGCTTACTACGCTCTAGTCCTGAGTGCGATCTCCCTGCTCTTATGTCTCCTAGCTTTTCACCGAGTTCCGGGGGCCTCCTCTTGGCAGTCCATCCCCATCAAATGGCCACGAGTTATCACCCCGTCGGGGAGGGGCAACCTGGAAGCCCAGGCACTTTCCCCTTCAGCACAGGCCTGGGTGAGGTTCCAGGTCCCAGCGGACAGACCGGACCCCCCGTGGCTCGGGACTCAGCCTGTGGCCGCGGAAGGCTGCGTTTCTCCCTTGGTGCCTGGGTACCTTGACGTCACGTCACCCCCTCCTCCTTCCAGCATCCCTCCCTGACTCCGAGAAGGCTGTCCTCTGCCCCGGCCCCCCCCCCCCCCCCCCCGCTCCCAGGGCCGTCAGGGGGCCCCGTCGTGGGTGGAGCGGGTGGGCGGCTTCGGCATCTCAGTGCCAAGCCCTGATAACTGTTCACTAGCCATGGAGGATCTCTGGCCCTACGACAGACAGCAATGCATCCCTCAGGGCAGGGGCCGCGGCAGGAAGTACGCTCCCGCAGGGCTGCCCCCTCCCGGCTGCTGGGCCCTGTCCAAGCACCTCCTCCTCCTGGTCCTGGTTTCCTCTCGTGTAAAATGAGGGGGCGGGGCAGGTTCCTTCCAGCTCAGTTCTACCCTTCCTTCAACACTATTCCTTCTTGATAGAATCCTTCCCAGCACAGAAGGACAATGCTAGTGACCAGGGAATGGCACCGGGCAGGCCTGGGCCGGACCCACGGGGCCCCTCTGAAGGCAACTTTTCAGCCTGCATTCCCGGCAGGCCCTGAGCCTCAGCCGGACCCTGGGACCCACCCCACCCCCGGCCCCCCACCCCCAGAGGCTCCCGCGGCCACCCGGGCTGCAGGCCTCCTCCCTGGCCCACAGGGGCTCCCGTACGGAGGGCTGGGAGCCGGAGCAGGCAGAGCTCATCTTTCTCCACAGTGAGAGGAGCCCGAACGGGCCCTGGGAACGTGAGGCCGTTCTCCGGAGGGAAGGAGCCTGTCCCGGGGGTGGCTTACCTTGATGTTTGACTGGATCATTGGCAGCCACATAGGAATCAGCTGGAGGAGAAACACAGAAGCCTCGTTAGGACTGTTCCCTTCTCCCACATAAGCTCCCCCAAGCCGAGGGACAGCGGGGCACACTGACTTCCTTGGACATCACAAGAGGATGCTGCGGAGTACCCGTTATCAAGAAAGTGTATTTCTGCCCGGCCGGCGTGGCTCCGTGGTTGAGCATTGACCCTTGAACCAGGAGGTCATGGTTGGATTCCCGGTCAGGGCACAGGCCCGGGCTGTGGACTTGATCCTCAGGAGGGGGCATGCAGGTGGCAGCTGATCGGTGATGTTTCTCTCTCATCAATGTTTCTACCTCTCTCTCCCTCTCCCTTCCTTCCTCTGAAATCAATAAAATAAATAAATAAAATCCATAATTTAAAAAATGCTAGCCATCCATTACTTATTTTTTAAAAAGCTATGTCTTCCTGTGGCCAAACCCTGCTGCGCTGGTGGCATTTGGAGGTTGACAAGTGCCCCTGAGCTCCTGAAACACACCCTTCAGAGCCAATGACTGACTGTCCCTTGAAAGCTTTCAAGCACAGGAAATTAAATGGGTATTTATTTAATTAAATCCCCACTTTCCTGAAATAGGACTCCCTCCATGGAGCTTTGGAATTGAGTCTTAGGAGCATGGCGACTCTCTGTCCGCAGTCATTAAGAAATCACCACTGGGAAGCGGCCGGGATGTCTCAGTGATAGAAAAAGACAAGGCCCGGCATTGCCTGGTGTGACAGGGAAGGAGAGACCCAGGGAGTGAGTTGGGCCAGGGTTCGAGAGGGGTGGGTGCACAGGCAGGGGGGCGGAGAGGAGGCCCTGAGCGCGCAGGTGGCCGGGGTGCCGGTCCCTCCGCTGCCTCGGATTCACCCTCCCCGGGAGGGCCAGGTGCCCAGGCTGAGCGCCCTCAGCGGGGGCTTTGCTGTCCGCTCTGCGCGCTCGGCCACGTTTCCGCCCTCGGAACAGGAGTGAGCATCCGTGGCCCGGCGAGTCCGGACAGGATGCAGCTTTCCGAACGTGTGCTCCGCAGAAATCAAGCTTGGGGGGATTTAAACCAGGAATGACCCTATACGTTTGAGAACGCTGGTTTCTTTATTTGTTTAACGCGCTGATCAGCATCTTATCGTTTCCCCCAATGTGACTTCCCACGGATTGAATTGTGTCCCCTCAAACAGACGCTGGGATCCTTACCCACTCAGCCTCGATGCGGCCTTATCTAGACATGGGGCCCTGCAGATGGATTAGTTAAGATGAGGTCATTCTAGAGTAGGGGGAGGGGGACTCCTCATCCAATATGACTGGTGTCCTTGTGCAAAGGGAGAATTTGGACACAGATTCAGGAGAATGCTGGGTGAGGCGAAGGCAGAGATCTACAGGCCACAAACCACCACACACCCAGTGACCCACCAGCAGTGCAGGGAGAGGCCGCCAGGTACCCCTGGCCCCAGAAGGAACCACCCTGCCGCCGCCTGATGGCCTGCTCCAGCCTCCGTGTCTGTCATTCACACCATCCCATCCCATGCCCTGTAACAGCGGCCCTGGCAAAGTCACACAAGAGCCCCCCCACCCCCCGGAAGTAAAGCCCGGGGCGGGAGTGTACAGAGAGATGTGGGGCAGCAGGGGCCCACGTGATGCTGAAGGTGTGGCTCTCCAGAGAGGGCCAGGAGCAACCAGCTTAGAAAAGCAGAGGGGCGGCCTCCCATCATCGGCCACAGAGGACCTGGGAAGCCACGTGAGGAGATTAGATCTCATTCCGAATCCAATACAACGTCTGAAGAGGGGCCCACTCTCCATGAGCAGACGATGCTCCAGAAAGATGACTGTGGCGCCGTCTGCAGACGAGGGTGCGGGCGGGTAGGGAGATCGGAGGCGGGGGCCGGTGTGGGGCGGCCTCCACGGTCCAGGTCAGACCAGGGATGGCTTCTGGGATGGAGAATGATGCTGCCTGCAGAGGTCTCCTGGGAGGGTCTGAGGACGAGCCTGCTCTTTGGAGCAAAGACAACGTCAAAGAAAAAGCTGAGGTTTCTAGCCTCAGCAGACAGGAGGACAGCGATGCATTGAACACAGTGAGAACGAGGAGGAGAGACGTGGGGGATAGTGTATAAATGACCTTTCTCTTCACGTGTACGGCCATAGACTGCCGGTCTCATTTAATGCATCAAAACCTTAAAAACAGAATGATAACCTTGGTGAAGGGATCAAATCCAGTGCTCTCTGTGCCCTTGTCCCCAGGGCCAACTCTGGCTGCTGTTTGATATGTGCATTTGATGTGTGCATAACTTGCTAATCTGACTTGCAGGGATATTGACTTCTAACACAGGGCTGATGGTGCAGCAGCTAAGGTTCAGTTTCTAACATAAATATTGTGATTAGAAATGGGGTTGGTGTGTCCCCAAAGATGTCATTGGACGAACACGCAACATACTAGGAAGTCACACCCTCTCCCGTACTCCTCCTGCCACCGACACTCATCACAAACTGTAGGATCACACACGTTGGTGCCAGAGAAGGCCGTGTGCTCAGACAGTCTTCACTGGAAAAAGTAAACGAGTAAAACCGCTTCCTCCTGGCGCCTGTACAGCAAGAACCAAACCCTGCGGTCCTCACGTCTACAGACTTTTATTGACTCTTGGCCTATCTGATGTGGCAGCAGGCCCATATGCCTCTTGATATTTGGGGAATCCTTGAACTGGCTCCTTGTTAAGAATCCTGAGGGACAGGGCGGGTAGGAGCCAGGGAAGGCTGGACACTCCTCCCCCTGCTGTCTCTGGATGAGGCCGTCAAGGGGAAGAGTGAGGTTGGTGTTAGTAGGGGTTTTTTATTATTTCCCCATGGAGGTAACATGCGGCCATAAGATTCTAAAGTATAATATACCTACAAGGGACCTTCGGGTTTGTGATTGGTGAGTCACGTGACTGAGGACTTTGGGTTAAATCTCATTAAGATTGAGAGTGTTATATAACCCAGCAGTCATCCTATTTCAGGAATGCTAATTGGACGTACTGAATAGCATTCATTTCAGGTCCTTTTTGCTAGGGGCTCCTACAAAGCTGTCAGTAAGAATTAGGTGTTCTTTATTTCAGGCTCTGTAATGTTATAATAAAGTTGTTGGGTTTGTTTTTCTTTCTTTCTTTTTTTTTTTCTTCTTCTCCAGATGCATTCATTATCTGGAAAACTAAAGGACAGTTGAAAAAAAGGTTGTTTTTCATCGTAATGAAAGTGATCCCTTTTCTCTTATCTTGGTTTACACTACAGGATAAATTAAAGATGCCCTGTTTGGTGGAATGCGTTCATTTCACTCCATGCTTTTTCCAGTCCTCAAAATTAAAATTAGTTGTGATGGAATAAAAAAAACAAACAGCCGAAACCGGTTTGGCTCAGTGGATAGAGCGTCAGCCTGCGGACTGAAAGGTCCCAGGTTCGATTCCAATCAAGGGCATGTACCTTGATTGCAGGCACATCCCCAGTAGGAGGTGTGCAGGAGGCAGCTGGTTGCTGTTTCTTTCTCATTGATGTTTCTAACTCTCTATCCCTCTCCCTTCCTCTCTGTAAAAATCAATAAAATATATTTAAAAAAAAAAAAGAATAACAAAGACCAGATTCACCCTCCTGCCTGAAACAAGTGAATGGCAGGTGGAGTGTGTGAAGCAATGGTCCTCACACTCGGAGCATCAGCCGTGCAGGGTGGTGATGATGGAGGGAGGGGAAACAAACACGGCGAGCCCTGCCACCAGCCTCGCCCACAGCCCAGACAGAGCCATCAGGCAGCGGCCCAGGGAGGAGAGCCTGGCAGTCTTCCTAAACGGAGGACAGGGAGCCAGGGGTCCGGGGAGGCCTCGCACACTCTGGCCGCGGTGGAGTGGAGAGAGATGCACAGAGAGAGGCAAGGAGCTCTGAGGACCTGTCAGATCTTCAGAGTCTTCAGCTGAACACTGACCATGAGACAACACTACTCAAGACTGGAGAAAAAAACACCCCAAAATATGAGATGCAAAAATCCCTGCTGATCACATAAGGACCAGCAAACGTGTGTTTCCACTAATTAGAGTAGAAAAACCCTGTAAATCATACAACACCAAGTAGAGTACTCAGGATATCGCCTGAGTAGTGAAGAAATGTTAACCCTGGACAAAAATGCTGCTCTGATTCCACCTAACCAAGCTTAAAAGCAAGCCTCAAAGGGATAAAACTGTTTCTAAGTAATCCAACTATGTCATAGAATATAGCTCAAGAATAATGGTAAGAATGCAAAAATATTAAGCACCCAAGGAAGTCAAATTCAAAATGTTAAGAATTCAATAAAAAATTACCAGACATGCAAAGAAGCAGGAAAGTGGGACTCATAATAAAAAGTCAAGCAATTAGGAAAGACCCCAAAATGACACATAACAATTAGTAGACAAGGACATTAAAACAGTTATTATAACTATATTTAATGCAGTAAAGAAGGTAAAGGAAATATGGAGTATGTCGAGTAGAGGCACAGAGAAAAAGAGATAAACATGCTGATACTTCGCCAAATATAATGAAAACTATACATTCATAGATCAAAGAAGCTCAGCAAACCCAAGCACAAGAAACATGAAAAAACGACACCAAAGTGTTTCATCATCAGATGGTTTAACAACAATGGGAAAGAGAAAAAATCTTAAAGGCAGCCAAAGAAAAAAGACATATGATAGACAGAAGGAAAAAAGTTAAGAATGATACAGATTTCTTGTCAGAAGCAATGTAAGAAAGAAGACAGTGGAGAAGCGACATCTTTGAAGTATGAGGAATTCAAACCAAGAATTCAAAGCCTAGCAACAATGTCTTTCAAAAGCTCAGGAATCAATCACCAGGAGACCTACATAGGAATTAGTAAAGGAAGTCATTTGGGCAGAAGGAAGATGAAAGTTTAGCTCTACATAAGGAATGAAGACTACTGAAAATTACAAATAGAAGCATGGCAATAATAGCAAATATGTTTTTATTTATTTTTTGAAAGAGAGGAAGAGAGAGAAAAGAGAAACACTGACCAGTTGCCTCCTGTAGGTGCCCAGACAGGGAATTGACTCCACAATCTATACCTGTGCCCTGGCTGGGAAGTGAATCAGCAAAGTTTTGGTATACAGGACGACATTCCAACCAGCTGAGCCAGGGCTATAAATAAATGTTAATCTCTTTAAGAGATGACTGTTTAAATTTAATAATAATGTATGGTTTGGTGTATAACACATGTAGAAGTTTGTGACAAAGCCAGGAGATAGGAAATGAAAGTATGATATTGCACATTCTTACAGTACACATAGAGTAGAATAGTACAGGAATGTAGATTGTGATAAGTTAAAAATATATGTATAATAAATTCTACTAAACCATCTAACTAATAGAGTAACTAAAAAAAACACACTTCTAAATAACCCACGGATCAAAAAGGAAACCCTAAGGGAAATTAGAAAACAGTTTGGACTGATTGGAAATAAAAAGATATCAAAATCTGGAGGAATGCAGCTCAAGCAGTACTCAGAAAATTTAGAGCACTAAACACTGATGGTTGAGGAAAAAAAAAAAAAAGAGGCTCTCCAATTAATGATTTCAGCTTCCATCTTAAGAAACTAGGACGATAAAAGAAGAAATTATATCCAAATTTTAATAATTAAAAATTCAATCCCCAAAAGAAATCAGAAAAAGACAGATTAAGGGACAAAAAAACAAATGGAAAATATAGAAAATAAATAGTAAATGGTAGATTTAAGCCAGCAAGATCACAAAATACATACAATTATTTAAAAACCCCAATTAAAAAAAAGAGATTGTCAGATTAGATTTTTTTTAAAAACCCCAACACCCAACTATACACTGCCTTTAAGAAGTACACTTTAAACATAAAGATTCAAAGATGTTAAAAGGAAAAGGATGGAAAAAGATATACCATCTTATAAATATCAAGGTAGCTTTCAGATCAAGAATATTATTGAGGATGAAGAGAGCCATTTCATAATTTCAATTCATGAAGATATCATAATCAGAAACATTTATGCACCTAAAAATAGTATCATAATACATGAAACAAAAATTGGTAGACCCAAAAAGATAAGGAACTCCGTAATTATTGCAATATTTCAACATCCCTTTCTCAGTGATTGACAGAAAAACTAAACAGAAGGAAGGACATGGAAGGCTTGAACAACACCATCGATAAGCTTGAACCAACTAAAATAGAAAATGACACCCAACAACACAGAAGACATTCTTTTCTAGTACACACAGAGCATGTACCAAGAGAGACAATATTCTGGGTCATAAAAAAGTCTCAATAAATTTAAATTACTTTGAATTATAAAAGCATGCTGTCTAACCACAAAGAAACTAAATTTAAAATCCATAACAACAACAACAAAAATCTCTGGAAAATTCCCAAATATTTGGAAACTAAATAATACACTTCTAAATAACCAATGGGTTTAGGGAAAGTTAGTATTTAGAACTGAATGAAAAGAAAAACACAACATGCAAAATTTGGGGATGCAGCTAAACCAGTGTTAAGAGGGAAATTCATAGAACTAATCACATATTAAAAAAAAGATCTCAAATCAGTGAGCTCCACTTCCACCATAAGAAGCTAGGAGAAAAAGAGAAAACTAAATGTAAAGTAATCAGAAGAAAGAACATAATAAATCATTAAAACAGAAAAAGAAAAGAGAAAATCAATAAAAATAAAAGCTGATTATTATGATGTGTTTTTTTAAATCAAAAGCTCACTAAAATTGATAAACCTCTTTTCAGACTGAACAATAATAACAACAAAAATAGAGAAGTCACCGATCACCAATATTAGGAATTTAAAAAGTGGCATAATTACTAATGATACAAGTATTAAAAGTATAATAAGGAAATATTATGAACAACTTCACACCAATAAAACTGACTAGTTTAAATAAATGGACAAAATCTTTGAAAGATAAATACTACCAAAAATCACTCAAGAATAAACAGTTAACTTAAATAGCCATATACACTGAGTGGCCAGATTATGATTTCTGAATGCATAATAATCTGCTACTCAGTGTGTGTGTGTGTGTGTGTGTGTGTGTGTGTGTGTGTGTGTGTATTAGAGGCCTGTGCATGAATTTTTGCATGGGTGGGGTCTGGCGAGCCTGGCCAGGGGGAGGGGACATGGGCAGTTGGCCGGCCTGCCTGCTGGTCAATTTACTAATATGCAAATTGTCCCCTCAGGAATTTGACTGACCAGGAGTTCAACTGCTCGATATGATGTGCACTGACCACTAGAGGTTGGTGCGGAACAAAGGAAGGCCCCAGCCAGCAGCCAGAAGGCCCTCACCAGCCTTGATCACCCTGATCACTGGCCAGGCCTAGGGACTCTACCATGCACGGATTTTGTGCACCGGTCCTTTAGTATATTGATAAACTTGCTTAAATAGATCTGCTTTCTAATTTAGCTAAACTTTTTCCAGCACAGTGAAGCATCCCAACTTCTCTTTCAGGTTATTGACAGCAACACAGTAAATATAAACACAAAGCAGGTTATTACTGTAGATCACACAAGGAGAACAAAGAGTAAAATATTTAACTGCAGCAGTGTTTGACTATATTCCGCACAGTGAGAAAACCTGAAGTCATTTTCAAGGCCCACCATTCCTTACTTCTTTTTAGTCAAGTTTCTAAACTTTCTAAATCTCTATTTTATGGCTAATGAAAAGAAAATAGAATCCCACCAAGACTCCTATCTACCTACTCCAGAACTTCTGTGAGGATCAAATGAAATGAGGCATGGGAAAATGCTTCACAGACACTTGGTTAAAGTGTAAAATGTTTGAACCTGGCTATAAAACAAGTCTTGTTCCTGAGTTGAAGAAACTATAAGGAGGCTTGTCGCTAGGAAGAGGAAGCTAGGTGTTGCTATGTGACGTCATTACCCGGCGCCACTGCGACTGTTTCCTGGTTGGGCTGGGCTGTGGGCCACATTTTGCACATGGGGTCTCGACAGCATTGGCTGCGATTTGGTGGGCTATTGCTCTGGGGTGGTGGTGGGGCCTGTGTCCCACTTGGGGAAGCCGAGTGTTGCTTTGCCAGCAGCAGGTCCGCAATGCCGTTTCTTTGCAAATGGCCAGTGCACACCATGGCAGCTCCTGCCTTGAGCGTCTGCCCCATGGTTGAAGGGACACTCAGCCTATTAGCCTTTTCTATATGTAGATTCTAGAAAATGCACACTAACCTATACTGTCAGAAAGCAGATCTGGAGTTACCTGGAGATGGGAAGGTCGAGTACAGGGGGTAGTGGAAGAGTAGAATTATAAACGGATGTGAGAAAACTTTAGGGAGTGATAAAGATGTTTGTTACCTTGATTGTGGTAATGGTTTCACAGGTGTAATATATGTTAAGACTTATCAACTGTATACCTTAAAGATGTATAGTTTACTGTATGTAAATTATACTTCAATAAAGCTGTGACAAATAAAATCAGGTATGATCATCCATCCAAATGTCAGTCGTAGTTTCCCTATAGAGTTGGCTTCTGCTATTGACTATCATTCAAACCAGCTACATTACAGTGTTCTATTAAGTCAAGTTTCCCCCCGAGAATGGGCTGCTTTTCTCCAGCATTGTAGGAGTTAACTTGACAAGTGTCCTTCATTAAAGAAGGGAGTCAACCAAGGAGCAAAATAGCAAGTTATAAGGTTCCAAACTGATGCTCTTGGGGCTGTGGGGGGCTGATGTGGAGATAACGGAATACTGAGGCTGGGAGTAAAGAAAGAAGTCCTACAGGAAGAGGAAAGACGAAGAGGTGGAATGATAAGAGGGAAAGGAAAAGCGGAAATAAGAAGATAAAGTGAGTGAGAAATCAAGTTCTCCTTTCCTCTTTTATGCCACTGGTATGTTTCTCATGTCATTGGATAGATGGTAAATGCTTAGATTACCTTCCTATACTGTCCAATGGTTTAGAATAGTAATATTGGAAACAAAATTAATTTATCTTAGAGAAAAATAGCAGCTATCGAGTCAATCACAGACTATTTTCCTTCATTTTCTGGATATCTTGACAACAGGGAAGGTGAGGGTCGTTTTCAGATCAGCATTCCCAGTAACATTTTAATTGCTTGTGTTGCATGCAATCATGGTCCGACATATTTAACCCAATTAGAGTAGTTCACAGGGGTGGAATAAGAGGGGAAAAAATAACATGATAACCATTTAGTGAAACCTGAATCCTCCACCCCCAAATCTGAGTATTTAAGTTAAATCACTTTTTTCTTCTTCAGAAGATACATTCAAGTGAATCAACATGTGTTTTTTAGCAGCAAGAAACTATAGCAATCGTAAGGTTTTCCTACCTTGACAAAAATGGTTGAATTGCATTCTTGCAATGCCTCCATTAAACTGATCACGTGGAGACACACCATTTCTACCATCTGAAACAAGAAACACCAACATCATTTCCACTCCCAGGAACACAGAAACGGTGCAAACAGCGGCAGCCACAGAGCGCCCGCCCTGCGCCCAGGAGGTCTGTCTGCACAGTGACCTCAGGGACCGCAGGGAGTGGCGCTTGTCCTCCTCCAAAGCTTCAACCAGAAACTGAATTTTAAAAAATCCAGAGGCCTCCCAACCACCAAGCCTTCCTTCGTCTCGGGGCTGCCACGGAATTCGGGTATTGATCTCGCTAATCTGCTCTGTGATTCACACCAGAGGATCAATGGCCTCTGCTTCCTTCATGTCCAACCACAGAACCCTGGGCTCCGGCCCCTCTCCCCACCTCCCCCTCCGTCCTCTCTCCAGGGCCGGCATCCGAGGAACGGTTTCCTTTGCCGCTTCTCTGTCTTTGAGCCTTTGTTCGCAATGGGAAAGGCAGTCATGCTTAAGACAGTTCAAAAATACAGGAGCGACACTATTCCTTGTGGAAAATGCCTAAGGCTGAGCTTTAAACGCTCCAGGGGGTTTTACCAGACTGGCTTTTTTTGCTTGAAAGAAATTTCCAGAATAAAATTAATTCAAATTCATTCATAACATGGTTACAAAATTCACTGTGACATTTGGGTATCAAAAGAGCTTTGAAGGAGAGGTTAGTCAAGGCATCAAAAAACAAATGACAACAGAAGGAAACTTTGAATCTCCAGTTTAAGTCAGAGGTTTCCGTTTTTTCTTCTGTAAAATGACAGAACAGAGGGTTTCACCCCCGCGTTCTGCAGTCTCGGGCACTATGATCCAATGTAATTATCTCCACTGCGGTCAGAGCTGTCTGTGCACCTCAAACTCCACACCAACATCCTTTCCACGGAACAAAAACATCTCTCCCCTGCTTTTTAATAACACCTGCTTTTCTAAAGAAAAGAACGTGCTTTACTAAAGGAAACATATAATCTCCTTTCCAATTAGAACAAAAAGATTTCTTAGACTAATTTTCATTCAAAAAGCCGTTTTGGGATGTCTGTTGTGGGCGGGGCGGTGTTGGGTTTCTGAGCCTGCTGGGTCCTTCCAGCCCTTACCCCTCACAGATATGAATTCCACCTAGGCCCAAGACATGGGCAGCTTTCCCAGCCCAGAACCATCTGCCAAACCCATGAGCTGTGCACCCTACAACCTGGACCCCATGAGGACTCATCCACGCATGTTCAGCGACGTGGGCTCAAGCTGACCAGATTCCAGATGTTTTCCAGTAAGTTCGGAGCAGCCCCTCCCTTGGAGAACCATCTACCTTAAAGCGGAACAGGGTTTGAGGATTGAGGAGCTGAAGTCCTTGGGGATAAGCTCGGAGTGGAACGAGCACGTGTGGTGTCCTCATTTGCTACGGTTTTGTTTTGTTTTAAAATATGAATCCCTCTCCTAATCCTCTGAATGTACAGCACCAACACAACTCTCAAAAGGAAAAGTTTCGTCTACATTTCCTTGGGCACTAGGCAGAGAAGACAAAACTTGGTTGTACTCAACGGCCTTGTTAATTCTGTTTTGTATTTTTTAATCCCAATTCTTATGCGAGTCGGACACCCAGTTTACCATGTAAAGACTCATCAATCCATTTCTATAAAATAACGCTGAGATCTCGAAGGCGGCGGAGTGAGGACTGGGAGTGGTTTACCCATTGCGCGATTCCGGCCAAACTGCTTTGTGAGCTCACCACTTTGTTGTGGGCCATCAGCTGGAGGATGCTGGGCGTCACCCTGCTCCAGAACTCCAGCGCTGTCAGGATCGCCGTGAAGCTGAACTCATTCTGATTTTGGACATTTGTAGCCACAGCACTTTGTTCGCAGTACACGGTCCAGAGCTGAGCAAAGATAAACGCGTGGAAGAGGGAACACATGTGCAGCACGGAGGTCTGAGGAGGAAGGAGAGGAAGAGCGGTTACCTCCTCATGTGGGCGGGGCTGGCCCTCGGGGAACCCTCCCCCTGAGGCTTCGGCCTTCCAAGGAGCACAGCCAAAGCACAGCCCATCCAAGCGATCAGAGGCTGGAGGCTTAGCTCCAAGTTACAAATTCATGATCCAGGGCCTCAGAACAAGCTGTTCTTCACCCGCCAGAGGAGACACCTGAGTGGACAGAGTAAATCTACCCACCCCCCCTCGCCCTTTAACAAAACGGACATTCCCATCTTTAAACTGCATGAGGAAGAATATTTGTCCTACCATTTCCTGAAATGTTTCCTCATTTGCAACACAGGGATGACATTACCCTCCCCAAAGAGTTGTATGTAGCCGAAACCGGTTTGGCTCAGTGGATAGAGCGTCGGCCTGCGGGCTGGAAGGTCCCAGGTTCGATTCTGGTCAAGGGCATATACCTTGGTTGCAGGCACATCCCTGGTAGGGGGTGTGCAGGAGGCAGCTGATCGATGATTCTAACTCTCTATCCCTCTCTCTTCCTCTCTGTAAAAAATTCAATAAAATATATATATTTTTTTAAAAGAGTTGTGGTTAGGAGTGCATGAGTCGATATATCTGGACACACTGCCCAGCACTGACTAATTACAGTCCTACTATTAGTAGTAATAATCACGGCAGCAGTATTCCTGCTGGCGGTAAGCACTGATGGAGTGGGAACCTACAGTGTCCCAGGCATGGTGCTAGACACTTTTCATAAATCACCTCCCTGCCGAAACCAGTTTGGCTCAATGGATAGAGCGTCGGCTTGGGGACTGAAAGGTCCCGGGTTCGATTCCAGTCAAGGGCATGTACCTTGGTTGCGGGCATATCCCCAGTAGGGGGTGTGCAAGAGGCAGCTGATCGATGACTCTCTCTTATCGATGTTTCTAACTCTCTATCTCTCTCCCTTCCTCTCTGTACAAAATCAATAAAATATATTTAAAAATAAAAAATAAATCACCTCCCTAACTCTCAAACCACCCGCTCTTCGATTTCACGGAGGAAAAGCCAGAGCTCAGAGAGGTTCGGTAACTTTTTCAAGGTCACAAAATTACAAAGTACCTCAGAATCACACACAGATCTGGGTTGAAGTATCAGGAACTGGCTGCCTTGTTTCTCCTGTCAACATCCCCCGGGTCATTTGGACGGGGGGCTCTGTGTTGTCACTGAGTCAGCTTGTCCTGGCCCAAACCCACCCTGACCTCCCAGAAGCTCTATGAAGGGGCCTTGGCTCCTCAGAGCTAATTAGCACCAGTGCATCTCCTTTGCTTGGACTGGCTCAGGGCTGATGCCTGCCCTGTGTTTACTTTATTCCATGCAGCACGCCATTTGTCTCCACATTTACAAAGTTCCCCTGTGTAGGTGCTTCTGGTGTGTACTTTAGTGAGTCCCCAACTGCCTTCTTATTTTCACGCTGCATCGCCTATTTCCCCAGAGATTTGAGTTGAAAAGATCGTGCATGCAGAATTAGGTAGAGTATACATTTTCCTCTGCTTCATATCTGGCTCTAAAAACCGATGACAGAATTGTTATTGTATTTCTAGCTTCTCATTCCGCCTCATTATTTTTCAGACAGGGATGCCAAGGAAGCTGACTCTTGCTTGCCTCCATAATTTGTCTTCATAAAAGTAAACCGAAAACAATTTAGGGGAAAGAAAAGAGAGTCTGGGAATTTAAACAACTTAAAATAAGGCATTAGCACAAAGTCACTTTCCTGATAGCCACAGGAGGGCCTGTGATAAGATGCATTTTCTTCTCAAAAAAAACATAATTGGCCGATAAGGGTTTCCATTAGCAATTTCGATGCATATGGCCTTAATCTCCAGGAGCCACTCACCTTTGATTGCTCCGGAAATCCAATCAGGATGACGATGAGGTGGTCCGCGATGTGGGAACCTGCATCCAGAGGAATGGGCAGGCAGGGGGAGGAGGCGTTCGGACACACGGCGTTGTGCGTGAGGGACCCCAACAGCAGCCAGGACAGCAGCCGGATGTGGGAGACGCACTCGATGAACTCTTTCGGACTGTTGGAGAAGAAGGAAGCGTCCCAGGTGACTTTATGTCCTCTGTTCTGTTGGGTGTTCAACAAATGCTCATGGAGGGAAGGGATTCAAAGTGTGGCCTCGTAGGCGGTTACATAAAACAAAACGCCAAGGTGACAGGGTGCCAACAAAACGGCGTATCCGTGGGTGGGGGTGGAGGGGTGGTGCTTGTTTCCCACTTGAATCCTGGGTCTAGGCTTCCTGAGTAAAGGGCAGCCTTTGGGGACACAGGGTTAAACACCATTCTTCCCCAAGTCCACTCACTGCCTTTCTGACGAGTAGTGTCTCTTTCTAGACTCTTTCCTTTCTTCTCACTAGAAAGTTTGACATCCCCTCAGAGGGAAGGGAATAGAGAAGAATGTGAAACACACAGGCCCTCATTTTCCCGCTCTCCAATTATTTTCTCCTGCCCTCCTCACCCCCCACTCCAAACCTTGCCTCCAGACGGGAAATGAGCCAGCGAAGTGGCAGGCTCAAGCCTGCCTGGGCTTCCCAAACAAACTACCCACGGCACCTCTCTTCTTATCCTCCCTCAGAGGCAGGATCACGGTTCACACCCCCCTTGCACTCTTAGTTCATCTCTGCTGTAGACCTTGTTCTGGTTACCATCTAAGCTCATTGAACACAGAAGCTGTGTAAGTGCTCAATAAATACCTATGGACTTTTTAATGAGCTGAAGAGTTAAAGGGATAAAGCGCCAAGTGTTCAGCCTCCCTCAGGGTGACTGAGGTTTTTGTGTGAAGGCAGTTCCTTTTACTGGCACCATGTCAGGAGGTCCTCGAGCTCAAAAATGCTGCCAGGGTATCCAGTAAGCACACAGGGTGTGTGTGTGTGTGTGTGTGTGTGTGTGTGTGTGTGTGTGCGCGCGCGTGTGTCTCAATTCCCATCTTTCCAACCAAGCCTATTCCATCCCCATGAACCTTCGGTCCATCACTTGTTCTCACAAAGCCCAAGGAAGAAAGAAACTCAGGGTGCTTCCTGCCTGAGGTACCCTCGTCGCTGGAATGATTGGGGTCTTACCCTTGTTGCATTGCAGAAGGGGGATGATAGAGCCATGGCAGATAGCGAATCACAGCTTTGTTATCTCTGTGGTTGCCCCGGGAGATTTCCATGGCCGCGATCTGAGCCAGCCCCACTTTGAGATGTCCGCCGAAGGTATCTTCATGCAGAGGCTGGGAACATGCCTTCATGTGGTTCTACAAAACCAAACACTGTTTCGTGACTTTGGCAGAGTGCCTGAGACGTTTCAGGCCACTCACTGAAACGATCTGGCTATCATTTCCACACCTATCACCACTCCCAAGCATACGACCCATTGGAGTGTCAATGGCTTCCCGCTGTCCTTAGGATGAAGAAAAATAAATTCCTCTGCAAAACCTACAATGCCTGGGATGGCCTTGCTACTGCAGAGCTCTGCATCTTACCTCTTCCTCTTTGCGGTCCGGCTACGGTGGTTCCCTCCCATAACTGGCCTTCAGTCATGCTGTTCTTGCTGCCTAACGTATTGTTCCAGTCTCTCCTCACCTAATTAACTATTCATTGTTTGGTGTTTAGCCTACACGTCACTTCCTCCAGAAAGCCTTCCCTGACTTCCTCCCTGGCTAGGCCATATCATCCTATCAGAAGCTCTCAGGCCACTGTCTACCCCTTCTTCATGCAATTGTGAAAGTCACAATTGTACTTTAGTGTGTATAAAATTTTCATTAAACTGGGCCTCCACTACCAGACTATAAATTAAATTAGGGCAGCTAATGTATTTGTTTTGGTTCATTGTTGCATCCTAAATGCTTAGAATCATGCAAGGTACGGTATAGATGCTTATTACATATGTGTTAAGTTCATTCAGAAAAAAAATATCTTTGATCAATGAGGCTTAGTGAGTGGAAAGAGGCCTGAACTGCAGTTGAGACCCAGGTTCTAGACCCATTCGTTCTGTCTTAGTCGCATGACCTTAGGTAAGCCATTTGCCATTTGACCTTTCTCATCTGTTTGCTAATACAAAGGCAAATCAGAGAGGTGGATTATGTCTGCAGTCCCCGACCTTTTGATCATTATGGATTATTCTTTCTCTCTGTATTTTGAAAGTGGCTCTATAAAATGAGCTAAAATATTTAGGTGACAACTGTCCCCGCTTCTTCATACATGGAAGCCATTTAAGGGTAGGCAACCCGATTCGGCCATCAGTAACCAGCGTATGATCAAACGCTAGGGAAGCTTCCTTGGAAATGACTGGGCTTGGAGAGCCTGAGAAAGCACCGCTTTAAAGTCTGATCCTACTTTCCACTAGGATGTGCAGATCCATCGCTGTCCCGAGAAGCAGTTAGACCGTCTGAGCAGAGTCTGGCCACTGCGCTGGGTGATAAAGGGGCCATATTTTTAGCTGACGAGCTTCTGGCATGACTAGATCCTGTTTATCAAAGAGGAATCATTTGGTGCCAGATTGCAATCTGGCTGCTCACTGGGCCATGGTTAGCGTCTCTTCTGCCCTGTCCGCGGCCTGCCTCAAATCGCCAGGACTATCAATCTTTCAGTGGGCTCGTGGCAGGGAAGTGGACTTGCATCAGCAATTCATTGCACCCTGCAAAACCAGCGAGAAGCTCGACAAATTCACTGGGAACTTGTCCATCTGCTAATGACAGTTTGTCCTATCCCTTGTCTTTAATTATTTTCTGGAAGAAGATAGGTTCAATGCAGATAAAAACCATAAACGGCTTACGTTTGCACAATGTGTTACAGTTCACAAGTCTCTTCACCTGCATTATTTCACATCAAACCATAGCAAAGGTAGGTATCATTAGGTTTGTTTTGTGAATGAGGAAACGGAGGCTCTAGGTAGTTAAATGAGGTGCAATTCGAATGGTTTGGGCGTCACTACAGTCTTAGGTCAGCCCCGACTCCACCACATAATAGTAGTGCGGCCTGGGCAAATTCCTGCCGCACTTCAGGCCTCGGTTTCTACATTTGGAAAATGGGGATCACACCTCCTTGGGGCACTGTGAGAACTGAATAAATGGCAAAAATAAAGCTATGTGCATGGCCGATGACACGTAAACATCCTGTCCTTTCTCCTTTCACTCTCTGCAGAGGCGGGACTCAGTTCTTCAGCCTCCCGGGCATGGGAAGCATCCAGGTAACAGTGACTTCCCACCCGGGCTGCTTACGTCTCTCAAACCCTGTCGTTAACCTAAGAGACGGGCACACGGAAGCGCGCTTACCTTCAGCTTGGTGAGCGTGTGCATGTCTGCCATGAAGTCCAGCACCTCGCTGATGGACTGCCGCACGCACTCCATGGCCGCCGTGCCACACTGAAACACAAGGACACACACCGCTGGGCGTGCGCGCAGAGTCACGCCTTCCTTTCTGCCTGGCTGCCCTGACTGTCTCCCTCTGGTTTCACGCTGTTTGCTAACGAGCTGTTTCATTTTCTAGGTTTCTGACTCACTCCAGTAACCTCAGCACAGTATGTGATTGTCTGCCCGGAGTTGGGACCAACATTGATGAAAGGTTTGTGGTGGCGAGCAAAGAAGCAGCCTATGGGAGACAGAGCGACATGCCTCTGTCCACTGGGAGATCTCGCTGGTTTTTGGTGGACTGTCTTTCAAGCAGCTGGTACATAGAGATTTAGCCTAGGTAAAGCCATTAGCATCAGTCTTCAGGACAGGAGTCACACTGAAACTACATTTTATCACTTTAGGGAGTCCTACCTACTCATAAAATATGTGACACCAAATTCCATCAGCAGAATCTTCACTTTCTCTATTAAAAACAAAAGTATATAGCCCAGCCGGCGTGACTAAGTGGTTGAGCACCAACATGTCATAGCTTGATTGCTAGTCAGGGCACATGCTTGGGCTGTGGGCCAGTCCCCAGTTGGGGGAGTACAAAAGGCAGCCAATCAATGATCCTTTCTCATCACTGATGTTTCTCTCTCTTCCCCTCTCCCTTCTTCTCTGAAATCAATACAAAAATTTTTTTTAATTAAATAAACTTTTTTAAAAACACAAAAGTATATAAACAAATATTGTTTGCCGGAAGAGCCAGACTGTTTATATTCAAGTCAAGTCATTTATAGCTCAATTCATACATGGCAGGTACACTATTGAGTAGATAAATGTATTACTGTTGTGTTCTTGCTAGGGATCTACACTAATAAAAGAGAAAGAGGCAAATTGACCATACTTCTGCGGCACCCACCAGCCAATCAGGAAGGAATATGCAAATTAGAAGAACAAAGATGGTGGCGGCCCCTTAGCTGCCCAGCTGCTCCAGGTGCAGAGCAGTGGGGAAGGACACCTGCTATGTGAGGGAGGGCAGGGGGCAAAGGAATCTAAAGGAGAGGCACTCCAGCCACAGCAAAGACGAAGACAGCAGACTCCAGCTGGAGTCAGCAGCAAAGATGAAGATGGCAGACTCTGGCCAGAGTCTGCAGTGAAGATGAAGACAGAAGACTCCAGCTGGAGTCTGCAGTGAGGACTGAGACAGGAGACTCTGACCAGAGTCTGCAGCAAAGGTGGAAGGCCTGGGTCCCGGGTGCCGGAGGAAAACTGGTGCCGGAAGCCAGGGGAAGGAAGGCCTATTGCACGAATCTTTGTGCAATGGGACCCTAGTAAATCAATAAACAAACACAATGGCCATCTTCCCCAGATGCCAGCAGCACGTTTGGGAGGTTTTAGGAAAAGAAAGCACACTTGTGCTTCAGGTTAGTAAATGGCATCAGCCTACTCTCTCGGGGCAAGGCAGTGAATTTGGGATTCTAAGCAGAGAAAAGGAAAATGAGCAGACAGGCTGCTACATCAAAGCTGCATGAGAGAACCCACAGGCTGGGCTTACTGCAGATCAAAATCAGGCCATCTTTGAAGCCATCTGAATGCTGTGCTCAGGCCTTTCTCAGCTTCCTTTAGGAAAATGGGGAACTTTATACATTTAACTAGCTCACCCAGTCAGAAACCATTTTCCCATATTCATGTACATCTGCCCAGCCCTGAACTGCTTCACCTCTTCTCTCCTCTGGGATGTTACGCCTGCCAGTCCCGCTGACAGGATAATAAACAGGAGAAGACGGTCACTGGCAGTTCCGCAGGAGAGTTCTCCAAGCGTTTCATGTGCTAAGGTTTTCTTCTTTTCATTTAAATCAAGTGGGGGAATTATAAAAGGTTATTGTGCCCCTGCTTTTGGAATATTAATCCTTTAATGCAAGAAAGGATTTCCCCCCAATTTATTCCATTTTCTCTGACCTTTCACATGTCATGCAAACAGGAGCACACACTTGGCATGTCTTGAAAGGGATTTGTTTCTTTCATAGGCAATATTTTGTTCCTTCTCAAGTAAGCAAATGTCACAGAAAATAACTACTAGGAGTGGTATTTAATATTTGTCTTTTAAGTTTAAATTGAAAAAAAAATGAGAGCAAAGACTTTACTATTACTCAGTTATGTTTGCTCTAGAGACCAGCAACTACATCTAATAAAAGCCTTAAAATACACTTTATAGTCAGGATAATCTTAGTGAGCTATATACACTTATAAAACAAAGCATATTAATTTTCGCACACCCCTTTTTTTTAATCTGCAAAAAATCAGTATAACCTTAGGTGTGTTATTAAAAGAGAAAACCCACTAAGAGTCACATTCCACTTGCTTTAGAAGGCCTATGTTTATTTCAATAGGAAAACTAATGATAAAGGTGTTGAATACATACTCTAACCCAGTGGTCGGCAAACTCATTAGTCCACAGAGCCAAATATCAACAGTACAATGATTGAAATTTCTTTTGAGAGCCACATTTTTTAAACTTAAACTTCTTCTAATGCTACTTCTTCAAAATAGACTCGCCAAGGCCGTGGTATTTTGTGGAAGAGCCACACTTAAGGGGCCAAAGAACTGCATGTGGCTCATGAGCAGCAGTTTGCCGACCTTGGCTCTAACCCAAAAACATGAATTGAATCATATCCAATTCATCCTTTAAACTTATGTATGATTTTAAAGTTACTTTGCTTAAATTGTAAAAGTAACATGTGCAATGTAGAAAAGTTGAAAAATACAAATTAGTAAAAAGAAAAAAAAATCACTAAAACCATAATTCTAGTACTTTGCCTGTGAGACAGCCACTGTGACTGAGTCCTTCCAAGTTCTTTCCAATGCATATGGCATACACACATACATACAATATTTATAAGGCTGGAGTTGTTTTCTAACGTGCTTTTGTATTAAATCTATCATTTTCCAGTTGATTAAATATCCTTTGAAAACTTGATTTGGTAGCCACATAATAGTGTATCTTGTAGATACACCTTATTTTATTTAAAACAAAACCCTAATGTTGGACATCCTGTATAATAAAAGGCTAATATGCAAATCAACCAAATGGTAGCACAACTGATCTCTATGACATGCACTGACCACTAGGGGGCAGACGCTCAATGCAGGAGCTGTCCCCTGGTGGTGAGTGCACTCCCACAGGGGGAGCACCTCTCAGCCAGAAGCCAAACTCACAGCTGGCGAGCGCAGCAGCAGTGGTGGGAGCCTTTCCCACTTCCGCAGTAGTGCTAAGTATGCCCCGCTGCCGGGGAGCGGGCCTAAGCCAGCAGCCAGACATCCCCCAAGAGCTCCTGGACTGCGAGAGGGTGCAGGGCCCCCCACCACCACCCTTAGTGCAAAGGTTTCATACACAGGGCCTCTAGTGAATTATATTTCCATATATTTGCTGTATTAAATGCTGCTTTAATAAATACACTTGTATAAATCCTTCATGTACACATATAAACATTTTCTCAAACATATTTACAGAAGTAAGCAGTCAAACTGTTCTTCAGCAAGCCACCTGAATACTTGGTTGTACCATTTTTCATGACCACCAGGAGCTTATAAGAATGTTTCACTTCATCATCAATACCTTTATTCATTAAGAAAAACCTACTGATTTGCTAGCTGATTTTAATTTTTATACTTTTACTATCCTAATATTTTGTATTAATTTACAGTTCACTGATGGCTAGTGAGGTAAAAGGTACATTTTAAATGTGGCTCCTACAACTATTTTTGGTTTTTTTTTTTGTTGTTGTTATTGAAATAGTTTGTCTTTTACTTGTGGATTCCAATAACCCTATGATATATTAAGGATATTATTTTTAAGCTATCACATAGGTAGCAAATACTGAGTTTTAAAGAACTAAACACTATGCCAACCAGTGAGTGTGCAACAGAGACTGGCTAGCTACTCACAGAACCATTTCTTCTCTGGTCCATGAAAACTTTCTGTGTGCCATATTCTCTTCTCTTCTCCCAACCACCAGCTGATTGCAGAGGACTGCACAGAGTGGAAGGAACCTGACCGTACGTGTTCACATGTAGTCCTCCTCCCTCTACTAATCAAGATACCCGCTTTAACTTCACACAAGCAAACAATGAACTTTGTGTGCTGAGTCACTGACCATTGGCATTTTATCTCATAGCATTACCCTAATTACTATGAAGAACTCTTGAAAAAAAACATAGTCAAGTAATTATACTCCCAGAAATCTATTGTAAAAATATAGTCTAACATATGGACAACGATTTAAGCACAAAGAGGTTTATCATATATTAGCTACAATTGCAGAATTGAAAGTAACTAAAAAATCCAAAAATAATTAATGTTTGTTAATATTGGTTTTAATAGTTATTTTTTACTCAATACTTATTGCATGTTGGCACTATGCTAATAGGCTTCACATGCATCATTTTATTCAGTCCTCAACCTAGACATTGGGCTCTGTAATATCCCAATTTACAGATAATAGAAATCAAAGAATCACAGGCTAACTGACTTTCCTCATCACATAGCTAGTAAATGGCAGACCTCATCCTCTGCCGTGACTCTAGTCCTTACATCTTTATCATTTTTCTATGGCACATTCACATGAGGTAAAACTCTGCAGCCATTAAACTTTGGGGACAATGCTTATGCCGTATGAACCAAACTGCATTTAAACACATGCACAGAAAAAGAGAAAAAAAAAATCATTGAAATATTATCAGTAAAGTTATCTCTGTTGAATGATTATTTTTTCTGCTCTCAAAATTTTTATACATCAACAAAAAAATAAACAGTAGTTTAAAAAAATGATTAGTGTTATGGGTAAAACTGGAATACTTATACATGTAAATTAATAAAACTTTTTTGGAAAGCAATATGAGAATATGTATCATTAATATATTCCTATGCTTTAATTAAAGAATGAATCCCAAGAATATAATTCAAAATAAAGGTGAAAATTTTATATATATACATTTCCAACAATATGGGAATAAGCCAATTAGGATACTGAATAGATCAAAACATGGAAAAATATTATAAAACAACAGAGTTTCTCATTTTAAGGCAGAGGAATTATAGGTGATCTTTTTCTTTATTAAATTTTTTTCTATTGAAAATTTAAATAATTGTTTTCAATAAACAATATCACTAAAGTTTTTTAGTTTGTTCTAGTAAACTTGCTGGCTTCTCATTGCAATGCTGTCCATGATATACTTAACATATTTTGCCGAAACCGGTTTGGCTCAATGGATAGAGCGTCGGCTTGGGGACTGAAGGATCCCGGGTTCGATTCCGGTCAAGGGCATGTACCTTGGTTGCGGGCATATCCCCAGTAGGGGGTGTGCAAGAGGCAGCTGATCGATGATTCTCTCTCATCAATGTTTCTAACTCTCTATCTCTCTCCCTTCTTCTCTGTACAAAATCAATAAAATATATTTTTAAAAAAAACAAAAAAACATATTTTACCAAATCATGCACTAGCTAATAATAATGGAAATGTTTTAATTTCAAAGGAAAACAAGGTATTACAATGCTTATTTTTTTCTAGACGTGTTTAAATCAAATTATTCAGTGGGAGCCAGTACAGGAAAATTGGTTCTGGAAAAATGAAAATTTTAATCAAATCTGTTCTTTTCTTTCTTTCTTTTTTAATCCTCACCTGAGGATATATCTTTATTGATCTTTTAGAGAGAAAGTAAGAGGGAGAGAGAGAAGAACATCAATATGAGAGAGAAGCATCAATTGGTTACCTCCCATATGCACCCTGACTGGGGATCAAACCAACAACCTAGGTATGTGCCCTGACCGAAAAATCAAACCCGCAACATTCTTGGGACAGCACTCCAACCAACTGAGCCACACTGTCAATGCCAAACCTATTCTTCATGTCTAGTAATTCCTTTCCTCTCCTTAACTAGCTGCTTCAATTTTACTCATGTTTTCTGGAATTAAATGTTCCCAAGGGCTGAAATTAATTTAAATTTTCACTAGTGCTCTTTTTAAAAAGACGCTAATATGTTTTCAATTTTACAGTGTTTGTTCTATCAAAGTGTACCAGGACACAGGCCAAAAACACCTCTTTGCTAAATGAGGAAAGGAGAAAACATAAAGCATAGACAATTAGTTCAGTGGGGACTTACTCCAGGTACAGAGGCGATCATCTGCTTGCTCAGGATCGTCGACTCAGCTAGTTTGGTTCCAGCATCTGCACAAATAAACTAATAAGAAATTGAGAGGATAATTACTTTTAAGGGCATTTGGACAGTAATAAGTAGTTTATCATTTTATTAACTTGGCTTAAATTCATTAGTGTTTACTCCCGTGACTATCTGCCCTGGATTCATGGTACTTGCTAATCATGACAGCTGATTCCTACGAGAAATTCAGAATCATTGTACTGAGATGAACACACTGGTTCTTACTTTACCCAGCCAGCTCAGTGGCACTGGAAACGTGCATTTGGTCAAGGAAGAAAGAAAAGCAGTCAGCATTATCAGGTCAATTCCGACATGACTCTATTTCTTCAGCACTCTTTTTTTTTTTTTTTTAAATATATTTTATTGTTTTTGTACAGAGAGGAAGGGAGAGAGATAGAGAGCTAGAAACATCGATGAGAGAGAGTCATCGATCAGCTGCCTCTTGCACACCCCCTACTGGGGATATGCCCGCAACCAAGGTACATGCCCTTGACCGGAATCGACCTGGGTCCCTTCAGTCCCCAAGCCGACGCTCTATCCATTGAGCCAAACCGGTTTCAGCTCTTCAGCACTCTTGACAGTTACTGAACTTTCATAGATTTTTCCAGACCTCTACCATTGTATTGTACATTGAGAATGAAAACAGAAAAACAGTGAACCTCAGAGTGAGGATTCTAGCTGTTTTTTCCCCTCCAACTCCCCCGGGTGTCTGGTCTTCCTTACCCCACTTCGTTCATGCCTCTCTGTGCTGACAAGGGCCCCCACACCTGCTGTGTCCCACAGGACTTCCCACGTGCTTCCATTGTGGTAGTCATGACATGAGATTGCAACGACCTCTGGGTCTATTTCTTCACCTGCCGGGAGCTCTGTGAGAGCACAGCCTCGATGCACCTCGTCCCAGTACTAGACTTGCGCCTCACTTCTCAGAAGGGCTCAGCAAAAGTTGGTGAAATGAAGTGATTCATCAATTATGGACAAGTGAGATCATGATGAGGATGGATTTGCCAGATTATAATCTAATTTCCTTCTTTTACAGATGCTAGGTGTACCGGTTAATAATGGCAGATTTTGTAATCAAAGAAAGCAGGATAATTTCAAGAGAAACATCAAAAGTGCTTTATTAAAAGTAATGTCCATTGCTAGCTACACATCTCCCCCAATAAAAGGTAATTTGTGGATACTATCCCAATAGAACTATTCTTGTTTTGAGGCAAACCATTCAGAGTTCACATCTTCGTACGTTTTGAAGTGCTGCTCAGACAGTGTGTGTGCCATTGATCAGAACAAGTGGTAATCTGAAGGAGCAGGGAATGGTGAACATGGTGGGCGGGTTAATACTTCCCAGGCAAGATCTGCTAACATGTCTTTAACTGGTTTTGAAGTGTGTGATGGTGCATTATAATGAAGCAAAATTACTTTACTGCGTCTTCTGGCACATTCCGGTCGTTTCATGATCACAGTGTGGTTCAAATTGATTATATGTTGTCAGTAGTGATCAGTATTAATGGTGTCACCTGATTTTAGAAGCTCATAGTACACCACACCTTCCTGATCCCACCAAACACAGAGCATTGTCTTCTTTCCGAAGCGATTTTTGCCTTGCAGTCCATGTTGACAGTTAACCTGGATCAACCCATCATTTTGTGGGTTTGGGATTCTCAAAATAAATCTTTTCATCGTCAGTCACAATTTGATGCAAAAAAGGCTTTCCTTTGTGCCGTTGAAGCAACATTTTACTGATGACTTTTTGGTTTTCCATTTGTCTTTCATTCAGTTGTTGTGACACCCATTTTCCTTCCTTTAAAATCTTTCCCATTGCTTGTAAATGTTCAGAAATTGTTTGCTGAGCAATGTTTAATCTTCCTGCAAGTTGTTTTTGAGTTTGGCATGCATCTTCATCCAATAATGCTTGTAATTGTTGGTCTTCAAACTTTTTCAGTTAACCTGGACATTCTTTGTCTTTCACATCGAAATCATCATTTTAAAAGTGTTTAAACCAGTGTGCACAAGTATCTTGAGATGGAGCATAAGCTTCCTGAAGTAAACAATAACTTTTTCTTCAAAATGAAGTAATGAATTAAAACTTCCTGCAAATGCTCTTTTTTTGGCACAAAATTTGGCATTTTTAAGAGTAAAAATATCTATGATGTTAACACCTTCAGCAAATTTGACATATGAGGTATTTAAGCTTGCTGTCAATACAACAAAATAGTATACATATCAAATTACATATATATCAACATATGTGTAATGCCATCTATTGAAAAATATCTGCATTATTAACTGGTACACCTAGTATTTACAGATATTTACCACTTAATGCAACACCTAATTATCTACACTAATTAAAGAGTAAGATGTGAATTGACCGTACCTTTGCAAAACCCACCAGTCAATCAGGACTGAGTATGCAAATTTACCCAACAAAGATGGCAGGTTAATTTGCATGCTCAGGTGCAAGTGTTCTGCACTGCCCCAGCTGCTCCAGGCCTCTGGGCAGTGTGGGAAGGCAGAAAGGGAGCCCTGGGCTGGAGCAAAAAGATGGCTCCGGCCAGAGCGAAGGCGGTGCTGGCAGCCAGGGGAAGGAAGGCCCATTCTTACACAAATGTTCGTGCATCGGGCCTCTAGTTTATTAATGGTTTTAGGGGGAAGGTCAAACATGAAGTCCATTGAGTTTGCTATGAGCTTTTATTTCCTGGACAGTTTCTCTCTCCTGGTCTCTTCCCAGTGGCCCCAACCACTGTGGGACCCAAAGCTGCTGCTATGCAGAGTCCAGAGGCTCGGACAGAAGCTCTGGCAATGACAGCACATCCTAATTCATTTCACTCTCACACTGAAAGGGCACAGAAGAAGTAGGTGGGTTGAGGCAATGAGATGAGCTCCACTGGGCAGGCTCAGACCTTGTCTAACTGGAGAGAGGTAATATGGGACAGGGTGGTAGAGAAAATCCCAAAGAGGCCGGATGAGGAACAGTAGCCAGCACATGCACACTAACCAGGGGCCGTGATCAAAGCATTATATCAGGCGGCAGGTTTGGGCTAACAAGGAAAAGCTATAAATCAAAGGCCTTCTGAGGTCAGGAAGCCCGTAGACTTCTTGGCCAAGGCCACCAGCTGGTCTTCATGTGCTCCTCCACGAAAGGTGCTTCCGGGCAGGTGACTGAGCAGGGAGGAGGAGACAGCAGGCAGAGCTGTCTCTGAAAGCCGCATGGCAGGTGTGAACACACATTTCCACACTCACATTCTGTCATTTCTTCTTGCCTCAAATACAGTTACAGAAAATTGAAGAATCGCCTTGGCTGGCAATTCCGAATCTGGCAAAGAAAGTGCCAGCTAGTAACACCCAGGGAAAACCTAAAATTTTCCATTATTTTATTCAGGAATGCTTCCGTCTGCTCTTCTAACTTGGGCTATTTCTAATACAAGGAAAAGTAAATAAATCAGGATTAAAAAAAAAAAAAAAAGTAAAGCCTATACCTTTGGCCAAAGCCTGTAAGGAAAAAAATCTGACAGAGTATAGGATGAGAAGAAGGAGCTCCTAAAATCCTGACAGCTAGTTTTCTGCATAAAATTTATTTACAAAAGCTCTCTGAGTCTGCAATCTAAGACAAACTACTTAGAAAAAAGTTCCCAAACCTCTGCCAGTACACCAACATTTGAACTAATTTCTTTAAAACAGAAACAAGGGACTGCACAGCGAATGGAGGCGAAGGGCAAGACAGAAGTGTGAGGAAAGGGATCCCAGGGTGAGGAGTGCCCCTGGGGGGTCTAGAGCTCTCAGCCCCGAAAGCATGCTTTCCAGCCTGGCTGTGCCCTCGAGGGCAAGACGAGATTTGTGAAGAACCAAAACGTCCACTTTCTCGATCTCCAGCAGCAGAAGCCTCTCTTCCCTACAAAGCGGAAGGAGTGGCATCGTGGAAGTATGTTGTCAGCCATAGAGGCTCAAGGTCTGAGGCCAAATTCAAATGCCTGATCTGTGATCTCTTGGAAGTCAAAATTAATTAAAAATCACTCTAAACATTATGGAGGTCTGCAGAGAGTCTGCTATGTTAAAGGGTATAAAAGTGCATAAGCCTGAAATCATCTACTATTTTTTTTTTAATCCAAGCATCTTAATCCAGTGCAATTTAACATGATAGGCACAACTAAGTAAAATTTTCTCTCTCCCTTTCATATAGCTGCCAACCAGGAGCTGAAAAACGCCATTGTAATTTTATAGAATTGCTCAAAGTATAAAGATGTAACTAAAGTCAGGGAGGAAAGGATGACTACCATACAAGGGAGAATTTTATACTTTCAGGTAGAGACAGGCACGCCTGCACCCATACAAAAGAGCACAGAAGAAACGCAGTATCCATTATGTGTCATTACTAAATTCATGATCAAAATGAGACTCAAAATAGTACCTCCACCTCTCATCCCAGAGTGATCAGACTGTTAGTAACTCAGCGAACATTAATAACCCCCCTGCATACACCTGTGCATTAAAAACAGCAGCGTGCCCCTGCCACTTCTTTGTCCTCCAGCCCACAACTAACCTATCTTTGCAAGAAAACCTTTCACCCACACGATTTCTCACACGCGAACATGCAGGTATATCCCACACAGTGGGTGTGCTATATGCAAATTAGCAGAATGCCTATTCTTGACATTTAATGGGAGCTGAGGACGTTCTTTTGGATGTGAGCTTCTTCTGTAGCCTTAGAGTGGCTGTTAGTGGGCTACCCCTCTATTATGGAAACTGCTTTAATCTGTCTTGAGAACACGTACAATCGCATCTGACACAAAGGAGCTACAGCAGACACGCAGAAAAGAAAACATTGCAGGTGAGAGCAGATCTGAGCTAAAACAGTAAGACAAAGCCTTGGTCCACAGAGCATAACAATCACACCCTGATGGTTGCCATTTTAGATTCTGAAGAATACATACAATTTTTTCTATTTTGCAAACTATTTCCTGTTTTCATGCCTCTTTTTCTTAAAAAAGGAAAAAAAATCCACTTGCACATCCAAAGTCGCCTGATTTCAGATGTAAGTAAAAACAAGTGGCAGGAGTCACGGCTGGACAGCCACTGTAGTGGGCTGGGAAGTTCCCATGAACCCTGCCTCCGAGAAGAAATCCTAGGAATTAACAAACAGATTGGTCACTGTCTTGAAATGTTTAGAACTTGGGTGGCCTCATATTCCTCGGGCAAGTGTTCCATTGCTCTTTATGGGGATGCTCACCAAGAGAGTATTGAGTATTTGGTAATCAACAAAGGCACAGTCCATCTATGAGAGACTAGAAACAGCTTTATCTCTAGCAACTCATCCATTGTCTAAGTCATTAACTAAGAGGAAGAGGAAACACTAGTGTTTTCCGGGTGGCTGAAAGAATGAAGGGCAAATCCAAGGTCTGAGGGTCTGACTTCTCACTAATGGGGCCGCTGACATGTATGACAGCTCCCCAGGGGAGGTTTTCCTTTCAAATGCTGCTGTCTTTTCTGCTTCCAACTTGCATTTTCAGTTAAACAAAGCCACCCCACTGCTCCAGATGGGGGTCCCTCATATCTTTAGAGGAAGTCACTGTCTGCCTCAGACACATGACGTGTCCACGTTGGGAGCTGGTCCTCCGGGAGCCAGGGCCTGCCATGCCCTACCAGGAAAGGGAAGAGCTTTCTCTGACTCCAGGCTAGATACTCTGGCCCAAGGGAAGCCACCAGAGAGCAGATGGTCCCCTGTGCGACCCTCTAGCAGTCAAGGGCAAGAGAAAAAAGAACTTGATAGGAAGATGCTCTATAGGAAGATGAGCTCTATAGGAAGATGTGCTATTCATGAAGAGAGACAAGCTGCTTCTGCATCCCACAAGTGGCCCCACAGAAGACTCCTCTCCACCACTGAGCCAGGAACCACAGGGCAGACACGGGTACTTTTAAGGATGCCTCCCTTTCATTTCTCTCAGTAATGAAAACCATTTATTCTAAAGCTTATAGAACGAAGATGTATTACTTCAACATGGCACAATGCTTAACATACTTTGTTGGAAGTGGAAACATTCATAAAGTTGTTCTCAAAACGCCTCCAAAATACCTCTCCAACCTAAATCATTTTACAACTAGATTGGTGAAGCTGAATGATTCAATGAAAAGTACTCATTTGTTTTAAAAAGATGAAAATGGAATTCGTTGACATGGAATAGGAGAGTCCAGAAAACACATTCAGTCAGAAGAACCTACATGTGTGCCCTCTTCCTTCCTAAAGCTAATTTGTTTTTGTTATTTATTCACCTCGCTGTGATGCAATAATCACTGTTTTCATGGTTCCCTTGAGCGCTGGGCAATTGAACCTGTCAGTGTGCTGCTGTCTCGTGACAAGTGCTTATTATGGGTGACTAATGCACCTCACAGAAGCCCGGCCACCCGCTGCACTCACGGCATCGGGGCTGGACCCCGAGAAGATCAGCCTCGGAGGTTGGCTCCACTAGAAACTGGGGCCAGTTAAGAGACTGCTCCCCGAAGCCCACAGGAAGGCACCTTCAGGGCCTGAAACCTGGGCTGTTTGGAGGTGGCAGGTCACCAACCAAAACACGATCAGAAGCACGTGACTTCTAGACACTGAACCCGTGAGCCTTAGATCTCTCGTGGCTAGTTCACAAAGCCCAGTTCACCTGCCCTCTCCGCCAAGTCAGTGTTGATCTCATTGATCTTCACGGTCACTTGTGCCAGAGTTGCTTGTGCTCAAAAGTGGTGGTGTAACTGCTGAGGTGTGAGCAGGAGGGGCTGGCCTATGGCAACCCATTGCTGCCCGACCTCAGGAACATGAGGTTGCCAGGTTGTGAGTTCGCTTCCTCCATGCCCGGCTCCCACTGCTGGCATCTTCCAGCAATTGCTGTCCTCTCAGAGCTTCCATGTGCCCCCAGAAGCTCTTCAAAGACAACAGAAGACCAATCTTCACTTGAAGGTATACCAACTCCTTATGAAATCTCAAGGCTTTGGGAGAAACTCAATTCTGGTCCTAAGGACAAGTATCATATAGGAGAGAGGAAAGGAGACCCTGGGGTGGATATTAAATGGCAAATGAGAGACATCCTTCCTCCTCTTTTCCAGGTAAATTCCTCAACATCTGTGCTCACCCACACATAGCATTTCCATACTGAGTACACACCTAGTACACTATGGTGGAGATGTTTTCCTCATCAATTTCACCTACCAGATAATAGATCTTGGAAGGAAGGGGTCCTGGCTCATTCATATCTGTTTCCCCAGCACCTGGGCCAGGTCAGAGCTCATAATGGCTCAATGAGCCTTCCTCCATCTCCAGGCTGAGTTGGCCACGCCCTCCTCCATTGTACTTTACATACTGCACAATGGTTAGCATATTATGGCATGGGCCTTTGCCTTTCTCATCTTATATTCCCAAAACCCCGTCCAAAATAGGTGGTGAGTGAATATTTGTCAAGGGCAAGGCTGCTGAGCAGTCAAATGTGTCCAGATAATGGAAGGCTTCAGTAGTTCAGGCATACAATGTCCCTGTAGGTTTTCAATGCTGGGCGTGATCTGATAGAAAGCAGACTTTTAGCAAAATTTGTCTAGGCCAGTGGTCGGCAAACGGCGACTCGTGAGCCACACGCGATTCTTCGGCCCCTTGAGTGTGGCTCGTCCACAAAATACCACATGTGGGCGCGCACATACAGTGTGATTGAAACTTTGTGGCCCATGGGCAGAAGTCGGTTTTCGGCTCTCAAAAGAAATTTCAGTCGTCGTGCTGTTGATATTTGGCTCCGTTGACAAATGAGTTTGCTGACCACTGGTCTAGGCAGCCATAAGCCAGAAGACTGGATTGGTGTGGAGAGAGAGGAGGGCGGTACAAAAAGCTCAGAGCTGTTATGGTCACCTGGGCAAGTGACAGAAAGCCTGACCAGACTGTGTTCCACAGTGAACAGACCCTGAGGTCGGATGCTGACCCTACTGACGCCAGCTATGTGATCTTGGGCAAGTCACTGAACCCCCTAAGCCTCAGTCTCCTCCTCTATGATACAGGACCGATGTCTCATTCTTCTGTAAGGATAAAGTGAGGGGAATATGGAAAGCATATTGCCTGGCACACACAGGAGCAGAAGTATTTGATTTATGCATAGGCCCCAGAGCTTCCTTGTTTTTCCAAACGTAAGTGGATCTCATGAAAGTATTCCGAACAAGCCAAAAGCCTACCTGCACAAGCAGAAGGAGGTTTGTATCTGGTAGAGGAGATTTCAGCTTCAGGGCCTGCAGGAGTTCCAGAACAACGCTACGAGACAAGTATAGTTTATCCCGCTCCTAAATAAAACAAAAGAGAAGGAGGTAAGCAATTTTTAAAATTCAATTAGAACTGATCGAAGTCAAAAGAGCTTCTAAAAGAGTCATAGATCAGAAATAAAAAATACTATTTAAAAATGCATAACGGCCAAAACCAGTTTGGCTCAATGGATAGAGCGTCAGCTTGGGGACTGAAAGGTCCCAGGTTCGATTCCGGTCAAGGGCATGTACCTTGGTTGTGGGCATATCCCCAGTGTGCAAGAGGCAGCTGATCAATGACTCTCTTTCTCATCGATGTTTCTAACTCTCTATCTCTCTCCCTTCCTCTCTGTACAAAAATCAATAAAATATATTTAATAAATAAATAAATAAATAAAAACGCATAACGAACTGTCCTCAATAAATAACATTAAAACTGAAAAGGGGAAAAAAATTAAAGGCATTTCTGTGTGTATGCATTTACTGCAGCACTGAGAACAGGTAATTTTTTTACCAATATGTTTTTATTGATTTCAGAGAGGGAGAGAGAGAGAGAAACATCAATGATGAGAGAGAATCACTGATCAGCTGCCTCCTGCATGCCCCCTGCTAGGGAACAAGCCCACAACCTGGGCATGTACCCTGACTGGGAACTGAACCATGTCTTCCTGGTTTGTAAGTCAATGCTCAACCACTGAGCAACACCAGCCAGGTGAGAACACATAATTTAATGCAGGGGTGTGGGACGTCCAGCCTGCGGGCCATATGAGGCCTGAGAAATGATTTAGTCTGGCCCTGCCAAGGCATTAGGGGTGAATTAATGAAACGTTTGACCAAACGTAACAGGCTAATTTTTAATTGATAATTTTATATGGCCCAAAAATGATGTTATAAATATCCAAATGGTCCTTGGCAAAAAAAATGGTTCCCCATTCCTCATTTAATGGATAAGAAAACAATAGGCTAGCTCTTCAATACTAAAACCACAGGATTTGGTTCTTATCCACAGGGAATGATACAGGTTGTCAGCATTGCAGAAATTAAACAAATCTAAAAGCTTTTTGTTTCAGTAGAAAATGATTTAGAGATAAACATGTACAACTGCTTAAAGGATCTTGAATCTTCTCTAAGGAACTTACTTTTTGAAGGGATAATTCTAAGCACACAGAAAAACAGAGAGATGAAATGTGTACTTTGTCAAATTGTAACATTTGGCTTTGATTTTACACTTTACATTTTTTAAATAATAATTCAAACCACAGAAACAGTTGAAGGCAAACACCTCGCCTTCAGGGCTGGGCTCACATCTCTGCATTCCTCTGCTCTCCCAGGTCTTAGCCTGGTGGCTGTTCTATATCTGGTTAGCATTTTAATACTTTTAAGAAGTTTTCAGAAAATATTCTATTCACTTTTTTTTTTAAACCTTTTAAGTTAAATGGGAGGATAGGTTCAAATAATCTACTCCATCCTTACCAGGGAGAAAGGCTAGGGTTTTTTTAAATGTATAGATTATTTTGTGAGAATAAGCCTCTTTATTATGCTGGGTCCTCATCCATGAACATGAGATGTATCTCTATTAAAATTGACCATCACTCCAACACACAAGATGGCCACCCCCATGTGGTCAAAGATGGCTGCCACAAGATGGCCGGCAGGAGAGGGCAGTTGTGGGTGACCAGGCCTGCAGGGAAGGAAAGTTAGCAGGGACCCAGTCATGCAGGGAGGGCAGATGGAGGCGACCTGGCCTGCAGGGAAGGGCAGTTGGTAGTGACTAGGCTGGCAAGGGAGGGCAGTTAGGGGTGACTACGCCAAAAAGGGAAGGCAGTTGGGGGTGACCAGCAGGAGAGCAGTAAGGCATCAATCAGGCTGCAGGAGAGTGGTTAGAGGGTGATCAGGCTGGCAGGCAGAAGTGGTTAGGGTCAATCAGTCAGGTAGGTGAGCAGTTGGGAGCCAGCAGTCCTGGATTGTGAGAGGGCAGTTGGACATCCCTCGAGGGGTCCCAGATTGGATAGGTTGCAGGGACACCCATTCTCCTCTCCTCCCAAACTCCCCCCCACCCTGCACAAATTTTATGCATCGGCCTCTAGTAAAAGTTAAAAAGGTATCTATAAATAGATTCTCTTTGGTTCACTTATAATCACGTATCTACAAAAAGTGAGAGTTTTATTTTTCCTTTTCTTTCCAATTATGTTGGATTTTTCTTCCTGTCTTACTGAACTTAGTAGGACACACAGGACCAGAGTAAATAGGAGCAGTGGTAATGGGCACCCTTATCTTACTTATTATTGTAAAGGGACTACTGCTGGAATCTTTCCATTAAGTATAATGTTTCCTAGAGGTTTCTGATTAACAACCTTTGTCAAGTTAAAGAAGTTACTTCTATTCCTAATTGGACAAAAATTATCACAAGTGGATGTTGAATTATAAAGAATGTTCCTTTTCTGTCTGCTGTAGTAATGATAAAAGTTTTTCTCCATTAATCTGGCAGCACAGTGACATAAACAGGTGTTCTAATAGTTAAACCACTATTACATTTCAAGAAAATCCTCATGAGGTCATGAGATTTGAGTTTTAATGCATTATTTTGCTATTATTCCTTCAGAATTTTTGTATCTCTGACAGGCTAATATCAACTATCTATTGGCCTCATTATTATTGCAATACATCTTTTAGTGTTGTTTCAGTTAAAAATATATTAGGAAATTTCTAATTTTCCAAATAGTTTATTTAGCCTTCACTCTTAAATAATAGCTTAGCTGGCAAGGAATTCCAGGTGAACAGTTATTTTTTTTCTCTCATAATTTTAAAGACAGTTTCCCCATTATCTTCTGGCTTCCACTGTGCTGTTGAGAAGTTTGTTGTCAGTTTATCTATAAAGTATCTTTTCTTTTGCTTGCTCTTGCTCTTAAAAATTTTATATCTGTCTCAGTTGTTCTATCAATTTGTACCTTACTTATGTACGTAGTCTATGACACGAGCAGGTAAATTTTTAGTTTATTTGTAATACTTTCAATGCTCATTGTACTTCCTGAATCAAAGCATTACTGACTTAAATCAATTCTAGAATTGTTAAGAATCCTATTTTTCCCTTCTCTGAAACACTTCTCTTCCTCATCGTCATCTCTTCATTTCTCTTTGCTGCATATTATATAATTTCTTCAGTTCTACTTGCCATTTTACCAATACCCTCTTTGGCTATGTCTAATTTGCTGTTTAACCTGTCCATCAAGTTTTTTATGTCAGTGACTATTTCATTTTTAGACTTCCTATTTTTTTCAAATCTTTCTGGGTGTGTGTTTTTTAAAGTGACTACATCTCTTCTCATGTTTTTAATTCTCCTTTGCATGATTATCATTCAAGGTATGTTTTATAATCTCTATCACATAGTTCTAATATTGGAAAACCTTAGGCGGAAAATAATCTTGCTGTTTGTTAACTCCGTTATCTAGCTCCTGGTGGATTATTTCTTCATATGGTTTATAATTTTAGGTTCTGAGTTCATGTTCATCAGGATCTTATTTGTGGAAATCCTGTTAGGCCTAGGTCGAAAACATATCCCTCCAGAGAGGTTTGAGGACTGACTTCAGGTTTGCTTTGCCAGACACTCCAATGCTATTCCTAGCTCAGTACCTGTTACTTGACTTTTTAGTTTGGGGGTTCAAAGAACATGTAGGTAATGTAAATAAAATTACAAACATGTCCAAAGGTAGGTTCAGTGTTACTATAAGTCTTTCTCTCAGTTCTCAGATTATAGATCCCATTCTTTGTCACCTCCAATATAAGAATATATTCTTTCCAAATCACCCTTTTACCAAATGGAAAGCCTTTCAAGGGTTCTGACTTTCTGCTGGGGATGACTCAGTTTCAATTCCCAGCCTAAAATAGTCCCAAGACCTTATCTGCTTTCTCTGTGTGGGCTTTCAGACTCAAGCTACTGAGTTACCAAAACAAGCACCACCACCCCTTCCCCGTCTCAAGACTTCTACAATATCAGCTTACATGCTTACTCCTCTGGCTCTCAATGTCCTCTGCACCTTTGTCTCCTTTCATTTTTATAAAATGAGCTCTCTATTTTTTAAATCATGTTTATTTCATCCGCATTTCTGGTGTTTAAGTGGGGCAATTTTCAGGTTATCTAGGCTGCCAGATTGACAGAAAAAGAAGACTCCAATTCCCTTACATTTCCATGCCCTCTCTTTTTATTAAATAGAGAGAAGTCTTGATTAGAAACTGCTAGTTAACCATTTCTTATAGTTCCTCATGATCTATGAAGTACACTACATTGAACACCCTAGATTGGAGCTTCTGTAAGTAACATTCATTCATTTCAAGTTGAAAAATGAGAAAGGGTGACGACAGTAGATGTGGGAGGTCCCTAAAGTTATGATAGATTATGAAGGAATAATAATGTATAGTGAATATTCAAATCCAAGAGTATATTGAATTCAAATTGGTGGAAGGTCCCCTGTCATTAATTCCAATATTGGACAACTTAAAAAATTCAAACTCATTATGGTTCTTCCTCTAGGAAAATGTATTAACTTAAATAAATCAAGCATAAAGAAAAATGACTTTTAAATATGGAGCATCTTTTCATCTTATTTGGTGCTGTGTCCTATATATCATTTTTTTTAAGTTAAAAGAAGGAACAAGTTATTTTTCAGAAAGGATTTGAAAAAAGACAAAATACTGATTATTTTGGTAGTTAGAAAGCATACTGTTCCAGACAGAGTAATGGTTTTTAATCAGAAAGACTAAAGAGAGGATTATCACGGAACAGTTAACATGGCAGAGTGGACACAAAATGGAAAATGAGACAACAGTGTTTTAAATAGAATTAAAGCCTTGGTATAAAATTAGATTTTTATGAGGGAAAATAAAGAGCTCACAGAAATGAACAACATGAATAAAGAAGTATTCTGAACATTCAAGAAAACAGCAGAAACAGAGACCCCATTGAAAACAGACTTGGAAACTGGAAAAGTAAGATCTGCACATTGTTTGAAAAGGGACAGAAATGCCTCCTGCTTTTCCATTAGTGTCTACCAGCTCCCACAAGGCTGCTGTATGCACTGGGCAAGCAGTAGTTTTCCACTCCATCAGTGGTGGGGCAGGGGATCTAAAGATAATGCAATAGAGGAAGCATTATTAAGACAAGATGACAAAAGACGAGATTACAATCTCAGAGGCCGAGAAGCCAGCACTGGGGAGACAGATAAATGATGAGACTTAAGGAGCTCTTCACAGGCTTTTACAAATGACTGCCCCATTTTTTTTCTACTTTAGGTTTAAAATAATATGTAGTGACGGCTAGCCTACTAATCATGGGTAAACTTGAAAAGGACTTTAAGAGGTCATTTAGACCATTGTCTCATTTTATTCAAAATACCCCTTCTCTTGTCTGGCCAACGTGGCTCAGTGGTAGAGCATCGACCTATGAACCAAGAAGTCATGGTTTGGATTCCTGGTTAGGGCACATGCCTGGGTTGAGGGCTCAATCCCCAGTGGGGGCACGCAGGAGGCAGTGGATCAATGGTTCTCTCTTATTAATACGTTTCTATCTCTCTTTCCATATCCATTCCTCTCTGAAATAAATAAAAATATTTTTTAAATAGGTCTTCTCTTCTAAACTATATGATTCTCAATCCTCCAAATTTTCATATTTAAGACATTTATGTATATACTAGAGGCCCAGTGCATGGATTCATGCACTGGTGGGGTTCCCCAGCCTGCCCTGTGGGGATCGGGCCCAAACCAGCTCTATGACCCCCCGAGGGGTCCCACATTGTGAGAGGACAGTTCTTGGGTGATGCATCCTGGAATCAGGCTCCCTCCTCTCTGGTTCTGGGTGCATCACCCGAGAACCACAGCTGACAAGTCACTGCAGCTCAGCAGCTCCTGCATTGAGCGTCTGCACCCTGGTGGTCAGTGCACATCATAGTTACCAGTCAGAGCATCTGCCCCCTGGTGGTCATTGCATATCATAGCTACCAGTCGGACGGTCGAACAATCTGGATGGTCACTTTAGGCTTTTATATATGTAGATGTAAAGTGTTTCTTTCCAATGATATTTATTAGACCTCAGTAGAATTACCCATTTTAAAACTATATTGAAGCAATTAGCCTAACAGGGATTTGACACAACTCTGCACACTTACCTTAGTGAAAGCTCGGTAACATAAGCCACACACCTCCACCAGGTAGGCCAGCGTGAAGACAGCATTCTGAATTACAAAGCTGAGCAGTTTTGAAAACGGTTCCAGCAAACTCTGCAATGAGATTGGGGCCAAATAAAACCCATTGCTGATTCTTTCATTTTAAAAAGTATTTACGTCTTAAGATACTTTAATGGGATCACTCTTTTCTTTTTATTTAAAATCTCTTATCCGGTGACTACTGCACCAACGCTGTTGGTCTAACAAGAACAGAACTACACCTTCCATCAATAGCTTGAAGAGCATGGTTTAATCATTTTATTGTTTCGTAAAAGCATTTTTTTCCAGACGGCATCATTTTTTAAACCCACCTAACTCCAATGTTATCCTCACGTGCACTCCCAGCTGCCGAGACTCTGTGAGGTTTGCATTGGATCTTTCACTCTCCTTCTCAGAACCCCGAGGCCTCTATGGGTTCGTCAGATCCAGCTCCTCTCAAAGTCCGGCACCTCCGTTAGATAGCACAAACCAGCCCTGGCATGTGAGCACCGAAGCACCATTAGCTTAGCTACAACTCATCATCACCCAGCTGCCTGCCAAGGTTTGGCATCAGAAAAGCATCATCCGTTTTGCTTTCCGCCTCTGACATCCACCCATCAAGGATCGGTTTTAATGCATATGTTTTCTGAAGCCATTTAGAAACATTCATGGAGCACCTGCTAAGTATCAGGCAGAGTTCGGTGCTTTCATATAGTTTCTCTTATTCAAATTCCTCTAACAGACCTGGGGAGACAGTATGTTACAATAGCTAAGGACACAAGTCTGGGATTTCACACACGTGATTTCAAACTCCAGCTCCCTGTGACCTTGGACCGGGGATTGAGCCTCTCCGGACCTGGTTCTCTCCTCTGTAAAGGGCGGGCAGCAATGGCCTCCGTGTCACTGTGCCGTTGTGAGAATTAAAGTGATAACGTACGTAACACACTTGGCAACAGTCAGCCCTCCATCACGGTTAGCTGTGATCTGCTTCGTACGTGAAGCTTTAGCACCCTAAGCTGCCGCTGAGGCAGTTACGCAGGAAGAAACTTGCTCAAAGCCACACAGTTATCGAATGGGATTCAAAACCAAATCCCAGGGCAGTTTTCCAGAGGCAGAAATGCTCTGAGGGGAAGACAGGATTGTTTAAATTGGACTCCAAAAGACTCCCATGCCACTATTTCCACTACCTCTGAGCCTCTACAGCCCTAACTGTCTGGTTCATCAAAGTAATACCTGCTCCATGTGTAAATGCAGGATCTGTAGAAAGTGTGGATGAGGGAATAAAAGTCGCCCCTAATCCTACCACCCAGGGATAACATTCTGTTGTAGTTCCCTTCTTTGTGGCACACGAGTTTAAAGTTGAAATCTTACACAGACACAATCCTACATTTTGTTAATATAATAACAAAAGTAATGTCCAATGCTACTTTTTTCTTCATAACATCCTTTCCAATGACCACAAAGTCCATTTCATTATAACATTCCAATAAATAGGGTTCTGCACAATATCTGCATTTTCTTCTTATTCCTTAGAAGAGAGTCCCAGAAAGCAAATGACTAAATCAAAGGATTTGGTCATTTTAAGGTCCTTTTTCCTTATTGATATTAAATGAATTCATTTCATGTGAGTTGTCCCTGAGGGGAGGAATTATATCTTTAATTTGTTTGTATTCTCCACATAAACTCATGTATTTCTTTCCCCATAAAATAAATCTTAAAAAGAAACGCTTTGTTGTAGTGCTGCTGATTCGGCATTCTTTGCTCTGTAGAAGCGTTTCCTCTGATGATGGATGAGTGGGGACAGGAATATGTCTCTGTTGATATATAATGCATCCCTGCTTGCCAAGAAACAACAAAACCTTAATTCAAAGCTACATAGACATTTGCTCTTTTATCCAGCAAAGCAGTATGGCTTTCTGGTGCAACAGAAAAATCAAGGAACTTGAAATCAAAGGACCAAAGATCCACGAACCAGCTCTGTAACCTTGGCCAAGCTTTCATCTCTCTGAGCCTTTCCCTTCACTGTTATTGAACAGATTTGACCAAATGATCTCTTTGCAACTTTCCAGCATAAACCATGAGTCTGGGAGAGCACATGCAAGGTAAAAATTGCAGGAAATGTGCCTTCTTGGTATAGTAACTAATAGTCACAAGCCGCTGCAGTACAAACAAAGGCACCGTTCCATGTAACGCAGCCCAGAAACGAAGCCAGGAACGTAGAGGTGAATGGGACGCAACGCTGGAATTCAGGATGTTCAGTCTCCCTGGGGAGACGTGTGCACAATATAAGAGCAAATTCAGAGAGCTCTGTCAAGTACTATGGGATACAATACAGGAGGAAGCTGCTACAGAGAATATGAGCGTTTTTTAATTGAAATTCTAATTCCCATTATGAAGATTGAGAAGTTCGCCTGGCTGACAAGGATATAAAGCATTTCAAGTAAAGGAAATGGCCTAAGCAAAGGCAAAGAAGTATGAAATTAAATAAGACTATACATGGAAAGCAGTATCATTTTTAATAATTGGTCCTCTTAGTGTTCAAAAACAGTGGGGTAAGTGTTCAGAAACAGTGGGGTTGCTTTGATGATGATGATGATGATGATGATGATGATGATGATTCTGAAAGTAGGCAGGAGGCATGGAGGATGGGACAGGTAGCCAGAGACTAAATTGGGAATGTAGGCTGGCAAGTTAATGAAGTACCTTCTTCTTATGCCACATTCGGGCATTTTGGACATTACCCTAAAAGAAATGAGACAGTGTCAAAGATTTTAAAGCAAGGGATTAATGTGATGAGATCTGTGTTTAGAAGGATCACCTTGCTCATAGTATGGAGAACAGACCGATGGACATGGCCCCACACTAAGAGGACCAATTATTAAAAAATCACCCTAGACACTTGCAAGAAGACTGAAAGTGAAGATTCAGCACGCAATAACTGCTTCTTCAGTACTCCATGCTTTCTTTGCAGGTTAAATAACTAAATACCAACTGGAATCGTTTGTCTAAACATACATACCCTTGTGGCATTGGTAGAGGGGATCTTCAAAAGGCAAATCATAATTCTCAAACTGGAATCTAAAGAACACTGTGAACAAATACGAAAAAAAATGAGTCAGTACCCTTCTTAATATATCTTTGCTTCATATATTCCCTATAAGCACTTACTTTAGGAAATAAAATCTGAGACATAGCTGCCTCCTTATAATTTTCCCTGCCATATATTCATGCTGATAAAAATCATTCTCAGGTCTTAAAAAAATATGTATTAAACAATGTTAAACAGCCGAAACCAGTTTGGCTCAGTGGTAGAGCGTCGGTCTGTGGACTGAAAGGTCCCAGGTTCGATTCCAGTCAAGGGCATGTACCTGGGTTGCGGGCACATCCCCAGTAGGGGGTGTGCAAGAGGCAGCTGGTCGATGTTTCTCTCTCATTGACGTTTCTAGCTCTCTATCTCTCTCCCTTCCTCTCTGTGAAAAATCAATAAAATATATATTTAAAAAAACACACACACAAAAAAAACAATGTTAAACAATTAAATAATTAAACATAGTTCTTAAACTATTTCTTCAAGATATATCCCTAAAATAAAATTACATAGCATTAAAGAATTAGACAGATGAATAGATGGATTAACAGATAGGTGGATAGGTACATATTAAATGTGCCCTCATCTACAGAAGTACACTAATTTGTTAAAGGTCATGATGCAAAAGAACTAAGATCAGTCTAAAACCATCAGGCTTATTAATCCAAATAAAAACCAGTTTCATCGGCCCTTCCTCTGCTACCAAAAGACATAACAAAAACCTGGGGAAAATCTATGTGTCTCTCTCATATCGATGTTTCTCTCTCTTTTCCTCTTCTCTCCCTTCCTCCCTCCCTCCCTCCCAATCATTCTAAAAATCAATGGAAAAAATATTATGCTTTTGTTGTTGTTGTTGACTAACGCATCTCAACACCCTGATTAACAATCACAACCAAAGCAGAAGGTAATCAGCCAGAAGCAGGGCCCAGATCTGGGCCAGCAGGGCAGTTTTCGCACGTTCTGAAGTTCGGTAAGAATTTCACAAGTGCTTCCTCAGGGAAACATCGGTCTATTTCATCTGCTCAATATGCATCAGAGTGGATGTGACATTTACATTACTCTGAACCAGGGGCTGAAACATGGCTGCTCATCAGCTCCCTGCAGTGTTTTAAAAATCAGGAAATAAAACTTTGGAAAACATGGTAAGATCAACAGCATGAGGCCTGCATTATTCCCACAGAACAGTTGGCTGGAGAGGAGCAGCAGCTGACCCTGGAGGAAGGGACTGGTGCAGTCCAGTTTGAAAAGGTCTGGATTCTTTTTATTCCCTTATCTCATTCCACTCCTGTGGGCAGTCAGGGAGGTCCCTGTGGACAGGACTGGATGTCACGATTTAGACTGCCAGTTGTTTGTAACTGGCAATACGTCCAACTGGTCAGTGTTCAAGTTTAATGTTTTTTTCTTTTTGTTAATTTTCACCCAAGAATATTGTTTCCATTGAGGTGGGGTTTTTTTGTGTGTTTTTTTAGAGAGAGAAAGAGTGGGAGGGAGGGAGGGAGGAAGGAAAGGAAAGGAGAGAGAGAGAGAGAGAGAGAGAGAGAGAGAGAGAGAGAGAGAGAGAGAAAGGGGAGAGAGAGAGAGAAACCTGCAGCTCAGGTATATGCCCTTGACCAGGAATCAAACCTAAGACCCTTCGGTCTATGAGCTAATGCTCTAACCACTGAGGACACTGGCCAGGGATCAAGTTTAATATTTTGACCTATCAGCATTGACCTTATCAGCATTTGAATTTACCAGGCCAGCCCCACCCCTCCTAAGTAACAGATGGCTCTGGATGGCTCTCTGGTCCTAGGGAGGTTCCATGTGGCCAACTTTAAATGTGTGTACTGGATTTCCTACATGTTTATGTACAACCGCTATATACGTACATGGTTTCAAAGTACTAATCCTTTTGCTTGGATTTATTCAGCTATTCCAGACATATGGATCGACAAGAATCAAAAGATGTGAGAGAGAGTAAAGATCTCAGTATTCCTGCTTCTCATGTAACAGCAAACTCAAAGAAAGCAGCACCAAGTTAAGGGTTCCTGGATTATCACCCTTTCAGAACCTATGTGGGAGTCACATTTTCCACATCTGCCCATTTGGAGAAAGGTATTGTCAGAGGCAACTGGGCTTTATAAATCATTTTAGATAGCATACATGTGATACTCCATTTAGAAGAGGTGATGCTAACATGTAGCTTCACCTGTCAGATTAACAAGTGATTCATTAACAAGCTGAATACTTCTGTGATCGACGTAGAGCACAAAAAGCTTGTGGAGCAAATGAGGTTCATGGACATGACAATGGCCACCACCAACCGCCTCTTCCTCACAGTGTAGAGCCCAGAATGCTTGGCGTCACCCCTGTTTTAGAAGGACCCTGGAAGTCCATTCGTGGAAAGGACACTGGACTGGGAGTCAGGGAGTTCTAAACCTCACACTGCCACTGCTTCTCTGAATATACAGTCCCATCTGGAAAATGGGGACATTGGAAAGGGTGGTTTTCATAGGTCTCTTCCGGCCTCAACAGTAAAGGACTCTGTTTTCACGTTTAGTGGATTCATGCTGCAAATGTTCCTTAGGCTGTCAGATTTCCGGCAGGCCCTTGTGTGTGTATTCTTAGAGGGTGGGCTGGAGAGAGGAGGGTGCAAGGCCATCAAGAATATCACCGGGTTGGCTCAGTGGATAAAGCGTCAGCCTGTGGACTGAAGGGTCCCAGGTTCAATTCCGGTCAAGGGCCTGTACCTTGGTTGCAGGCATATCCCCAGTAGGGAGTGTGCAAGAGGCATCTGATCGATGTTTCTCTCTCACTGATGTTTCTAACTCTCTACCCTCTTCCTTTCTCTCTGTAAAAAAATCAATAAAATATATTTTTTAAAAAGAATAGCATCTTGTTCTTGCAAGTACAGTATTCACAAATACATAGCAATCACTTCCATTTAGATAACTCTTTAAAATTGAAGCTTTCCATTATATGTCTGGTCTCCTTTTAGAGAAAACTATTCATTTACCTAGGTATTTACTTCATATACACTTGACAATTTTTTCTATAACTGGAAACATGAAATCGCTAAGTCAAAATGCTCACTTCCTATAGTGGTCATTCAGAGAGAACAACCTAAATAATACTGTCCACTCCAGGCTAACAAGAGAGATTCCAGACAGCCCTTTATGAAACAAGATGGATGGTCTGCAAACAGAAAGAATTTAAAATGAAATCCTGGGCTCAGCTTACCTTCAGAGGCAAAACACCAGGCAGCTTGACAAAAAATGTCTGAAACTGGTTGCTGATTGTGGTCCAGAGGCTACTAGGAGAATCCATGGGCAAAGCTTCCATGAAGGTAGCAATGTTTTCCAAACAGTGTATCATAGCACCCCCTGCTGGTAAATTCTTTTTGTTATTTAGACCCTAAAAACAAAAGCATAGGCGATCAACTGCTGAAACAGCGTGGGAATTTGTGCAGTTACTTGGTAAAGACCAATTTTTAAAAAAATCACATATTCAGGCTATAATTGTGTGGTGCAGCGACTATATAGGGTAAGCATTGCAACTGGCAGGAGTACAGAGAAAAATCAACACATTCAGACAAAGTAGGAGGGCAAATTGTGATCATTGGCTCAGTGTGCAAAGGTGAAACGTAAGGAAGAAAAACATCGTTTAAAGATCTACAATTGGTGTGGTTCGGGGCTGAAGAGCTCCAATGAATGATGCTTGCGGGAAACTCTATTGGCCGGAGACTAAGAGGAATGGCCAGCAGCAGAGTCCCTGTGGCAACCTGCCAACACTCCCAGCTAATGGAGAGAGCTAATAAGCAGAGGCCCGATACATGTATTCAAATCTCACAATGCCACCGCTGAGTGGAGCTGAGAACTGACTTCAAATCTCGTGATCGTGATACGTCAGACAAGCAGGGCTTGAGTCCAAATCTCGTGATACATTGAATAAGTGAAACTGACACTTGAATCCAAGTCCCACGACAGTGCACACTGCTCTACCCACCACACCTTAGAAAGGAGGGAAGTTCTCAGAGTGAATTCTCGGCACCCTTTGGTTGTGGGTGCCGAGATGCTTTAAGTAAATCGCAAATTCATTCAAAACAACCACGTCTAGCTGACACTTGCCTATGCGTTGGCATTTTTTTTAAAACTTAAATTATTTTAAATTTTATTTTAAGTTAAAATTGTTTACTTTAAATTTTAAAATTAAATGACATTCTTCCTCAGCAGGGATTTCAGTGGGAGCTTAGCATGTCATCAAAGCAGACCTACCTCCAGGAGCTGACTGAGAGCAGCAATAGAGCTCAGCTCATTGAAGTCCATCAGAGACGTGGCCAAGGTCCGTAAAAAAGTGCCATCTGGAAAGTGAGCAGTCAGATTTAGTGAGGTCCCGGTTGCCGGCGACCAGCCCCGCCGAGGGGCCGCGCTCCCCACGGAGGAGTTACCTTTGATGGTGCTCTGGAACAGCTGCGGGAAGATGCCGTTGGGGGCCAGCTGGTGGAAGATGCAGCGCAGGAACTGCTTGGCCACGCCCGCTGCATTGCCCGGAACCATCATGCTGGGGGGGGGGGGGGGGGGGGAAGGAAAGACAAGGAATCATGGGACAAACAGCATGAGGTAAGGGATTTATTTTCTTACTTATTCAGAGGTCAGGCATGTACAGGGACTGACCCACGGATGGAATGTCTTACTGTCATTTTCATCTGTGAGATGAAATAGTCTAATCACATAGAATCCTGTTAATGAGCCTTTAGAAAGAGAAAACCAGGAAGTGCCAGGGTGGCCAGGGGCTAATTCCGGCCACCCCGGGGTACAGGTGAGGGTTTCGAGACCCAGAGGTAAAAGGTGGTCTTCAAAGACCACAAGTCCAGAGACTTAGTGAAATAAGCCAGACAGAGAAAGATAAATATCACATGATCTCACTCATTTGTGGAATATAATGAACAACATAAACTGATGGAGGGAAAATATATATATATATATATCCAGAGACAGAGAAATGCCAATCAGAACGAACAACCTCAGGGAAGAAATTGTGAGGTAACCAGAAACTCAAAAATGCCTGAGAACGCCTTTCTAACTGTTCCAGCAATCATCAGATGTACAGTAATATTACCTGGGGCAAATGGGGAAGTATTTTGGACTTATGCTCCAGACACTTCACAGGTAAGACCCCTTACATGGGCTGATCCCCCACCTAATGTAGTCACCAATAATACCAAACACCTTGGTCATCCAGGAGGACCATGGGAGGGGCAAGAAAGTGTAATTAAACAGGGGTCTCCACTCAGATTCCCTTTTGTATGACGCAAAATCAAAATACTGCCCCTTTGTGTGTAAAATTAAAGGGCAGAGTCGGGATTAGAACGCAGGCTGAGGACTATCAGCCAGATCCTCCCAGAAAGCGTCATTGGCTAAAAGAGAGCACTTCTCTTGAGGAAAAAATACAGGAAGGGGGGTGTTCATTCCTAGTGGGAAAGCTGGGAAGTTTTTTTGGGGTGAGGGGCTCTGAGTTGATCCTTGTTCAATGAATGGGACTTTGATGTGTGCGATTGCCCCCTTTACCCTCTGTACCATCTCTCCACGGCATCATGGAGCCAAGATGATCATGTGGCCCTGCCCTCAGACTAAAGCATTAGAAAAGATATTCCCCGAGTGATCAGTGGTGAGTTACCAGAAGAAAGAGGAAATCAGCTCTAACTACTGACACATGTAAAAACATGGATGAATCTCAAAAGCATAATGCTAAGTAGAAGGAGTTAGACACAAAAGGGTAATTCCATTTATAGGAAGCTGAATGGTGGGAAGGTTCATGATGGTGTTTGCCTCTGGGGGTGGGGAGAGGAGATGAGGAAGATGCATGAGGGAACTTCCTGGGGGTGATGGTAATGGTCTACATGATGACAGAGGTTTGGGCTATGCCAGTATATGCCTTTGTCAAAACTCAGTTAATGTACACTTAGCTATGTGCACATTCTTGGATGTAAATTTTGCATTAGAAAGAAACATAAATAAAAATCGAACTTTCGTCCATGATAACTCTGCTGAAGAATTAGCATGCTGGGCGAGTATGCTGATGTCTGAAAATTACTACACTTTTTGTTCATAGCACTCAGTCCTGTTTACTATTATAAACGTGTGCAAACATTTCGTTCATGTTTGCCTCCAAGGCAGTCTGTGAGCCCTACAAGGTCAGGATCATGTCCGTTTTGCCCCAAGTTGAAGTCTAGCATCTAGCACAATGTATAGAGTGGGCTCAAAAATACTCACTGACTAAAATGAGGGAACACATGAAGGAATGACTGGAGGTGTGAAGAGCAAATGGACATGCACTCTCGGGAGCAGCAACTGAACTAACAATATTCCGTCCATGGTACACATCTGCTGTTTTAGAAATGGGATGGACAAGCACAAAAAACAAAAGCAAAGTGAGATTTGGCTCACTTTAGGATCTTACCTTTCTGCTTGATTAGAAAAAGTAGTGCTGGATGCCAATCTAGGAAACAAGTAAACAGAGTTACATGAGTATCTTAGGCCTCTGTGATCAAGGGCACAGCACTGCAGCAGGACCCGTGTGGATCTGCTTTAGACAGCGAGACATGTGAAACTACTGACAATTCCCTTGACCAGGCACAGAGAGCCCACACAGTGGTCAGGCTATGGGGTTCAATTTAACCTAGTTCCTGAGAACTGATTTCTGCACCAAATCAGATTATTCCCACGGAAATGCATATAGTTAAACTGGTTTAATATCACCCAGCCAATCTGCAAAACAGCCTCTACAGCCAGGTCAGAGAGAATCAGAATAGCATTTGACCCACTTCAAGTCATATTAACTCAAAATTTATTTCTTTGTATACGGCCTCTGAACCCTAATCACAAACAAATCTCAAGTTGTAAACACCCCTCTAAGGTAGAAAAATGAGTAACAGGGGTATCTGTCAGCTATTTCTCAAGTTGAAAGAACAAATTGAAAAAATGTAAATGTTAAAATAAATAAATAAAATAAAATAAAAATAAATAAAAAAGTTCAAAGTTAAAAATAATTAATTAATTAATTAATTAATTTTTAAAAAAGAAAAAATGTATTAGGTTAAGTAATCATTAAATAGCATGAAGTTTTTGAAAACTATATGGTTCTGCCAAAACCGGTTTGGCTCAGTGGATAGAGCGTGGGCCTGCGGACTGAAAGGTCCCGGGTTCGATTCCGGTCAAGGGCATGTACCTTGGTTGCGGGCACATCCCCAGTAGGGGGTGTGCAAGAGGCAGCTGATCGATGTTTCTCTCATATCGATGTTTCTAACTCTCTATCTCTCTTTCTTCCTCTCTGTAAAAAAATCAATAAAATATATTTTAAAAAAAAGAAAAGAAAACTATATGGTTCTGTACACATGGAAACAATCTATAGGTACAGAAAGAGAATATACTGAATTTGTAGGTATAGAAAAACATGCCATGATCAGTAAGATATTAAAGAAACAGCCTCGCTGGAGTGGCTCAGTAGCTGAACATTGACCTATGAACCAGGAGGTTATGGTTCGATTCCTGGTCAGGACACATGCCTAGGTAGGGGGCATGCAGAAGGCAGCCGATCAATAATTCTCTCTCATTGATGTTTCTCTCTCTCTCTTTCCCTTCCTCTCTGAAATTAATAAAAAATAAAGAAAAACAAATAAAGAAAATGCTACAAATTTATTTGCTTAATACCGCAAGAGAGTGATCTGAGCTAAGAACACATTTGGAGAGAAATAGAGGGTCCAGCAACCTCTTAACACCGGACTCCATTCCCAGCTGCTTTGGTCATGATCCTTCTCATACTAATGATACTACAGTGAAAAGATAAACATCGGCAAGTGAAATCAACAGAAATAAATGATGCAGTAAATGTGATCTTGACGGCTGTACCTAGAAAAAGGGGTGGGTAATTTTTTAAAAACTTTTTTAAATCCTCACCTGAGGATATGTTTTTATTGATTTTATGAGAGTGAGAGAGAAACATTGATTGGTTGCCTCCGTACACACAACCAGGGATCAAACCTGCAACCTGGGTATGTACCCCTGACCAGGAATCAAACCCACCACCTTTTGATGTACGGGATGATACTCCAACCAACTGAGCCACATCAGCCAGGGCAGGGCAGGTAAACTTTAAGAGGGATGTAAATAGAGAACCAAATACAAAATCACTTGGAAAGGCTTGGGTGATGAATGGAAGGGTTGTGCTGAACTCACATACTCATAGGACACCCTGGGAATAGTTTCTGTGGGACTAGAACAAATAAAACACTGTTCATGCATGCGCATGGCCTCATGTGGAAGAGAGGCATTCGAGGAAGCCCGGAATCAGGTGATTGCCAAATCTGTTTTATTGGCAGGTTTGCTGAGTCAGTTGGGGTTAAGAATTCTGGAAACTTGCTTTAAATCAGGGGTAGAGAGCATCCAGCCCATGGGCCGAATCATTTGGAATAAATCGAAGAGCTTTTACATAGGAACATAATTTTTAAGTTGATAATTTTGTATGGCCTGTGAATGATGTTGTAAATATCCAAATGGCCCTTGGCAGAAAAAAGGTTCCCCATCCCTGATTTAAATGTTCTCTCCCAGTCTCCCCAAAAGAGGTAGAGATTAAAAATAATAATAATAAATAATAAAAATAAATTTTAAAAAATTAAAATGTGGTCAAAACTGGTTTGGCTCAGTGGATAGAGCGTCAGCCTGTGGAATGAAAGGTCCCAAGTTAGATTCCAGTCAAGAGCATGTACCTTGATTGCAGGCACATCCCTAGTGGGGTGTGTGCAAGAGGCAGCTGATCAATGATTCTCTCTCATCAATGTTTCTAACTCTCTATCCCTCTCTCCTCCTCTCTGTAAAAAATCAATAAAATATATATTTTTTAAAATGTGTCTACTGTTTTTCCTTAACTTTTATTTAAAGCTCGTGTTTCCATCTTAACAGTCGGTCATACTTGAACAGGGTTTATTCTCTCAATGTAAAAACAAAAAACAAAACAAAACTACTTAGATCAGCTACTCCAAGGAAATAGTAATAGACCAGAGCAATAATCCTGCCTGTTCTAACATGGCAAAGTATTCAAGTAGAAATTGTGACCTGGCATTAACAAAAACTCTCACTTCCACAGTATTGTTCATAGTTGGTATAAAATTTATTCCGCTATTATTATGGTGAGGTTAAAGTCAAGGGCTTAAATGAAATGATTCATTTTTCCTTATCTCTCCATCGCCCGTGTTCACGGCTTACCTTTCATATTGGCTACTTGTAAGTGTGAAAGGTAGAATAGTTATACCATCTCTGACTTGTATATACTCCTAAGGATACTGCAGAGAAATTGGGGGAGGGAGAGAAAGTACTCATATACTTTTAGGGCCAATGGGTTTTTAATGCTTTCCCGTTCGTTTTTAACTTGAAATCTTAATTTCTTCATTAATAAAACTAAATTTTAGCTCCTTAAGATTCTTGCTCTTTCCCTCCCTATAATACCAGGAATTTGCAGAATCCAGTTTTGCCCCTACCTCCTCCACAGAGAACTTCCCTAAGAAATCACTTCCATCCTAAACTTCTATAGCACTGACCCCTCGTTGCAGCTCTTCATCACGTCCTATCTGGTCTGGTTACCCAGTTGGTCCACACATCGCCGTCCCCTTCAACAGCGAAGCCACAAAGCCCTTGAGAACAGCAGCTCGGTCCAATGCCCACAGCCCACGGTGCCCAGCTCTGTGCCCACGCACACCGGAAACTGAATGCATTCCTGAGGAATTTCAGTCAATCCTCTCGAAGTCGTTCGTGCTAGAGCTACAATTCGTATCTGAATGGGAACCTCACTTATATTCATAAAATACTTCACTTTTCTTCTCAGGTCCTGTCCACTAAATGGAAGCTTCTTAACATGAACCTTTTCAAAGCAGCTCCTGCAATCTTCCCTCGGTCCGGCTGCAGGAAGCCCTGCTCCCAAGGTGTGTGCATCCTTCCTTTTTCAGAGTCAGAACCATGGAACTGCTACACTCCCCTCTGCCCCCTCATATGCCAGTGCCCAAACGCGTAATTCAGTGAGCCACCCCAAGATTACAAAATGCCTAGAGAACCCTCTTAGAACAGGCACAGGGAGATGAACAAGAATAACATCTCAAACTTACCAAGGGTTACTCTGAACTCACACAGTTCTGAGCACTATTACCTCCAGTAGCTCATAAAGAAATACTAGACAACAAACAACAGTTTTCTTGGTGTGTTTTCCTCTGGCTTCGCTCTGACATTGTGACTCGTGACCCTACACAGCTGGGAAATTCACCAAAAGTTTGATTCATTCGGTTCTTTTTGTTTTTTTATTTTTTATTTTATTTTATTGATTTTTTAGAGAGGAAAGGAGAGGGATAGAGAGCTAGAAACATCGATGAGAGAGAAACATCGATAAGCTGCCTCTTGCACACCCCTTCTTAGGGATGTGCCCGCAACCAAGGTACATGCCCTTGACTGGAATCGAACCCAGGATCCTTGAGTCCGCAGGCCGATGCTCTATCCACTGAGCCAAACTTGTTTCTGCACCGTTGTTTTTTTTTGTTTTTTTTTAGTTTGAGTTGATCCCACCAATGCCAAGCATTGACCACATAGCTAAATGCTTCACGTTTGAACTGGTAGTTTTGATCTCAATATACGAATTAAATGAGGCTCCTTCCCACCAAACGCCATGGCGGCCGCACTCACCTGCCCACGGACTGCATGATGTCCAGCAGCAGCGGGGCCGCCAGGTCCGGGCTTAGGTGGATGAACGTGGAGAGGACCACGATGGCCAGCCCGAGCGTCTCCTCGTCGTACTCCTCCAGGATGGCCCCGCAGTCGTGGCATCTGCAAGGGAAACAGAGGCGTGCCTTCCGTGAGAGCCTACAGGGGTTTCAACAGAGAGCAGACTACACACAGCCGCTTCCGGTGAAAGCCCCCCAAGGAAGTCAGGGGCCTCACTCTCACAATAAATAGGATACCCCATGCCACCCTCGCCAGAGACACAGAAGCCACCGGCACGCATGGCAGGGACCAGGAAGGTTGCTTTGACCACCGCACATCCTCTCAGCTCACAAACATCTGGCCCATGCATGAACTGACTACCACAGCAAGTGCCTATGGGACTGACAGGCTAAGCTCCGAGCTGAGGGGTTGTAAGCATGTGAAAGTACTACGGACAGTCAGAAACTAGGTACGTATTTTCCATTTGCTGAAATGGAAAATGCCTAGACGCAAATGAAAGCTCTCCTAAGCATTTAAATTTAAATATGTCCTGTTTTGGAGTTGATAGAACACTCTAGAAAGCCTGGGGAGCCTGGATAGCAAGCTCTTTTACCTCTCAGGTCAGTTTAATAAAGTCCCCTCACCTACGGAGTGTAATATGTACCAGTAAAAACACAGTGGCACAGGGGGAGGGATTGAGCAGAAAAGGGGAAGAAAGAGAGGAGAAACACAATGGCACCTGCTCTTAACTGACTTCTGACTTATTGCCCTTCGTCATATCTAATGCAGCCTCAACCTAGTTCATCTCCACCAAAGCAAGGCTCTTCTTTTCAGCCACAGCTGGGAGCTCTCTAATGTGAAGGGAAAGCCTACTGGGAAGAGCAAGGGAGCCCGAGCTATGATTGCTACCATGACCCTTCCATCCAAAAACTTTCTAAAGAATAGAATAGAAAAGAATAGAATAGAATAGAATAGAATAGAATAGAATAGAATAGAATAGAATAGAATAGAAATATTTCTTTAAAATGACTTTTTAAAAACATAGGATTCACATATGTAGCCAAAAAGAAGATAAATGGCAAGCAGGAAGGCAATCAGGAGAGATTAGACTTGGAAGGTAACACACGAGGGGAAACTACACCAAAGCAGAAGCCAAAAGGAGTCCTCCACGAGCAGCGAGGTGCTCCCCATGTGGATACTCCTAGGAGCTGTTTGACACAGACACCACTGCTCTTCGCTAATGCTCGTCAGCAGGGGCCAGCTGCATGGATCTTTGCTCCGGCCCCTTCCACCCCTCCCTACTCTCCTTCTGTCACAAGACCTCCCCGTTTGTCACCTGGGCCACCTTTACCAGGAAGTCTCCTTGTTCCAATGAGATCTCTCCAAACCTAAAATCCCATACGTCCTATTCTTTATCATGTGCGCTGAATAAGAATTTATGTGCCAGGCAATGTGTAGGGAACTTAGCGTATAGAATACAGAAGACAGTGCCCGGTCCCGCACTGGCCAGTGTTGTTCAGAGGTTAGAGCACCAGCCCATAAACCAAAGGATCTCGGGTTCAATTCCAAGTCAAGGCATGGATACAGGTTTAATCCCCAGCCCCAGTAGGGGCATATGTGGGAGGTAACCAAAGAATGTGTGTCTCTTTTTTTTTTTTTAATATATTTTATTGATTTCTCCACAGAGAGGAAGGAAGAGGGATAGAGAGCTAGAAACGTCGATGAGAGAGAAACATCGACCAGCTGCCTCCTGCACATCCCCCACTGGGGATGTGCCCGCAACCAATGTACATGCCCTTGACCAGAATGGAACCTGGGACCTTTCAGTCCGCAGACCGACGCTCTACCACTGAGCCAAACCGGTCTCTGCAGAATGTGTGTCTCTTACATCAGTGTTTCTTTTTCTTTTCTTTTTTTTCTCTCTCTCTCCCTTTCCCTCCCTCCTTTCCACTCTCTCTAAAAACCAATGGGAGAAAATGTCCTCCGGTGAGAATTAACACACACACAAAAGAAAGTGTCCCACCCCCTAGGGAACTGACAATATATCACAGACCACGTATGTGCTAACAACTGAACACTTAAAATAGCCTGTGATGAGTGGTAGAATAGATAGATGCATCAAATATTATGGAAACTTGGAGAATGGCATGACTAATTCTGCCTTATGGAATCAGGGAATCCGCCTTAAATGAGGTTTTGAAGCATGCATCGGAGTTCACCAGGCAGAGATAATACAGAGAGAAGAGCACCACTGAAATCACAGAGGAGAGCACACACCGGACATGCTCTGGAGACGCCGAGGGGGCCTGACAGAGACTGCCCGGAGAGGACTGGCAAGGCCATACCTTCACAAGCAGACGGGCCTTCTGGAATGAAGGCAGCTGCAGTTTATCCTATGAGAAACCTGGGGATACTGAAGGCTGACACACCATGACACAACCAGTTTGAGATTCAGAGAACAGACCCTGCTGGTAGAACAGGAATAAGCATCGTCTCCAACTTATCCCATACTAGCAATTTGAAGCTTCTAGTTGAGGGGTTTTATTTGTGTGAAATGACTGTTGGAATCCTTGGTAAGCGGATATTATCTGTATTCATCCACATTTTAAAAAATGACTCTGCCTGCCCATATGATGCCGTGTTTCCGGAATAATAAATGAATACCAACACTTATGGCTACAGTCACGTGAGGAACAAATGATAGCAGGCCTCCTCTGATGGTTTCTCACAATCACAGGGAGCAAACGCTCAGATCCCGCCACCAGCGCGAAGGAAGTCCCTGTGTGCGCTTACTTGTCAGTCATCACCGTCGGCTGCTCATCGGTGAACTCCTCGGGCGCTGGCACGAACATGCTGACGATACTGGGCGCGGACAGCAGGCTGGACTTCGTGGCCCCTGGGCGAGCAGCAAAGAGACAAACGGTGAGTTAACATCTGCTTCTTGGGGCCAGGAAGAGCCCCGATCTCCTCTTGTAAATCCTCCGAAGGCCGCATTCGCAGGGGAGGGACGTGGGCAGCCCAACCCCTCAAGAGTAAAATGAATTCAAGACTGGGATTTGCTTCTGCTCATATGGCTTGAAGAGCCAGACTCCTGTCCCTCTCTTTGCTTCTTGATCTTGAAAAAAATCAAAAAAAGTTCCGGTGCCAATAAGGACAAAGATGAAAAAAGGGAGACATCTACCCAAGACGACTCTCAGTGAGTGCTAAGCCTTATTTGCTAGGCATTAATGGAAGCTGCCCTTACGACAGTGTTTCTAAAATCGCACATATGGACTAACACTAACATGTGACTTAGGGAAAGGAAGAAGATCCCAGAACTCCACTCCCCTAAGTAAGGGGAGATGTTTGAGCTGAGAAATACCCGGTGGTTTTTTATAATACTTTGGAAATGAATATGGTAAGCCCCAGAGCAAAATATTTCATTTTTCAAACTGAAATATTTAAAAATGAAACATCAAGTGTTTTGTAAGAATCAGCCAGTGTCTTCGGCCAATCAGTACCACACGGTTTAAAAGGTGGGCTTTTGGTGCCTTCAGAGAAATCTGAGGCAGGAATCTGGCAGCATGGTCCAGGGACGAGTCAATCTGGAGTCGGGAGACTACTCTTGGTCAAGGAAGCCAGCAGCGCGGGGCAGCTTTCCGGGCGTGGGGCAGCGAGGGCCCCCAAGAACCCCAAAGTGGTGATCCAGAGGCACGCTCTGCTTACGGAACAGCCTGAGCCTCTGCGTTCTCCACGCGGGAGAGAAGGCAAGAAAACCCAATGGCCGTGACAGAATCTGTTTCTCATCAGGGAACTGGCAACTCGGTGCTGAGAAACCAAACATAACTGTATGATCTTTCCTCAAGTCGGGGAAAGATAATGATGCAGAGAGTTGGCTTCCAAAGGAGCTGACATAACAATTTCAGAAACCCAGCCAAGCAGGCAGTGTGCTTCAATCCGGGGAGAAAACGTAGTCTGGGAGACTTTGAAGAGGTAGAATGCTGCCAGGCTAGCCAGACGCCCTCGCCTGATCAAAGACCCCAAATGTGAAGCGTGAGATCTGTAGACCCAAAAGGCCGAGGAAAGTATCTGAAAATATCTTTATGTTACATTTAAAGAACCCAAATGGGAATCCAAATTTTACCACTGTATCTATCAGCCGTTTCTGAGATACTGCTCTTTCCTAAGTGCCCCCAAGTGTATCGATAATAAAGACCTCCAATTGTTTTCTTAAAAGATGTAGTTTGGAATGGAAGCAACAGTATTTATTATTATAAGCATAAGAGTAAATTGACTAAGAGCAGGAAAGGCAAGAACTGGGCCAAGCCGAAACCGGTTTGGCTCAGCGGTAGAGCGTTGGTCTGCGAACTAAAAGATCCCAGGTTCGATTCCGGTCAAGGGCATGTGCATTGGTTGCGGGCACATCCCCGGTAGGGAGTGTGCAAGAGGCAGCTGGTCGATGTTTCTCTCTCATCGACGTTTCTAGCTCTCTAGCTCTCTCCCTTCTTCTCTGTGAGAAAAATCAATAAAATATTAAAAAAAAAAAAAGAACTGGGCCAAGATAAAAAGAAGACAAGGTTGATTATAAAGTGGTCAGGTAAACAGCATGAAGCGGCTTCAAGAAACCAAAACATGGAAAGTTTAAACCCAACACTCCACATATTGTTCACATTGACAGACCATGTCCACCAGATTCCAAAATGCCTGTGCTAAACATGGAAAAACTCAGCCCATTAGATGTGGTGACATATGCACAGTGTTACCAGAAACATAAGAAATTGATTATTTTAAGAGCCTGAGTCAAGGCTTTGAGAAGATCACTGCCTATTGTTATTATGCAGAAATCACAATTCAAGTCAAGAAAAGGGAGGAAATCAAAGTCATTTTTTCAGCTGATTATTATCCAGTACAAAGGCCACCAACAGCAGCATGAAGTTGTTTTTTCAAAGGACAGTGCAGAGTGTGTGATGCGATATTGCTGGCAGTCGCCTAGAAAAGCATCTAGGTTCAGTTATGGGCAATGGTTCCCACATGGCAACATGAGCTGTGCTGGGAGAGCAAAGAGCGATGTACCAAGGGAAGGTGGGAAATTCAAAGGAAGCCATAGACCTCAGCTACCTTTTGTTGTAGCTGAGTCACCACTGAGCCTGCAATATTAGTGGCAGTCTCATGATCCCCCGTTGTTGGCAATACTTCTGGTGCCACCACCTATGCTCCCCTACTAAATACCCAGTGTGCATGCCACACAGAACAGAAATAGAAGGTTCTTAGGAACCTTATAATAAAGAGAAGACCTCCTCCAAAACCCAACTCCCAAGCTGGAGATTTTGAATCTTGGCAATAAGAGAAAGCATAAAGGATAGGTCTGTCTATAGCAAGCATGCTCGCACACTCAGTCCCCACGCTGCATCAACAGGCTCTTCATTGTACCATGAAAGACCCTCACCGTCTTTGTTCTCACCACCTCACTCCATGTGTGTTGCTGTGTCACTTAGGTCACAGACAGGGACCAGCGTTTGCTCGACCACCCTGATTTCTGCTTCTTAAAGCTTTTCCTAGAGCCCTAAATGAGAAGAGTCTCCTCTCACCTGACATGGACACTATAACTGCTACTCAACACCATACAAATTTTAGCAAAATCTGGAGATAAATATTCCCTCATCCCAGGGAAAATGAGAAAAGTGACAGGAATAGCAGGTCTTCTTGATCTAAGGGGCTAAGAGATGTGGTCCTAATTCATTTTCACTTTTTACAAATGATAGGCTAAGCTGCCTTCTGAATTTAAAAAGAACAAAAGCAATGATTAACTAGCCAGGAGATGAGTTTTGAAAATACCCATCCAGATGAACTTAGCACAGACACATTCTCGGCTTGCTCCTAGAGCAGCATAAGGTCAAGAGCGCCCTCTGTGCCATTTCAGAAGGCTGACAATAAGCCATTCATCCGTGCCCTCACCATTCTGGAGGGAACACAGAGGAGCTGGACCGTGCCCGGAGAAGCAGATTCGGGGTGACATGCAAAACGGACACCTATGGGGAGGAATACCTAAGGACCCAGGGGTGTGTGTTCTAGGGCAGACTGAGGAATAAGCAACAGGTGACTATGGAGAGAGACTAGACTTGATTGGCTTGGTCCCGAGGGCTGGAAAGTCTCCCTGAGGAAGAACTTCCTGTTGGTCCTGTTCAGACCAGAGAGGTCACGCCTTCCGGCTCCCCGGAGGTGTCTGAGCAAAGGTGGGAGCCATGTCACAGAGCTGCCAAACCAGAGGTTTGCTGGGAGGCTCAGTGATGAGCAGATACAGTGTCTTCCGTTTCTCATGTGACTCCACTCACCTCTCATCCTCAGAGCCTGTCCCTCCAGGTCAGGGTTTAGGCACACTGGCACGTTGCACTGGCGCTTCCCCGGCTGTATCTGTTCTGTGGACAAACAGGGCATCTCCGTCTCAGTGTGGTCGGCTAAGCACCGTTCACAATCCAAAGAATTTAACCACTGATCTCACGGGGCCATGTTCCCAGGCATCGTTATTGTTGATGATTAACATTTACAAGAAACACCCTGCTTTTTAGGGCAGGCCTGTTTGGCCTTTCACTTTACATCTGCCCTTCAGGTCTATGAAAGGCAATCAATAGCAGCAGAGCATCTACAACCACCCAAAAATAGCCCCGTTCCACCACTGCCACCCCAGAAAGGGCTCAGATCCCATCTCTCTTGATAGGAAATGAAAACATAAGAGGCTAACGTCACAGCCATCAAGAAATGTTTTACGCAAACCAATAAATGCATAAGTGATCTTCTGGGGCAGTGGCCAGAACGGTCATACAGAAAACGTGTGGAACTGGTAGCAATGCAATGACAGGCGTTTGAGGACGGAGGAGCAGGAATAAGGGGGCAGGGGCGGAAATGGGGGGGGCGGTGCTTCAGGAAGGTTGGTTTCATGTGAAAGATGAAGCAAAGAAGTAAGCCATCTGCTGTCCGTGGACAGAGGAGACAGGCACTTTGTGAGTGAGCTGGTGCATGCCGAGGGGACTCAGTCATGACCCGTGCTTTAGGCTGCCTTTCTCAGTGTGTCTACGTGACTAGATCTGTTCCTTTGCAGGCTAGTGAGTCAATGCATCAATGTATGTGGTATGATGTGCTAACGCTGAACTACACGTTCATTGACTTTCCTCTGACCTTGATTTGGGGAGAACTTTTTATGGCGCGAACAAAAACAAGAATATGTTGTGCTGAAGCTCTAGTTGGACTTGGTGACCAGAGAACCAATTTGAAGGATGGAAAACCAGCCCAAGGAAACCTGGGTGAAAGAAATTCAGACAGCACGGAAATAGTGAGTATTAACTGAGACACCAGAGTTTGGTTGAAAAGTGAAAAATTCTGTTAAATGGGTTATTTGGCATCATGTAGATTTCTTTTAGATTAAAATTTAGATTGGAAATTGAGCTCTATTTGCCTTCTTATCTCTACTGAGTCCATCAAACGGGGTTGTCACTGTAGTCAGAATTTAAACTGGTTTGCTTAGGCTGAGCTATCGATACTTGCTACGGAAAACAGGACAATGGTGAACTACTCTTTGGAGCCCACAGGTCAACCGAACACAAGCTGGACATTTAATTACTAAGGAACTCACCAAACAAAAGCTCTCATTCTCAGTTCCTTACACACTTCATCTCAGTAAAGAGCAAATTCGCCCAAACGCTGGAGACTGGCTATCCAATGTCTTCCTCCTGGTCTCTTTGCTTCTTGGCTTTTGGGCATTTTATTACTCACTACTGCCTATCAGTAAATGAAAGATAAAACACTAAACCCTCAACATGTTAACAACCCTTATAAAGGCCTGGAGAATTGAAACTATCTAACTATCTGCTAAATGTAGGATTGAGTATAGTGTGTGGGATTCAGTCATCTAGACCAGTTCTCTCTTTTTTCTTTCCTTCCTTCCTTCCTTCCTTTCTTCCTTCCTTCCTTCCTTCCTTTTTAAGACTGTAGGGAAATAAATTGAAATTATGTAATTATTATGGTTTTGAAAAAATAACAATATCTCAAGATTTTGGGTCTGTGGAAATTATAGTTCCTGGTCTTAAAGAAGGGTATTAAAATAACTGCATATAACCGTAGCCAGAAAGTACTAACCCAGATACTAAATTAGCCCGATCCAAGTTTGGCCCCCAGATCAGAGTGACAAATCCTGATATTTTCATAGTTCATGCATATTGCAAAGTGCTTTCACATGTGTAATTATGTAACTCAAATGAGCCGTTTAATTAAAAAGAAGAGAAGCAGGCACTCAAAAGGATTGAGGCCATAAGTACTGGCTTGAGAAAGTGGTACGTGTGCAGAAATACATGGTAATAGGGTGTAGAAAGGGCAGAGGGGTCATGTGTAGACCAGACATGTCACGGCAGTCAGTTCTTACTTTAAAATTGGGGTTAGATGCACTTCCGTCGTATGAGCGTGAGGGTGTGCGGCTGCACCCTGGTGCCCTACTGACTCAGACACACAGCTCACATTCCCAAACCTATTGGCAGACCATGACGTCACTAAGCTGACATTGGCTATTATTATTATTACTACTAACAAACCCTTATTTGGGTACTTTACAGTTTATAAAACCGAGAATATTAATGACCCGGTATTTCGTTTTGTACTTTTAATTCACATCATGAAATCATAGTGCCATTCCTTCCTTTGACATCATTTAACTCCCAGAAAGATAAACCTAATACCTGGAATTTGGGTCTTAGATGGGGGGATCAACCTAGATGGGAGAACAGGTGGCTCTAGAATGCTTGGAAAGCTGAAGTAGACTTATTAATTACGTTAAGGGCTTTAAAAATTATTTGAACCACAGAGCACACGAGAAAGTCTATTCCTTCACAAGGGGGCAGAAGGGACCAAGGGATCGTGGCATTAGCTCATCGGCGGGGTAAAACGGGAAGAAAAAGCTTGGCCCACCAGTGTCCCAGTTGCTGATGTTATGGGGGCGCTAAACTGAGGTTCTAGCTGTCACTTCATTAACTGGCTCCCAGTCAGAGCTCCCAGGGACCCCCTTTCCATCTGCCTATCCTGAGCTATAAGGAGGAAATTAGGAGGTGATTACGAGGGGGATAAACCTGCATGGCACGCAAAGACTCTACACATCCAGATAGAATCCTAATTGAGTCTTCGTCAGCTTTGTCAGGTAATTGTTTGGTCAATTGTATGCTCCTATCCAAATGAAAAACTAAAGCCCTATGCCATTCCTGGCGCCTTTCTCCACTTGGCAGAGAAAAGCACAGTGCCTATGGGCACTGTCTGTAGCCTGTACATATTTAGACCAGCAACATGATTTTGGTCATTAACTTTTTATTTATGTACTTTGCCTTGTTCCAAAAAGGTATTAAGACAGATCATTTCACTTTGAATTCATAGTGCAACTTTATTTAATGGAGCTTGTGCATATATAGTTTCCATTTCCATTATATTCCCTGATTGTTCCCATGGTGTGTGTGTGTGTGTGTGTGTGTGTGTGTGTGTGTGTGTGTGTATTTTAGAGTAGGATGACATATATCAATTCTTAAGGAAAAAAATGGAAGCTGCTGAAATTATGTTACTTGGAACCAACCAGCAAATAAGGTGGTCGTAAAGCCAAAGCATGTGGACTCTGAAGTCAGTGCTGTTTCAATCTCTGTATGAGCCTACTATTGGAAAAGGGTGACTCGGATAGTATTCCACAAGCACATTCTAGTACACATCTTTATCCGGTTATCTAATGTGTTTGTGTCAGAAAATTGTGGTAACAGTTTAATTCTGCAATTAGGCACTGACAAATATGCCACTGATGAAATGTCAAGGTATAAGCATTTCAAAACCAGAAAGAAAAAACAAAACAAAGCAGAAAAAGCACTTCTGCCAGGAGACTGCCAATGGGAAAGCCACCTGCCGCTGCCCCCCGATTCCTCTCCAGCAGCCCTCCCCTCCCGGCCCAGCCCAGTGAGAAAGGCCGAGCACCAATGGTGTGCTTTTCTATGGGATCCCACATACTGGGATATGCGAGGGCTTGCGGCCATTCGCTCTCTTCTAAGGACAATTTTAGAAACTGCAGCTCCGCACTACATGACCCAGAAGGGGATGGTGGCACCTCGGATGACTGGTCCCCAGAAAGTCTTGACTGTTATAGGCAGGATCCTCAATCATGATACCAAGGCAGCAGCTGGTGTGATGTGAAATCAATCGCAATATTGCTTTTCATGTAATTAGCATGCTGTTGGATTCATGGTGGTCATGGCATGCTGAGCTACAAAATAATCGGCTAATAAACTGATGAAAGAGAGGAATGTGATGGGAATTCTGTGTCTTGGAATCCAGCTTAACTGAATCCATGGAAATGATGCAAACTAATATGGAAAATCTCTGATGCTTCTGGTTGATTGGTAAAACTTACAATTGTATGACTCACTTGAAAAGTACAGCCTCTTTAAAATCCAAAAGTGAAGCTCTTTTAGAAGATTTAAGAAATTTAAAAATTAGCAGCAAAAAATAAAAAGATTTAAAACCTCTAATGATTGAATAATTTCTCCAATTCTCTGTTTTTAAAGACAACAGAATTTCCTATGAATAAAAATCCTTACTAGTTAGCTCAGCGTATAAGACCCCTGGCATTATGCCTCCAAGAACCATCTATTACATGCTTTTAATAAAGAGAAGGAGGAAGGTGGAAATCTTATGATGTGCTATGCTAAATCTGAAAGGGCTTGACTCAGTCATGAATAGGGATTATGGTACATTTGCTACATTTATTTTATGATACATTTAACTAGCACCAAACTCAAACTGACTTAGTCATCCTACCTCGAAGCATACCCAGCTTGGAATTCTAACTAAATCCACTACCTTTTTCTTTTTTTTTTTTTTTTTTTTTTGTCATCTGGCTCATGAAAATCAGGAGGAGAAAATACACTTTCATGATTTTAGTAAAAATTTTAGCCTAGACGTTGTGGCTCAGTCAGGTGGTTGAGCACTGATCTATGAACCAGGAGGTCACAGTTTCAATCCTGGTCTGGGCATATGCCCAGGTTTCGGGCTCAATCTCCAGTAGGGGCATGCAGAAGGCAGCTGGTTAATGATTGTCTCTCATCATTAATGTTTCTATCTCTCTCTCCCTCTTCCTTCCTCTCTGAAATCAATAAAAACAGATTTTATTAAATGGGCATTTTATCAGGTTATCAAATGGATTTTTTGTGATAAAGAAGAACAACTAGATTCAAAACTAGCCATTCTTCTTTGCTACCAAAAGGGAAAATAACAGGCACTTGGAAATTCTTTCTTAGAATTCCTACCATCTCTATCATAACTGATTGTGAATTATTCTAAAGCAGCATGGTATACTAAAAAGAGCATGAGCTTTTGAAAAGTCAAATAGATCTGGCACCAATTCCTGTCTCTACCACTTAGTGGCTGTGTGACTTTAGACAAGTCATTTAGTCTCTCTGAACCTTTGTGTCCTAATCTATAAAATGGAGTCAATAACTTCTGCCATGCATTGCTAATGTAAGGACTGAATAAGACAACAATGTGTGTAAACCACTCACCATAGGTGTCTGGCACAGGATAAATGTAACATCATGCTGCTCTTATCACTGATATGACTGTGAACTCCTTGAGGAGAAGGGATGTTATTTTTTCACATCTGATCCCCAGTGCCAAGCACAGTGCCTGCACCCGGCAGACACTTAATAACTAGTTGCTGAATGAATGATAGCATGAATGAATGAATGACAAAGATGATGATGTTGTTCTGTACTACTAGTCCAGAATTTAAGCTAAGATCCTTATCGGATTTTTCAGAATCATCCTCATTTCAAGAGAGTAACCAGCCCCTCGGGCAGCGTCCACATGGAACATAGACGATACCAGCACACGTGACCAGAGTTTGCAGAACTCGCACCTCTGTTTGCATCTGATTCCTGCAGACCATTTCCTATTCTAAAGTCTCTTACTTGTCTCCACTGAGCCAGGGAGACACCCTTATCCTCCCCTGAGCGGAACTCAAACTCCTCGTGACAAAATCTAGGACCCAACAACGGAAGGCAGTTTCCAAACAGTTGCCTCTTATAGATCTTGTAAAAATTTCAGGCCATTTTTATTTCCTGGTCTAAAGAACTTGATTCAGCCATGATGCTGGGATCATGAGATATCAAATACATCTATTTTATGATAACCCCGAAAAAATTTTGTTAATGATGGAGGGGATTCAAATTAAAATGTTCCATGTAAAATTCTGCCATACATAATGCTTTCCACTTGTCCAAAAACCCATTCCATGTTTTATGATTAGGCTTGTAATATGTTTTATTATTTTATTGAGTGACAAAATTCAGTGATTATTCCTTAACAAGTGAGAAAACTTGGTCCATCAGTAACCATACTGATTTATCAAACACTTGAGATGTTGACAAAGGTGAGCCCATGCCTCAGGGTCTCTGAGAACACACAACGTAGTGTCACCTAGCTAACACAACATTTAAAAAAAGAAAACCAAGTGTGTGAAAACTGAAAATAATGTAGCAGATAATGTTCCGAAATCAATGCAAAAGAAATCTTACTTGATATCGAGGAATGGCTGCTTGTTTCCGGCACACCTGCCTCTAAGGTAGGGGCGGACGAGGATTCGCGTGGCATTTCCAAAGTAGAAAGTCCTTTAGTGGAGGGATCTACAAGCACAAATACTATTTAAAACTCAGGACTCTGATTAAAAACAAATTCTAGATAGAACCGTTTCTTTATACTACTCCCCCCCCCTGGCCTAATACACTCATTCTACTTATATACCTACTATACACTTTCTGGCCCTACTAATTACTTCAATGGAATTACATTCAAATTTTCATGGAGAACTGCTTGCATATTGCACTCTGCACCTCTCAGAGATCAATGACAGCATAAGGACAAAACTAAGATGCTCACACTGCCCGTCCTTGAGCAGGTCTCTTCACCTTCTAGACTGAATTTCTTTTTATCTAATACCTAAACTCACTTACAGTTCATCCCATCTATCTATATCATTCCACCACTCCACCTTTATCAGGTCTAAACTGGCAGTTGGACATCTCTTACAATCCAGGACCACTGGCTCCTAACTGCTGGCTGCCTGCCTGATTGCCCCCAACTGCCTCCCCCCACTGCTGACATAGTCATGCCCAATTACTCCCCCTCCCCCTCCCGCTGGCCTGGTCGCCTCTCTCAGCCCTCCTCTGCCAGTCTGGTCACCTCACCAGAGTTATCGGCCTGGCCGCTATGCAGCTTGCTGTTCAGTTATCGGGTTGTCCCTCACTAACCCCCTGTCGGCCTGGTGCCCCACACAGCTTGCTATTTGGTCATTACTGTGAGGGTGTCCTGACCAATTTGCATATTACCCTTTTATTGGTATAGATACACACCTACCCCTTCTAATAGTCTCCGATATATTCACATTATAGACCTCTATAGTTTCTAGGCCAATGCCTTTTTCCATCTATATGCAGAAACTTTCCTGGCTCCAAACAATAAAAAGTTACCCCGTCTCCCTAGAAACCTTCGGAAGCTTTCTGGTTAGTACCAGGATCTTTCCCTTCCCCCACCTGGCCAGAGCATGCCCTTTTTCAAATACCCTAATGTTCACTCAACAGATTTTCACAGAGCACCTTTGAGGTACACAGCTCTGTCCTCTGAGGTAGAGAACAGTCAGAAACCTCAGGAAATACCTGGGCAAATAAAAGAGCCGAGCCCATCCTCAAAGGAGTGGCTTGTGTATGGAGCAGTAGGAGAAGCAGGACTAGAATTGAGGGACTAGGCCCGATTCCTGGCTGCCACTACCTGGCTGTGTGACCCACAGCAAGGCCCATCACCTTCTCGGGGGGCAGTGTCCTCTTACAGAAAGCGAAGTCTCTGAGCTCTCTGCCAGTTCTCAATGCTCTAGAGCAGTGATTCTCAACCTTTCTAATGCCTGGACCCTTTAATACAGCTCCTCATGTTGTGGTGACCCCAACCATAAAATTATTTTTGTTGCTACTTCATAACTGTGATTTTACTACTTTTATGAATCGTAATGTAAATATCTGTGTTTTCTGATGGTATTAGGCTCTACAGCAGCGGTTCTCAACCTGTGGGTCACTAGCAGGGTTGCCTAAGACCAAGGGTCGTGGCATTAGAAAGGTTGAGAACTACTGCACTAGAGCCTATGAATTTAATAAGATAATCAGCCCTGACCAATTCCATTTGTTTTGAAGAATCATATTCCTTTTTTTAAAATATCTAAGTTGAGAAATGAGGAAGCAGCTGATCAGTAGTATGGCAACACTATAGCATACTATGTTTTAGGCGGGCTACCAGCTTGCCACTTTCCAAGTTATCTTTCTTAGAAACTGTCTCCAAGAAATGGCACTTGAGGCAGGAAATCCCTGTGCTGTGACAACTTCACCACCAAGTGGTGTCCACCGATTAGAGTCTCGGTGATACTAAACTTTTTTGCTGTTGTTCTTGACGGGACACAATGTCCACCAAGTTGCTGATATTGTTTAAAATATATTATATAATCAACTGTAGGCCCTAAATGAGTATACGGCCAATTATTGTATTAATTATTCTCAGCACCTTTTGCTCTATTTTAGCCCTTTGTATTTGTTCCTCTTTTGGACACTATCACAGCTCACTAAAGTGGGGGGGTGGGGGGGGGAGAAGAGAAAGCAAAAGAGTTCACTCTAATGGCTTTTGCTGACTGAGGAAGACTAAAATGATATTTGGAGTATCTTGATATGAATTAACCATTGCCTCTGATTGCCAAGGATGGTAAAAAATTGATTGAAGAGCGTAGAAACAACACACACAGAAACACTTATGGAGCCAATAAAACACATCTGAATCCAACACGTGCAGCCAGGCAGGAAGGATTTGGAGTGATTACGAAACAATTACAATGTCACTCCCTGACAATATCAGGTTAAGAATGTATGCTAGCTGGCCTGGCTCACTAGTTGAACATCGGCCTATGAACCAGGAAGTCATGGTTCGATTCCTGTTCAGGGTACGTGCCCAGGTTGCAGGCTAAGTCCCCAGTGGGGGTGTGCAAGAGGCAGCCAATCAATGATTCTCTCTCATCATTGATGTTTCGATTTCTCTCTCCCTCTCACTTCCCTCTCTGAAATCAATAAAAATATATTTTTTAGAAAGATTAAAAATGTAGACACAGTCAAAACCAAGAATCTAACTGGTACGATGCACAAACTTGAACGTAAGGCTGGGAGAAGGAAGAGGCAGGAGTTTACCTGGATCCTTCTGTTCTCCCAGTTTGTCCAGAATGTTGAAGGAGATGTCCAGGTACTCTCTCTGGATGGCACTGACCGCGATCTTCCTCTGTTTCCTCTGCCTGGGAACGATCTGGATCTTAAATTCGGATTCCTCAGCCCCCTCCTCTTCAGCCTTCCTCTCAGGATTCTGTTCCGTGTCGGATTCAGCACTGGTGTCGGGCTTCTCGCTTTCCATTGGGCTCTCGGCATCTTCGGGGACTTTGAGGAGGACAGTTTTTGCCCCTGAACTTGGCATCAGCCCTCCCAGCGTCTCTTCTCCGATGCCAGGGTCCAGGGTGTCGTCCAGGGACATCTCGGGGAGAGCAGACGACTTCTGAAGGAGGTCTCGCTTCTGTTTCAGCGTGAGCGGGCTGCCCCCGGGGAGCTCCTGCAGCTCCCCCAGCTTGGCTAAGGCCTCAGAGTCCGCGGGGTCTTCCAGAGCTACAAATCGGAAGTCCTTGTCCCCTGCCGGCTGATGGGACCCCGAGTCCTTCGAGGAGAAGTCTTTGGAACAGTCCTCCACGCTCACTTGCACAAGAGGAGCTGTGCTCGGGCTGAGGCCGGAGGGGCGGCTGGGGATGGAAGGCGGGGAGGCAGCCTTTTTGCCAGCGCCACGGTCGTTTCCCTGGCCCGTGGTCTCCTCTTCGTCGCTCTCCACTATCCGCAGAGGGGGGAGAGGCTCAAACACGAGGGAGTCGCTGTCGGACGTGGAGAGCATGGACTGCTTCTCGGGCCCCGAGGCTGAGTCTGAGGACAGATCGATGAGATCGAGGTCCTCTTTGGGAGCGGGCTTTATTGGAGAGTCGACTTTGACCTCAAAGGTCTCCATGCAGTTCAACCTGACCTCCGGGATCACGGGCCTCCGCCGCTCCTGCAGGCCTTCCGCGGCCGGGAGCTCGGGGACCGCGGCGTTGCTCGGTCTGGCCGCAGAGTTCTGTCTAGGCCGTCCGTGGTCATGCTGTCTCTGCGTGACGTAGGCAGCCTGGGCGGGGGGCTTATCTACGTCACAGCGGTCTATGCAGGACTTCCTACGGTGCTCATCTAATGTAAACAACAGGGAGTCTGCGTTCCCTATATCAAGAGATTTTTGTTTTAAAGAGCGCAGCTTTTTTTTCTGAATGCTTTCTTCTCTCACACAGTGGAGAATGCTGTCTTGCAACGCACCCGTTTCTCTATAGTCAGCCAGCTCTATTTCACCTGATTGAAACAGAAAAAGCTGGTACTATTTTATGGGGAGATGTCACCATTGTTTCTTTTCCCCCTCATACGTGGGCATACCATTGACATCAATCATGATCACAATCCCAGCGCCACCAGAAGGCCAAACTGACTTTCTGGCCATGTTTTTTTTTTGTGTGTGTGTGTGTGTAAGGTTCATTCTAATTTCAAAAACCAGAAACCCTTGAATGGAGAGAACCCACAGTGGCAGTTTAAGATTTAGGTTTCCAAAATCAGGCTTCAGAAAAATTCCTCAGCTCTGTTCATTGGTACAGGAGAAGGGATCGCTTTGGCTGGGGCTGAGCTAGGGAACTATAGTCAAATTGTGTGGAAGAGAAGCAAACGTTTTGCAACAAATCAAATCAAGCAATGGCCCTCTAGCACAGTCATGACGTTAATGAGGTATCTGTCGATTCACATATATATATAAATGTGTGGGTGCATATATATATATATACTGTTTGTGCATACATAAATATATAAAATCAACGGTATTAAAATGTGTCATAACATAATAAAATTAAGGTTTTACCCCAAACAAACGGTAGAGTACAACATTTCTGCATAAAAATTACTAAGAGGAAAAAATTCATACTTCTCTGTACATTCATCTCAACCGGCTGATATTTCACCATTTTGCTGCCGCCTATCCTTTTCAATCTTGCAAAAAAAGTTTGAGACTCTTTATTGCAGGGTCCAGTAGGTGTATCATGAATATCAGATTCATCAAAAACACTATCTTCTTCTAATTGGGGAGAGAAAGTCAAAATTACACTTAAGAGGTTATTCTCTCTTAGGCTGTGTCTACACAAGCATTTCAACGAAAGCATTACATGGAGCCAAGGCTGGGGTGGTGTCTGCGCCAGCCCACATCTAGCCATGGCTCGGTATGTCATCGGGGCATCAAATCACCCATATGTTCCACAGAGCAACCTGCTATCCAAGGCTGCCCTTCATTTTCCAGGTGACAGTTGGCAGCATTTTCAAGAGGGACATTTCAATGTTCTAACAGAGCCTCGTGCAGAAGCTCTCCCAATGCGCTTAAAACCGGGTAATACATAGGTGTCAGGAGTCTGGGGTACTGCTTGACATCCCTGCCTCGGGTGAATTTTCAGGCTAATTTGGCAAAAGAAAATTAAGCAAAATGAGTGGTTCTCACTCTTTCCAAAGAAAAATATGCCTTCTTAGGACTTGAGAACTGGCATAGACACAGCCTAACAGTACATGCACCTTATACTTGGTGAATGCAAAATACTGTACTCTACATTTGGCAATGAAACACACAACACACAGAAAAAGCTTAGAAAGGCCACTGGCCGTCTTAAAAGCTCCACAAATGATTATGGGCTGAAGGAGTAAACCAAGGAAAAAAGAAAACAGAAAATAACATTCCCCCTAGTTCAGACTCTTCTCTGAGGAGTGTGCCATGGGTAACTACTGGGAGTCCCAGAAAGAATCTCTGGCTCATAGGCCTGAGGCCCCCTAAACAAAGTGGCCCCTAGAGTGCCTATCGAGCGTGTTTCTATGTCCTCCTCTGTCCCCATTTGGCCCATTTTAAATCAAAGACAGATACAAAAATGAATTTATCAGGAAAGGTTGCTATGCTGCAGCCCATCAAGTTCACTTAATTTCCTAAGTTCTTTCGTGCTCTGGAAAGGCCAAAGCCATGTTCAAAGCAGCAAAAGAAATGGCTACAAAAGTGCACTTGATACCAGGATAAATGAAATCAACCTACTCTTGGCGTGGAATACCACTGAAATCACAGCATTTGGCCTATGTCGACATCTACCTATGTGACAAAATGAGGCTCAGGTGTGATGAAGGTTATGTAGGCTTTCTAGAGTATACAAATACAGAGTTAAAGTTTTGATCCTGTCCTCAGACACAAGAGTCTATAAGTAAGTGAAATTTGAAGCAATAGATGTTAGATAAACCAAGAACAGTGATCCTTTTTGTCTAAAATAAATAAATAAACGTTAACCATTAAAATGGATACAAAACTATCAGTGAACTTCCACAAGGATGAGAAAACCTATCAAACTCCTGTGTCTTGAGGAGATGCAACCCAGTGACCTATTTGCTTTTTTTTAATTTCCCTTATAAAAACACACTCCTTTAAAAATGCAAGTGTTTGAGGATAAAGTTACACAATTGCCATTGTATAGCTGCAAAATAATTCTCAGTTATACTGAATAATAGAGAAGAAAGGCTTCAGGATAGCATCGCCCATCTAGAAAGGGTCACCTGGGATTGGCTCAAACACTGAGCCCGCATGTACCTAGATCTACCCAATTTCCCAGAAACAAGGAGCTAACCTGGTAGATAAGATATTCTTCAGAAAGGGTCTGATTGATGCCAGAACTAAGTAACTTAGTACTCCGAGATCCATCTAGAGCCAACCTAGACTCAGCCCTCGCAGCCATAAACCAATCATGGAACGCTGGCTCCAACCCATCCTACTGAGATATGTTCAGAGCAGTCAACCAAGTCAGACTCCATTAACACCGCTCTCTAACACACCAAAGGGTCATGGGACGCTTGGCTGTCTCCCAGGATTGGATTCGGTGATGTCACCTTCTACGAGTCCAGTCACCCCGTGACGCACACGAAAGATAAACACCTTGGCTCTTCAAGCTATCCTTTCACTCCTTTGTGGAAAAGCTATCAATATAAGAAGTCAATATCGGAGATAATGTAAACCTATGCAGCGCAAGTCCTTCATTCCAGTTGCCTTAAGTCAATTCTTATTGAATAAGATAGCCTCAAAAAGCATGTCCGCAAATGTAGACTCCATTCACATCTGTGAGCACAGAGTCCAGGAGCAAACGAGAGACCGACAAGGTTACATGGCTCCACTACATGCCGACCAAGCACCACCTCACAGCCCAAGGCGAGGTGTTTCCGTCACGTAGAAAAAGGCCCATAAAGGTCTTGTAACCAAACAGTAGACACTCTCTACCAAACGCTATATCCTATTAAATTGATTTCAGAAGTACATTCATTATTTCTCTTCCATCTTAAAAATTAAGGCCGCAATGTTCATGGGAAAGTTGGAAAATTAATGAAGCAGTCAGTGATAGTTTGACTCCAGAAGGACACCTGAGGCCCCTTCTGTCTCCTAACCTAAGAGAAACACTGTCCAGAATGTGTTACATGCTCAGACTAAGTTTAGGATAGAACTGAGAGGCGTGAAGTACCTTTTTCTTTCTCGCTGTATCTGCTGATGGTGCTGTTGTCACTGTACAGCGGTCCTGCCGTGGCATGGGGCTTGCAGCTATGATACTGCGCATTGAGCGTATTGACTGTTATGTGAATCAGGTGCAGCAGGACCTTGCTGATGTCACATTCCCGGTATGGATACTGCACAACAAAACAAAGGGAGAAATAGGTAAATGGTTATTGTGAAGGGTAAGTTTCCACATGATCTTGATAGATATTTTCCCTGGCATTTCTTTGGGGTGAAAAGAAAAATACAGATAGGCAAAAACATAAATCCTTATCATGCAAGCCCTTAATCCCTGACGCTTGCACCAAACCACAGATGGTGATGCATGCCAGCTCGCAGTTACAAATCCTTTCAACAGAATTATTTGCCATAAACATTTGGTCTATGAGTACAATTTTAAATGTTTTCCTTGTTTTCTGACATAACAATTAATCTATAGATAAAATAGGAGATTCTAATCAGAAATAGAGGTGATTGATCCAAGCCCTACAATTCATTTTTTTTATTTTAAACATTTTCAAGAGAAGACACTGACATGGCCTCCATTTCTAGTTTCATTCTGATAGCTCTTTGCTTCTCAGCACTAACTGCACATGACAATTCTTCCTCTTAAGGTGAAATGATGGTCCTACAACATTTTCAACACTGGTCTCTTAAGTGTTCGCCTCACTAAGAGAATCATTGCACCAAAAAACAATGACAGCAATTCACCTTGTACAGGATGACAAGCAAGGCCTTCAACCACATCTGCCGGATGTGAGGTTTTAGGGACCAGAGGGAACAACGTGGTGGCTGTTGGAAATAATGCCGGAGTTGAGGACAAGAGCAGTATTTGAGCACCTGAACCACCAAGGGGAGAAGGTGTTTTCCCAAATTAATGTTATAGTCCATAACCTGAAATAGGAAAGAAATTAATAACTGAAGGAAAACTATAAAGAACACTTACAAGCTTAAAAGGAAACATTTGATCTATCGAAACACAGGCAAAATACTTAACAGGCATTTCACAAAATATTAATAGTAATGGCCAATACGCATCAAAGAGGAAAGTCCAACCTCACAGGAAATTTTTTTAAAACCTTGTATGTTAAAAATAGTTTTAATCTACTTAATTATCTAATAATCTATTTGATTTATCTATTAAAATAAATTTTATCTATTAAAATGTCCTATTAAGCTGTTAAGCGGAATAAAACTTAGAATCAATCAAAACACCTGGTATGGGAAATCTTGTGGAGAAATGGACATTCTCAGACACAGCATATTACCTTTCTGGAAACAGTATATTACTCAATACAACCTTTCAAGAGAGTAAGTTAACAACATGTATTCAGAAGTAAAAAAAGCACATAGCCTCTAACACAACAATTAAATATATCCTCAGGAAATAATCAGACAAGTGTTCTAAGATGTGTGCATGAATAATAGTCAGCATTATAGCCACCCCAAGCTGGAAACAAACCTACATATCCAACATTATGGGACTAGTTGATAAAAGATTGTTTTTATGACAGCAAACTACTATGTAACCATTAATAAGGTATGATACAAATTTATTTACATTATATGAATTCTGTAATATATTTTACATTTAGAAAGGTTACACCTACAGCCCTGGCCAGTGTGGCTCAGTTGGTTGAGCATCTTGTTATGCACTGGGAGGTCACCGGTTCAATTCCGGGTGAGGGCACGATTAATGTGGGCAGGATTCCCAGTAAGGGGGGCATGCAAGAGGCAGCCGATTGATGTTTCTCTCTCACATTAATGTTTTTCTCTCTCTCTCCCTCCCTTTTCTTCTTCTCTCTCTAAAGTCAATAAAAACATATTTTTAAAAGGAAACACATACATATATCAATATGTATAACATGATTTTATCATTATTAAAAATGTGCATATATATTGCTGAAACTGGTTTGGCTCAGTGGATAGAGCGTCGGCCTGCGGACTGAAAGGTCCCGGGTTCGATTCCAGTCAAGGGCATGTACCTTAATTGCGGGCACATCCCCAGTAGGGGGTGTGCAAGAGGCAGCTGATCGATGATTCTCTCTCATTGATGTTTCTAACTCTCTATCCCTCTCTCTTCCTCTATGTAAAAAATCAATAAAATATACGTATTTTAAAAAATGTGCATATATATATATATATATATGTATACATATGTATGAATGTATATGATACACACATGCATATGTGTGTGTGAATTTAAAAATAAAGTAAATTTTAAAACTATTAGTTATTTGTCATGGGCTTTTTTGAGATTTGTATTTTACCTTATTGATTCTATTTCCAAAATGAATATGCATAACATGGATTTAGAAAGGGAAAAGCAGGGGAGTGAAGGAAGGAGGTAGGGAGGAAAGAGAGGGACAGCTTGGTGTCTGAAATGGTGCACTCACTCTTCAACCCAGACAGCCGAGTGTTAGTGGTGGTCCATCAAATTATCAGCACCAGCAAGAGAAAACTATGTACATCCTGCTCCCACTTTGCTTCTCTGCGTTCATCACTTTACAGTCTATTTGAGCTCATTAATCACAGCTACCATCCCTGTGCTCCTAGCATGAGACAGGCACTGAGCAAGGTGCTCTGCAATATGCTGTCTCTAATCTTTCCAAAAGAAGTCTGTTACCCGTGAGCAAACAAGCAGAAGATGCCTGAGGTCACAGAGTTAATGAAAACGGCAGAGCTGAAATTCATGTCCATTAGTCCCCAGGTCCTGAGCCCTTTGCAGACTGTGCAGCCATTCTGGAGAGTCATATTTGGAGCACTGGTCAAATGAGGCACACAAGATACCCACAATCCCTTCATTCTGCTTTTGGAGAATATCTCAAAGGAATTCCCACATCAGTGGGTAAGGTGCATGTACAAGGATGTCCATCGCTGAGCTGTTTGGGGTAGGAAGGAGTTGGGAGCAATAGGAATGTCCATCACCGGGGGAATGGGTAGTTAAAGCATGGCAGATATACACTGTGGCATACGGTACAGCAGTTGGAAGTAGCAAACATGGAATAGCAATGACGGTGATGTGACAGGAAGTAAGTTGAACCCTCCACTTAAAGCCAAAAAGTAAAAGGATTTTTTAAAAAGAAAAAGAAGTATGGTGATTACAAGAGGGAAAGGGAATTGGGGGAGGTATAAGAAGGTAAAGGAGGGAGAATGGTGATGGAAGGAGACTTGACATGGGGTGGTGATCACACAGTACAATTATACAGATGATGTGTTATAGGATTGTACACCTGAAGCCTATGTAATTTTGTTAATTAATGTCACCCCAATAAATTCGATCATTTTCAAAGGAAAAGAAAAAAAATCACCCACACAAAAAAAAAATCCCACACTGCCTTATTGTTCACTGGGTAGAGTTTCAGGTTAGAATGATGGAACAGCTCTAGAGATGGATAGTGGTGGTGGGTACATAACTAAGTGAGTGCACTTAATGACACAGAACTATACACTTACAACTGATTGAAATGGTAAATTTATGTTACACGTATTTTATGTCACCCCCCCCAAAAAATCCCAAACTCCCCTTATGGCATCAGGTGGCTGAATCTTACTCATCTGTCTATTCCCCTCACAGACCCTAAGAAAGTAACTTGTACAAGCTTTTACATTCAACTCATGTTGGCTACATGGATTAAATTACTTGTTTTTACTGCAAGTCCAAGGTCATGACTTCTGAAAGCTGTTGCTACACTTACTTGGGCAATTCCTGCAATAAACGCATTAAAGCATGTCGACAGGCGCATTTTTTGAGGTGCAATCATAAAGCAGCCTTCCTGCTGGTCATAGCCGAGCAAGACGTACAGGTGCCGCTTGACGGTGTTGAAGGCCTTTGCGCTGCTGATGTCTGACTCTGCGCTGCTCTCGTCCTTGGCCATGAACTTCATGAGCACGGTAATCAGCTGGTGGACTGTCTGGTGGTCGATCCCAGCATCTTCTGGGAGCAGGTCCTTGATGGTGTTGTCATTCTCAGGGGACTGTTGTCCTGTCGGTACAAGAAGGGGCTTCGGTGGGTGGCTCCTCCACACGTAGCTTTACACTAAAACCTCCCCGAATGTATAAAGCACCATTCTTCTGCCATTAAGCATTTTTCTTTTGTGGAAAAACTTAAAGGCACAGGATGGCCTACTAAGCAAAGCATTAGTCCAAGGGTAGAAATTTGTATGTCCATCTACAACCAAGTAATTGGGGGACAATAAAGAAATTTGAAATAAAAATGGGCATTACAAAGCTAGCTTCTCCTCAAACAGTAAGACAAACACCTAAATGAATTGCACTTAGGGGCAACGTTTTATCCTCGGTGATAAAGAGAAGTTTCCCTTTCAGCTTTGTAAAATTAGCATGTAAGAATCACCAGTAATAATAATAATAATAATAATAATAATAATATTCTAAAACCCACTGAGCACAAAGACATCCACTGGGTTATTTTGTTTAAATTATTATCTTGATTCAGTTATGTTCATAAATCAGCTGGTGGGGGGAAAAGTTTTTCAAATCCTGAGATATTAGCAATGTGTAATCTCTCAATAATATCGTAAAAATTATAAATAGCAAATAATAAGCCCTGCTGAATGTAATGAGAAACATACAGGGAGGGCCACAGACAAAAAGAAAGAAGCATGAACTTTTTTTTAAAAGGGAGGATAGAGGGAAGGAAAGGAAAAAGAAAAGCCACATGAAGATGAGCTGAAAGTTAGCATGGAAAGAAGAGACAAAAACAAACACCTTTGCCTTTGACTTGTTTTTAACCCTACAGAGAATTATAATGAGCAGCTCCCTGACATTGACCTTGTCTGTTATATTTCAAAGTCAGAAATTAGACCCTGTCTCCTTTGTTTTTCTGCCTCTTCTGATCTGGTTTCGTTTAGGACTTTGGGGGAAGGAAGAGTGAGATTTGCTTTCCTATGTTTCTATTTGGGGGGCTGTTCTTGTCCTTCCTTTCACAAGTTGCATCAGAATTTTAAACTGGAAACCATGTTCACCTGGTGGGTTAGGTAGGCACACCAGCTGTCTCACCTCGCACCCTGCAAGGAACAGTTCTGCTGAATGATGACAGGCTTTGGTTACAAATCATTATAAACCAAAGCTTGACCATGTTTATTTTACGATGATATGAAGGAAATAACAAACAAACAAACAAAAAATTAGGTGATTTATACCCATTAACTTAACCAATTTGGCAAAGTCTCAGTCTTCCAGGACACAGCCAAGAGAAGTAAGATTGGTGGGACATTCCTGGGGGCTGTGGGAATCAGCTGCCTCAAGCCCAAACCCTTTTCTCCTTAGCAGGGCCAGGAAAGTCATGTCAAGTGCAGATATAACTAGGTTAGCACTACATATAAGGTAACAACTTGGTTGTCTAGTTTTCTCCCAGGTGATCAGAAGAATGCTGGTCTGTTCAAAAGTGACACACTGAGCAGGGATAGGTTACAATATATGAAGAGGCAGAGAAATCGTGTAAGTCAAAGAGCCTCTAACATAGGGGAAAGCATCAGACAAACTTCAATATGACCCTCGGACATTGACATGTTCTAACTCATAGTCTGTCCATGAAGGGGAAAAACATGTGCAATGTACTGTAGAGAATTTTTCCAAAAATTATTCAAATAAAACCAAAGAATTGCTTTATGATGGTGTTTCACGTGAAGAGTGAATAATAAGTTTTCAATTGTTAATATTATCATTATTTACTAACCATGCATGAGCCATCATTAAAAAAAATCATCCCTTTTCACCAAGAGCCCAAAAATGTAAAGCATCACTGTATATTGTAACTAAATGTTTGAATAGAAGATCAAACCAAAAGCAATACCCATGTAAATCCCCATAAAGTGAAATAGAAAAAGTTTAGAAAACTATTTTTTCAACATTGAAAAACATTTCATCTTGTTTTTGTTCCTCCACACACACCCCAGAGTATTGCTTTCCAACAAGAAGAAGGTTATTGCTCTGGGCGAGCTTGGGCCAAGACTCTGACAAGTGTGAAAATCTAGGTTCCCTGCAGGATTCAATGTTATTATAGCAGCGAGTGGTGGCTGTTACAATATAGCTTCATTCCCCGATTCCTGTTAGCTCCAGGGGCAAGATTTCAGACACCACAAATCACTCAGTCCTGCTCAGCCACCTCCACGTCCAGAGTGGCTGGTCTCCAAAGTCCCAAAGTTGAAAGTGGAACTCAGGAGGGCTGGAGAAGGAGGTGCACTTTTGTTTTATAACCCTGAGAATCTAGAGACCTCAATACAAAAGAAAGGAGAGTCCAAACAAAGCCCAACAAGGACATGGGCTCCTCATTTCATTCTATCCCAGTTCAGGTCTAGAAAATAAACCATCAGACTTCACCTTTAAATATGTCAAAATTCTTCTCACTGCGAAAGGGCATTCGTTTTATTTACATTGCTGACACTGTTACAGATAAAGTACGTATCCTTAACTTTTCCTGTCAGATCTCATTTTTCTAATGAACAAGCATCATTTCACAAATGCCCTATCCTCATATTAAATTCATCTTCGTTGATCTTCTGTACTTTAAGTTGGCTGCTTCTACTTTGCTTTTTCTGAATAGCTAGAAATGAATGCTCCTTAACAAACCACTATATTTACTGAAAAATGGACTAGCTAATGGGACCTATTGCATGAAGTGGGGGGGAAACCCTCTCTTCATTCCAATAATTACCCCTCTGGCTGTGGGCTTTGCAAGACTGTGCTCTTTCCTTACAATACCGTAGGCTTGTGATTGGTACACTCTTCATTAAGAAAAGTTACCTCAATCAAATCCATAAGAAAAATGAGCTTAGAAAAGTTGACATTTTCTTTATTGTTTAAGACATTTAATTATCTAAAAGGTTACAAAATTTCCATTTTAAAATTAAATGTCTACAATATTGTCTCTAAGGTGTGACCATTAAAAACACTTTGAAATTCTGTTCCATAAAATTCCTGTATCTGGTGTTTTTAAAAAAAAAAAAAAAAATATATATATATATATATATATATATATATATATATATATATACATATATAGTATATATTTTTTGTTGCTTTTTTTATAAAGAGGAAGGGAGAGGGACAGAGAGTTAGAAACATCGATGAGAGAGAAATATGGAGCAGCTGCCTCCTGCATGCCTCATACTGGGGATGTGCCCTTAATGGAAATCGAACCTGGGACCCTTGAATCCGCAGGCCGATGCTCTATCCACTGAGCCAAACCAGCTAGGGCTCCTTTATCTGTTTTAACTATAGAGATTTAATGTGTTAAGAGATTTGATCATTTCTGTAAAGAAAATGGTAGGCATCTTTATAATCACAAGGCAGAGAGAGAGATCCTACCGTAACCTGAACATAGACTAGGCCCTCGCAATCTGTCCACAGAGTGGTACAACCAATGGAAACTCTGTAGTACACTTTTATTTATTCAAACAATTTTGAGTCAGCCAGGATGCTTAACATTTGGGGTAGATGGAGGAATAGGAGATAAGTTTGGAAAAGCAGCTTTTCCAGATTTATCTCCTATTCCTCCATCTACCCCAAATGTTAAGCATCCTTACAACATGAGCTCCTCACAGATCTCAGAACGTCACTAACATTTCCCCTTCTTTGTCTTTGCTCACGTTCTCTTTTCACCTTATAGAGTGGTCCTCCACTCCATCCCCAATGTAACCCTCTGGAGCTGATCCCCAGAGGCCATTCTTATTACCTGTGCCCACCTTTCTCTCAGTAACTGGATGTGGTCCCTAAACTCTGTCAATGTCCAAGGACAAGAAAGGAGGGAAGAGGGGATGTTGGAAGGGAAGAATGAACAGAGTTTCCTGTAGCATTTCTTAACTCTCCTGACAAATAGCTATTATGCCAGGCAGAACTTTTTATTCATTCACTTGACTTATTTCCCCTATAAGAACTAGAGTGCTATGCTTCATCCATTGAAGTGCTATGCTTCCTCCATTTTTTTAACCTCCATAGAATATGGGGCAGTGTCTGACTTATACTAGATGCTTATTATTCATAAATGTCCACATATACTGAATTCAAATAAATATTTCAGATCTTGTCTTCTCTACAGGAGAAAAAACTGATGAGGTCTTCAAACAGCAAGGAAGTGGCTAGGGAACCTTCCTCTGTGTAAGTCAACTCCCAGCCACCGCTGTCAAACCAATGTGACAAGCAGAGGAAGAAAGGACCCCTTCCACGAGCTTACTCTGCGTTCGGTCGAGAGAAGCCAAGGATTACACCCTATAGATGATGTTGTATTATTTCAGTAGTTCTAGCCACACTGCCTCACTGGTCTCCCTAGCTCATTAATTTAACTTACAGCTTCATTTACAGCAGTTCTGTTGTGTGTGCACATGGCCACAGAGGCTGTAAAGTTGAGGCTGGTAACTAGCTCTGCATCCTCATATGCTCCCCATCCCTGCCTTTGCCGCTTCCTTCCCCACATCCTATCACTTGGGAAACTGTCATTTCTCAAAACCATCAATTCAAACAAGGGCATTCCTACAAAAAAACCGTACTCTTTGATTTATTGGATAGAAATGATCAATAGGTATTTTGACGATAATGAAGATTTGAATTATAAATCATCTTTCTAGGGGAAAAAAAAAAAAGCCCAAAAGAAAAGCAATTTGGAAGTCCAGGCTGGAACCTAAGAGGGAGGCAGGAAGGGTCAATACAAATTTCACCGATGTTACCAAGCATTGGGTGCCTAGCATTGGGTACCTTCTCTTACTGATACAAATTCAGACCAAGGGATCTCAGGATTTCTCAACGGGCTTGCATTAGGATAGCTCTAGACCAATCTGTAGGTTCTAACAGGAAAGATCCTCTGGTCTGATGCTCATGGCTTACTGGATGCTCACTGTAGCAGACCTGAATGCCCAACTCAGCTCCATAACTAGATTGGTGTGCCCATGCCATCCTAAGGGGTAGGAATATCCTAAAAACAATTCCTCAGGAATTGTGGTGGAAGGAAAGCAAGTAAAGTATCTTGGACTCAAGTATCAGTTCTATCCCTAATTAGTTAGTTATACGTGATCTTCAGCAAACCATCTAAGCAGAATTCCTTAATTCTTCAGGACCTGTATTTCTGTCCATATGTAAAGTGAAAAAAAATAATACTCTACATATATCCTTAATTGTAAAATCGAAATTAGATGATGTGTATAAAAACACTCTTCATAGAGAGAAGCACGAAACATATATGAAATATTATTATTATTTACCTACTACTGTTCAATTAGTCAATCCAGGAGATGAGGGATAAGACATAGTGAAACCCCATGTGATTACATGGATTATTGTTCAGTATTATACATCACGTTCACTTAATATTCAACAGATGTTCTGAATTATCAAAGACGAAGAATTCCTGGTTCTCACAGCATTAGTCAAAATACACTTTATATCTAATTAGGATTAAATCAATTTCAGATTAGCAGGAGAACGTGTATTTTTCATCAATTGAGATTAAAGGTGTAGAGCTCCCACTAGCATTTACCACACATGCCTTGCAAGAGAGATCAAGACATCTGGGCTTGTGACCCAGATCTGTTTGTTACCAACAAACCTGTGGCACTTGCTCTTCTCTGGAAACCTCAGTTTCCTCTTCTGTAAAAGGAAACTATTAACCTACTTCTAATATTTCATTTATAGCATTCTATGAATTTTCTATGTTTGCACAAGGCCTTTGATTTGCCTCATAAATGTCATGGGAGAATGCAGCTCTTCACTAGCATTACAGAGTATACATTATATACAAGTGTATTTCCATTGCAAATTTGCTGTGCATGCTCATATCAGAGAACCATAAATTATAAATTCCAGTGACAAAAAATTCAGCCTTTACTTCAGGCTCAATCAATACAAGGTCTTGCACAGAGGAGTGCATTATCTGTACCGAACAAATATATATTCAATAGCAAGTTCTTTAGTTTCCATTTAATTTTTATCTTAAACCATCCTGTAGTCTTCTGACTGTCCTGGTATGTCTTTGCTTCCAGTGTTAAGTGATAATAATACAAAACTGAAAAACTAGTTTGAAATCGCCTTATAAGCAATTTATAAGTTTTCAAATCTAAAGTTTTGCTTTATGGTGGTATCATGTAAATGATATTTATGTTTAATATGAACAATGCTTTTATTTGCCCCTTTTCCATCTTGTCACATTTGATGGGACAATTGGATGACTGAAACTTTTCTTCACTTTAAGAAACGTATATATACATTTTCCCAAAGAGATGTGAGAGGTTGGATTGTTATAATGGGTGATAATAACTACAGACTAGCTTTTCAACTCAGCCTTATGACAAAAAGAAAAGTTGGGGTCAAATCAAGATAGTTTGTGAAACTGTGTAAGACCCATCTCAAAAAGACCTAACTGAAGGGAAGCTGGGTGGATTTCACATTTGCAGTGAACTCAGAATAAGAAGTTCTTATTTCATCTTCCTTCCATCTCAGCACAGTTGAGGCACAAGTGATGTATTGTACAAAATAAGGTAGAGAGATTCTGCCAAGTATTTGCTATCCCTTTTTTCTCATCGATTTTAAAGGAGAACATACACTCTGGCCGCCATCTACCATCTGCAATCATAATCTTATGCTCCTCTCCCATCCCTCATCGCCTCTCTTTCTAGAGTCATTTTTATAACACATGACAAACACACAGTCTTCAAAGTCTCTCTACTTGAAATTTTCCTTCTGAGACTATTCTGAAAAGTTCGCCTTAAAACTATTCTTAGAAAAACATTAATAGGAAAACAAAATCTTTGTTAGCATGGTACATAGATGGCAGTTACCAAGCTTGTTTCTGACAAATAAGCAGGTACTCAGAACCTTCTCAGTTTTCCTAACAAGTTATGGGATTATTTGTGTGAATAACATTCAGTCTGTAATAGTCTTGCCAGTGTCCCTTCAACCCTTAGGATAGTTCAGGAACATCAGATGACAGTTGCCCTGTGCCAAGCTGGATATAATCCCATGATGCGCCAAACAACGGAAACTCTTTCTCTGAGAGACAGAAAAGCATGTAGAGCTGCAATGAATCAGGAATGACTAAGGGGATGAGTGAATGACGGTGGCTCAAATGTACAACCTTTTAAAATGCGAATGAAATGCATGTTTTTTCCTATAGCAGATATACATGAACATACCATTTCTATGGGTAAATACACATACAAATATAAGTACTAGGTATGGCTCTAGTCATATGGGCTCTCTGGGGAACTCAGTGTGTACTCAGGTAACAAGATGCTTTTTTCTGGACCCAAAGTTAGCAGCAGCAAAAGCCACCTGCTAATACAAAAGAAACTGTTATGTCAGGGGCCCAATGCTTGAGCTTCTGGGTAAGCCCCTTGGAGCTTGCCAAACCTAACTACGTCACTGTGGTCCAGTTAGAGACACCACACTCTCTGCCTGTCCACCTGCGAGAGACAGTTGCACACAGCCCTTCCAGTCAGAAGTACCCACCTGGCATCTGTTCGGGTGTCCCACCGAGAGCTGGAGCAGACTGCTCTTGCCTGGTCAACCTCACAGCTTAAAAATCAACAACAACTCTATTTAAATAAGCATTAAAAACAACTTGAGCCTAGAAAATATACTTAGTGCTAACTGCATTGGGTAGTAGGGGCAAGTTTAGTTTTCCTATTTGTAATTAGCATCGCATAGTAGATGTCTACATCACAAAAGTTTTGTGGTTTCATTTGAATCTCAAGGACATTCTGCAATGTTACTTTAATTCTTAATCTTCAGAATTGTCACGTGAATCAATGAACAAGAAATAACAGTAAGTAAAACTGTATACCCCAAACTTATCAGTTCTATTCTAAAGGAGCTGGGACATTCTTACAGAAACTGTAATCTAGTTGATTGAGGGATTGGATTTTAGGATCTGATTAGGTGTCACGTGGGGCCTCACATTAGGACAGCATATTCTGAAATGGGCACCTGTTATTATCTTTGCTCTCTGAACACCTATATTATTGATTGCTTACAGGGCTTTTATTGATTCTTCCAAAGTTCAAAACACTACATGACCTTAGCTTGTCGAGAAATAAAGGGAATTGCAATAAATAAAATAAAATCATAGTCATGATTTAAAATGGTCATGTTACAATAAAGCTGCCTTCTAATAAATGCCAATGAAAAAGCAAACTTCAGCTTCTAACAGGATAAGAAGAAATATATTTTATGGTGTTCTTTTATTAACTTCACAGCAGTTAAAAATTAAATCATTTAATAAATGTTACAAGTTAGCAATGTATTTAAACATATCCATTCACTAATGTGATGATTTAGTTATGAATTTTTAATTATTAATTATGAGCTATTGCTAATCATTAGAGTCCATCTAGTGAGTTCGTAATTTAAGGAAAATTTTGTTCTCTTTAAAAGTGCAATATAAAGAAAGATCTTTAGAGAACAAGTACATATGGTCTTTTTTTAAGTTGGCAATGAAGCTTGTTTAAGTTGGGCAAAAACTCAACTTCTCGGCCTAATTTGTCTTTGCAAAAGCAACCATTATTATTAGCTTGTCTGGAAGCCTGTTTGGCTGCCTCTACCATGCAGTCATTAAATGACCATGTCAAAGTCTTTTCAGGAATCTCTTATCCAGGCTGGTGCAAACTTCACATTTGAGTACTTAGGAGCAAATGCTTCTTTCATGCCAAGCACCAATGGGTTTGCTGCCTTCCACATTCCAAAACAATCTACCGAACAATCTACTGTTAGATGAAGGCCTTGCTTCGCCCAAAAACTGAAAAAAGCCACCCAGGGCACTAACACTCCTGGGGGGACCCTATAGGGAATCTGAAGGCCAAACCTGATGGCCAAGCTGTTGGCTAAATTCGCTCCTCTCTATGCACATTCAGCAGGACAAGCCGGCCTCCGAAAGACATTCAACAGGTTTGTAAAGGAAGGATGAAAGAAGATACTCAACGGATTTTGGAGGTCAGGGTCTCAGGGAGGGAGAGCGCCCTCTTGGACTCTGCGGGCCCTTTCACGCTGTCCCTCAGGGAACGCACACTCTTCTGGCGGTTCCTCGCAAAGCGAGCCCTCTTGATCTTCCACAGTGCTGTGTCGCTGAGGTTGGTGACGTTGGTCCTTACAGCAGTGATAGCTTTGCAAAAGGAATCAGAGGTTATCATTTTCCTTAACTCCTATGTTATGCAACTAGCTTAAAACCATCCATCTGTGTGTATTTTTCAGTATTACAAACCATCTTTCATGGAAATATGACTCATTCATCTTTCTCTCTTCAGGATAGCTTACATTAAAAATCATGACTATTGCCTATCATGACTATCGTATAATTAAGATTAAATTATCTGATTTTGTTATCGCTGGATAACTAGTTGACTAACCAAAGCCTTTTCCCCATCTAGTCAGACTGTAGGTACCTGATTCAGAAGTCTGAGAGAGTGAATTTTGCAAGGTGCAAATTTCTCTTACAAACCTGCTCACAAACATTACAATCACGATGATTGAATAGCATTTAAGGAACACAACATTCACAAATGTTTTTCACAAGTCCCCCAAGGAACTAGAACATTTGGGATTTCAGAATGCCAGAAAATAGGTAATCTGAGGATTACTACAGTAGGTAGTCAACAAACATTTGATAGATGGAGTACACAAAGTCAAAGCAGCCTCCATAATGGGAAGCCGAACTACACTCATAGTATCTTCCCCTTATCTAGCAAGCACAAGCATAGGAACCTCGACTCTATGCAGCAAGTTCTTCCTTTTGCTTACTTGTAGGAAAAGGAAATTCTTTGTTACAATCCAAATGCAGCTGGGCCTCCAAAGAAAGTGTCTCAAATCTGTTGACAAAGAACTCCCAGCTCAGAGCAGGAATATCTTGCTTGAGAAAATGCAAGAGCAAAAGCTTGCTCAATATTGTGGGTCGATCTTTAACCACAGTGTCAAACTGGAAGTCAAGACAAAGACACAGGCCCTGGGGAAAGGGAGGAGGAAAGCAAAGTCAGGTGTAAACATCGAAGTTGCTTTAAATTAAATACACTAAGCAAGTCCGTGGAACAAGGCAGACTCCTCAATCTATATTTATAATGTAGAATGAGCCAGTTGAAATCTTCCTTACTGCAAATTTTGATAGAAAAAAATACAAAAGAGAAGCTTCTCCTAATTGTAGAACAGACCTTAAATGTTGACTTAGAAATCTGAACTAAATGTATGTGAACTTTTTTACCCCAATATCCTCAAACCAATGTTTCTTTTCTTAATGTCTGTCATTTCTATAAGAGAAGTGTATTTCCAAAGGTATATTTTAGAATACACAAAAAGGTTGACTTTAAATTTCCTTTCAATGTTAAATTCTAAAACTTGGAATTAAATTTTCTAAAAGAAATTCAGATTTTAGAATTCTTTTAATGATTCTAAAAGAAAATAAGTCATCTTCTTGGAATGTGAGTGAAACATAGGGTTTTTAAAAAATCAAAGATGTAATGGATTGAGCATCTGTTTCTCCAGTAGATAAGTCTACAGTTCCCTTTTTCAAAAAACTGCAATTCATCCTATTAATTCATTCAACTCTCACCTAATAAGTGCCTCCTGTGTTCCAGGCCCTGAGCAGCGGTAAGACATACAACCACCAACGTCTTATTAAGACCAACAGAGAAGGACTATCCCGAACACAAATGGAAGTTTTCACAAGGAAGGGTGTGCGCCCACAGACAGCACAACCACAGAATACTTTAGGTCCTGTCCCACTGCCCTTTCTCCTTAGTCTTTTTCACAAGTACCCTCCCACTGATTGGGGGGCAGTGTACACACACACAGAGAGTTAAGAATATGACTTTATTATGAGTCAGACCTGAGTCTTTTCTACCACTTACTAGCCGTGTGACTCTGAAATTACTTAACCTTTATGACCCTCAGCTTCTCTATCTGTAAAATGGGAACATTCTAAAGGTTATTGTGGGGATTAACTGAAATAATGCAGGATTGGATACTTTAAATACACTGCCCTGAAAACTCAGTGGCTATCTAGTAAATGTTAGCTCTTGCCATTATTAACTTTAATAATAATGAAATTATAATACGTCAGGTGGCAATGGGGAAAAAACAGAAGATCAGGACTTTGAAGGTTCTAGTTTTGGTTCTCCCAAAATTCACTCTGTGTCTTTTCATAAGTGACATTATCTCTCTGAAACTTGGTTTCTTCAACTATAAAATGCATGTGCCAGCCTGGCAGTGTGGTTCAATGGTTGAGCATCAACCTATGAACCAGGAGGTCACAGTTGGATTCCCAATCAGCGCACATGCCTGGGTTATGGGCTTGATCCCCAGTAGTGGGTGTGCAAGAGGCAGTTGATTGCTTCTCTCTTTCATTGATGTTTCCATCTCTCTCTCTCTCTCTCTCTCTCTCTTCCCCTTTCTTCTGAAATCAATAAAAATATATTTTAAAAATAAATAAATTTTTAAAAACACAGGCACCAAATAAGATAAATATACAACTCTCTCCAGGTCATATATTTCCTGTTACTTTGGCTTTAATTTGTAGCATTTCATTTTGGTAGCATATTTACCTTCTGGCTTTATAATTTACCTGATTTCTCTTAGAAGCTAGCCCCTACTAAAAGGACTTTTAGCCCAGAAACCAGTGGAATGGTATAAATACGCTTAATTTAATAACCTGCCACAAAAAAGTTACACAATAATTCTATCTGTCAGAAGTGATTCAGCACATAGACAAAGACTGAAAAAAAAAGTATCAACAAATAAAAATAAAAAGTCTGTTAATTCAATGTGATTCTGGGATGTTTTTCCCAACTTAAAAATTTCCACAATTATTGAATATTATCATCATCCTCCTCAGTACTTGTGTGTATGTGACACATAACTCAGGGTTTAGTGGCACAGAGCAGAGAGCCATCTGCAGAGCAGTCACACACACTGAGGGACAGCACCTGCAGCGCCGGCCTCTTTATGGTGTCCAGCAGGAGCCCGGCCCTGGTAGCCACCGCTGGGTTGACGTCCTCCACGGCCGCCAGGAAGCAGCAGAAAGCATGTGCCAGCGAGTACTTCAGCAGGTGGTTTTTGGTCACGGAGTGAATATCCAGAAATCTACAAATGACAGCCACCTTTTCCACTGAAAGGTAAAAGGCAGAGGACAAAAAAATGACATTTGTTTAGGTAGTCTGAACCCACTGAGATAAGGGTACTCTGGGCCCCCATACACTGGTTTTAAACACCAAAAGGAACGTCTACTGCTTCCTTTTCAGTGATCCGTGCAGCACAGACCACCTTTACTCAGTGCAGTATTTTTGTCAGGCAGCCTTTAGTTCTGGGTTGTCTCTCTCTCTCTCTCCCTCTCTCTCTCTCTCTCTCTCTCTCTCTCTCTCTCTCTCTCTCTCTCTCTCTCTCTCTTTTTTTTTTTTTAAATGGTCTTTCCCATTGTTTAACTTCCAGCTATATTTCAAACCTTTCAAAACGCCTCCGTGTTCATTTATTTGTCCATCCCATAAAAGTTCCACAGACAGCACAGGAAGGTGGGAGGTACCCGCCAATCCTGGCTCTATTCTCTGGACACTCTATTCCACTCTTAGCATGTCATGATGTGAAGTGACAACCAACCTTCCCGGAGCTGTACAGCATACACCTTCCCTAAAATAGATGCACCCTACTTGATAGATTTCTAATTATTCTTCAAATCTATGTTAAATGATTCCAGCCACTCTTAAAACAGAGCTTGATAAAAATAATAATAATAATAATAATAATAATAATAATAAATAAAAGCCATAGAAGATAGTGAAGCAATATATTAATAGTTCCATGGAAATAGAGATGGTTCAGTATTTTGCTTAAGCTATTCCAGCAGCCTAGAATATTCTTTCTATTCTTCTCTGCTGCCATGCTTAAAAGAACCTGCTGTTTAAATTCTACATGTTCTGTGAAGTCCACTCTGACTTCCTAGAGTAGTCTTTCCATCTCCTGAACTCCCGCAAAAATACTATTCATTGCCCTAGCTGGTTTGGCTCAGTAGATAGAGCATCTGTGGAGTGAAGGGTCCTGGGTTCTATACCAGTCAAGGGCACATGCCTAGGTTGTGGGCTTGATCCCCAGTAGGGGATGTGCAGGAGGCAGCTGATCAATGATTCCCACTCATCATTGATGTTTCTATCTCTCTCCCCTCTCACTTCCTCTCTGAAATGAATAAAAAAATTTTTTTTTCAAATACTATTCATTTAGATATGGCGTTTTTATGTTCATATTTAGCTATATGGCATATCTTCTTTTGTGATCTTGAATTATATTTATACTTTTACAGTTTCTTAATCTTTTACATGTTTGTATTTGGTCCCATCAATTAAATTGGGAGCTTCTGAGAGCAGGAGTTTGCCCTTATACTCTTTAATTATTCAATAAATCCACTAATTCACTTATTTTAAAGACATCATCCTCGGTACTTGTTGGGGAGATGGAAGTAAATGAAAAAATGAACTGTCAGGGTCTGAGTTGTTGTGACTCCCCCACCCCACAAATTTACACATGAAGCCCTAACCCCCAATGTGATGGCATTTGGAGTTGGAACCTTGGGAGGTCATCAGGTTTAGATGAGGTCATGAGGGTGGGGCCCCCATGATGGGATTTGTGTCCTTATAAAAATCAAAAGGAAAACTAGACACAGGAAGAAGGTGGTCATCTACAAGCCAGGAAGAGCCCTCCCCAAGGAACTGCATTGGCTGGCACCTTGATTTTGGACTCCCAGCCCCCAGAACTGTGAGACATAAACTCTCTTGTTTAAGCCACCCAGTCTGTGGTATTTTGTCATGGCAACCCAAGCAGGCTAACATGTGAATCCTTCACAGGTCTTGACTTCAAAGTCAAGTCGGCTAAAAGAGATAAACAGGTACAACTATTGTAGAAACAAAATGTAATATAAAAATCTGTCAATGCTGTTCGTGATGTATAAATAAAATGCTATGGGAGCTTGGAGAATTAAAAACAACTTTCCACCAAAACTGGTTTGGCTCAGTGGATAGAGTGTCAGCCTGCAGACTGAAGGGTCCCGGGTTCGATTCCCGTCAAGGGCATGTATATTGGTTGTGGGCACATCCCCAGTGGGGGGTGTGCAGGAGGCAGCTGGTTGATGTCTCATCGATGTTTCTAGCATTCTCTTTCTCCTTTCCTCTCTGTGAAAAATCAAATATACTTTTTTAAAAACTTTCCATCAAGGGAACAGAGAAATGGAACTCAACGGGGGCATTTGAAGGCATTTCGAACTGAGATGGCATTTGAATGGGATCTAGAAGGGAAGAGGGTTTCAGATTGAGAACAGAGAATGGCCAAGATATAGGTGAGGGGCAGTAGGTAGCAATGAGGAAAGTACAAAGGCAGGTGAAGAAAGATGGGTGAGAAATGAGGCTACACACAGGAGCAGTCAGACCATTGGAGGTTTTGAATGTCCGTTTAAGGAGTCTGAATTTTATTCTCTAGACATTGTAAACCTATTAAAATGTTTTGAATAGAAAAGCAACATAATCAGAGCTGTGAATTTTTTTATTTTTGCTTTTGTTACCATTGAAGTGGATTAGCACAAATTTCAACACATCAAGAGGCCATCAAGAGTGCTGATGTTGCTAAGGGTGTGAAAGTGCTCAGAAAACAATGAGCACAGGCAACTGAAGAGACAGAAAAAATGTTGATTGGGATAAACAAAGACAGCCAGTAACAGCATTTGGGAGACAATGGCATGTGAAAAAGAGGAGACCGCCTGAAAGACACCCCTGAACGGAGCACTGAAAGTGATTCATTTAAGACTAGCAGGGGGTGGTCCAAAAATGCTCAGAAAAGAAGTGTTTATTTATAGATTAAACAGTATATTTGACATGTACTGTATATTAAAAAAAGGTTAAAACAGGGAGTTCTTTGGGGGTCTGGATCAGATTAATTCAATTTAGATGATTTCTAATGGGGAAAATAGGATTTGGTTTTCAAACAAACTGCTGTTCGAACAACCTTCTGGAGCTAATTAAGTTCAGGGACCTAGGTTCCACTGTAATCAGTGTTTTTAACAAACACTCCCAGTTACACTGATGCAAGTAACCCAAGGTTGATGACATGATTGACCATTTAAGCCAGGACCCACTTGAAAGTAAACATTGTGCCGGTTTTGCTCAGTGGATAGAGCATCAGCCTGCGGACTGAAAGGTCCCAGATTCTATTCTGGTCAAGGGCATGTACCTTGGTTGCGGGCACATCCCCAGGGGATGTGCAAGAGGCAGCTGGATCCATGTTTCTGTCTCATTGATGTTTCTCTCTATCCCTCTCTCTTCCTCTCTGTAAAAAAATCAACAAAATATATTTTTTTAAAAAGAAAGTAAACATTGTACAATTATTAAGTACCTAGAGCATAAACTCAGACTACCCTAGGCAAACTAGACAGGGTCACCCTCCCTAAGGACCACCCTGCAAAATATTACTGTTGATAAAGCTCAGCTAAGTAGACACAACGAAGAACATCGGCAAGCAGGACAATGCCCTATAAAAAGAGGGGTGGGAAATGGAAGGCCAGAAAGAGATCTCCTAACTGGACATCTGGTTTGTAATGGGATCTGGAGAGAATTGTGAAGCTAACACAGAGGTACCTGCTTCAAACCTCATCTTCCAGTCTTTGCTGTTGAAGTTGCCGTTTATGATTGTCCAGAAGATGTCAGCACCATGAGGAAGGGATAGCGCATGGAGCAGGAGAGGAACCGCCAGTGACGACAACTGGGAGAAGTCGGATTTGATGACTCTCCACAGGCTGCAAACCAAGAAGCAAAGCGGTCACAGTTATGATAACCTTTTTAGAAAGAATTGATAAGAAACATAGTTAACCAGTAGGTGGTCGAAATGCTTTCGGTGAAATTATATTCATCCACAAGCCTATGATCCTCTGATCAACTTTTCCTATGCTCTGTTCTGTTCATGTCTTTTTAAAGGAATTACTTTCATGAAATAACATAGAAAAACACCACTTTATATTACATTTTAATGTAAAAATAATTTAATTGCATATTTTAAATCCAAGTAATAAATGAATAATGGCTGTTAAAAATTATACAAAATTGATATTAACTATGTTAAGATGGTGAAGTGATAGTGATTTAAATTTCTTTTTCTTATACTGAACATCTGGGGAGTTGTGTTGGTTTTGCTTGCCCAGCAGCCTTTTCCTCATATTATTCTAGCAAGGAGCAACTCTTTTTCAATTAAGAACAGCCTCTTCAGCTGGCAGAGGTGTCATTCAAGCCCCATGAACCCTCCCCTTTTCCTATTGTCAGAGTGAACATAAAACCCATACTGATCAAAGTACTTCAATGCCGAAAATCGAGTGATTAGTCAAGGAATGGACATATGATGTAATTATGGGAATGTCAGAATTCTTTTCCAGGTACTGATATGGACTCTGGGACAAGAAAGATATCTCTCCTTCTCATGGGAACAGCCCACTGAGAAGCAGCCAATACAGGTGGAATGAGGCTAAGTGATGGGGAAAAAGGGAGACAGGAAGAAAGGGAAAAAGAGAGAGGAGACAAAAAGAGAAAAAAAGGAGAGAGAGAGCGAGAGAGAAATCCCTAGTAACATCTTGTGAGTACTAGCCCTGTCTACAACCAGACCATTACTGGTCAAAAATGTACCTTAGCAAGTTTAGCTAAGTTCCTATCAATTTCTACCAGAATAATTCTGAAGGTCTATTTTTACTAATCCTATATAATAAAAGCATAGTCTGCAAATTGTCCCCCTCGACCAGGAGTTCAACCAGGGGGTGGGGTCGGCCAGGAAAAGGTAGGGAGGCCCCGGCCAGCAGCTGCTAGGGACCCTACCAGTGCAAGAATGTCATGCACTGGGCCTCTAATAATATGTACCGTATTTTTCGGACCATAAGACGCACTTTTTTCCCCCCAGAAGTGGGGGGGAAAAGTCCCTGCGTCTTATGGTCCAAATATAGCCTAAACATATACTTTAAAAAAAAGTTTTTTTACTTGCCCGGCTCTGTGTGGTCTCTGTGTGCTTGCCTGGCTCTAAAATGGTTCTAAATGCTGCTGTTTACTTTACAGGGTTGATTATATGTGTTTATGACTGTGATGTTGGTTTTAATGCACATAAAATATTTTAGGACACTATTTGTTTCAGAATCTTTTTTTCTTCATTTCCCTTCTCTAAAAACTGGTGCGTCTTACGGTCCGGTGTGTCTTATGGTCCGAAAAATACGGTAAGTGGTTTCAAATCTTTTATTCATTTATTTAAAGTATGTCTTTTGTTTGTTTTGTTGTTTTATTTTGTTGTCTTTTTAGCTCCAGAGTTAATCCAGAATTGAAACTATTTGTGACTTTAAAAAACTCGTACCCCTAAAAGATGGGAGGAGTGGCACAGTATCTCCAATTTATGGAGAATATAAGTCACTGAAGTTGCTGGTATCTCAGAAAATATACTAGAATGAAAAGGAGTAATTTTCAAGTGCCATATGCTTCAACTGAATTATGGATATCAGAAAAATAAGGATCTAATCTGAACCCTGTCATTAATAAACTGTGTAGCCAAGTGTAAATGTAACTTGTCTGAACTTCCACTTCCTTCTAATGCTGGCTGTATTAAATGTTTGACACATAGTAGGTATTCAAAAACCTTACACTACTCTTACTGTTGTGAGGCTAAGGATGATGCTACTTTCTCTCTGCAACAACAAGCCCTACAGAGAAGGCATCATCTCTGCCCTCGGGGAACTTGCATTTCAGTAGAAAGAAGCAAATCGTATATGGCACTAACAGAAAACTGTCCCAGTGACAAAAGTCCCTGGACTCTTCCAATCCCATACTGCTTTCTCGGGTCCCTAAAGCAGCCTTGTTTGAAAAATGGAAGCATGTCTTTTCTGCAGATCCCCTCACTGTCCCTCAGGGTTTCTGAGGGGGAAACCTGGGCTACACAGCCCATAAGCTAAGGCACATGTGTCAAACACAAGGCCCGCGGGCCAAATCCGTCCCGCCAGGCCTTGCAATGTGGCCCGCACCGCGCTGTCATCACTGCACTCCGCTGCGTTTCCATCACAATGACAGTTTATGACTGTTCAGTAAACCATTCGGCCCACGATTTAGGCTGGATTTTAGATTTTGGCCCCTTCTCTGATTTGAGTTCGACACCCCTAAGTTAAGGCAAAGATGCCAGGGCATCAAGAATCCATTTGTCCCAACTACATCTCCGATGGAGTTGGCTTTCACAACAGAAGTCCGCCACGTAGTCTCCCCACTCTCCTGCCCAACTCCTGACCCTGTTCCTTCACTGCTTCTACCTGGATTTGCTGCTTGTCTCATCTGTTACACTGATAATTTCAAAATTCTATCATTATCTCAATGCCTATCCAAATGGTATCTACTCCTGAGGCTTCTCTGATCATCCAAAAATGACCTCTCCCACCTATGAACTACACAAAACAGTCACCCCACACATCCCTGAGATTGACAGTGACTTATATATACATCAGTGACTTGTGTCTTCATTTATTGAAGATCTTAGTCTACTATATATTGGTTGTTTTGAGATTACTATGAAGATCATTCCCTCTTCACTCTCAAGAGTAGACCCATTTGAAGAATAAACTATGTGGTCACATTCTGTACACATACTATTCGCCCTCTTCCAAATTAAACTGCAAATTCCCAAAACGAATATAGCAAGCCCCCAAATAATATTTTTGAATGAATAAATGAACAAAATGAATAATGACAAGTAGAGCCTCAAATTGGTTTAGTTACCAAGTTAATCTAAACCAACCTTTCCCTTTTTAATCACTTCATTCCCTGATATATAAAGATGAGGATAATATTTTTCTAACTTATTTCCAGGAAGATTGTAACAGTTATTTTAAAGTTCTTAAGAAGAAAACCACTCTGTACATCCAGGGCAATATGTTCTTGTTTTTCTCAGAATGCCTGGGCAGTCTTTAAAAAAAAAAAAATGCATTATCAGGTAATATGTGGAGAGATTTTAGATGTCTATTAGCAGTTCTATTTCAAGTAAGCAATTAAGTCCTTACTCAATTATACTAGGTAAATATTAACTTAGTACCTGGTAACATTTTTCTAGGTTACACTATATTCTTTTTCTTTAATTTATCTTTGTTGTTGGAAGTATTACAGATGTCCCCTTTTGTTTTCCCATTGACTCCCTCCCCCCCATACTTGACACCCCCCCCGCCCCCGCAGGCCCTCACCACGTTACTGTCTGTGTCCATGGGTTATGCATATATGCATATAAGTTCTTTGATTAACCTCTCCCCACTCACCCACCACCCCTGTCTTCCCTCTGAAATTCATCAGTCTATTTCATGCTTCTATGGCTCTGGATCCATTTTGTTTGTCAGTTTATTATTTTCATCTAGGGTACACTATATTCTTAAGCCACCTAACAACTGAAAGGCATAAGATAATATTTATTTTGCCTTTTCTATTTCCATAGTATTTAAAGGAAATTACTATTATTCATATTGACACACTTAATAATGAAACTAAATAAAAGTAATAAAAGTAGTTCCCACAGACAATTAGGCTGTCCTGGCTAAGCAAAATAATCCAAATAAATTGGTACGTGTTATTCTAAAGACTTACATATAAGCAAAAAAAGCCTAATGTAGCAACAAAAAAGAAAGACCTACCTTGCAATCAACATATGATCCTGAATGTAGGCTAAAAATTGAGGATGATCTTTTCTAGCAATGTATAAACACTCTCCGTGTAGACAGAGAATCTTCAGGCAATTGAGCATATTAAAAAGAATGTCTGGCTCTTCAAATTTAGCCATTTCCTATGCAAAAAAACCACATGGTTACGGAATTATCTAAAACAGCAACACCACCAAACCAAAAATTCAAATATTGCAAAAAATATACCTGGAAAATGGTGTATATTAGTCTCAAAGTTACTGGAAGCTGTTGGTAGCTAAACTTCCTTTCAGTATCGTTCTTTACTGCTGGGAGGAAATAATTACACAGAGGTTAGCATAACTCCTCCTTTCCCCCACTGTTCAAGAACTGGTCAAGATCATAAAGCCAAGAGGAATAAAAACAGATACAGAATATGTACATTTTTAAATATGTAATGCTTTCATTTGCTCTCCAAGTTAGCATATGTCCCTTCTATGATGCAAATGAAGGAAACCTTCTAGATCAGAATTCTCAGCTTCCCTTTTCCTCCTAGTTGTCATCCTGTACTCAGATTTCTTTGGCTCCCTAAAGCGACCTCAACCCAGCCCTATGCCCCTGTGGGCCACTAGTTCTGCCGTTTCCTGCAGGGCCTGAGGCCTGGCCAGGTATGCTTTCCTAATTGAAAGGAAGACAAGCAGGAATTAAATAGAAGTATTCAAGTTGTATTAGCACCTAAGGAAGAATTTATCCCATGGGCAAAGGGAACTTTTGAAAGAAGATGAATATAGTCAAATCAGAGCAACTACTCCTGGCTTTATTGTCTTATGAGCGTCTCTAAAATCTCTGCCTCTATGGTAGAGAGTGGCGGGGCATTCTACATGAGGCATGCTAGGAAAAAGAATTCACAGGGGGCTAGATGGAGGGGGATGGGGGGATGAGGAGCGGGGGAACAGGAGACATCTGTAATATTGCCAACAATAAAAATTATATATCGAAAAAAGAATTCACAAGTTAACCAGATGTAGAAACTAGTGTAAAATGTTTTCAAATCACTGTTATAAGTTCTGGCAATTCCCAGGATCAGAAACAATAAAGTCAAGCCCTCTCGATAGTTTATTGGAGAGCTTCCATCCTCACGTATTTTTAAATACTTGCTATCCACACCCGACTCTATTTTGTCTAGTGTGAAAGTTTTAAAAATATTTTTAATAGAAGAGATATCTGACTGGCAGAAGAAATAGGCACCAGGCCACAAAACGCAGAAACAGGAAATCCTCTAAAAGCGGAGAGAGAAATCATGGACATGGGGCAGAGCGCCTGTTTGTTCTATGACTGAGGGGCTCAAGACCACTGCCTGGAGGCCACAAAGCAGAAGCAGGGCCGGGGCACCGAGCAGCAGGGGAGGCTGGTCTGGGGAGAAAATGAATGGGACCTCCCGGAGGAAACCATTTATCACTGCGTCCTGCAGGGCAGCAGAAAGTAAATGAAGGAAAGTGGACCAGAAGCTGTGACAGGAGCCTGAATACATGCTTAAAGAAGACAAATACACCAAATGTTTATACAAGTGGAGGTTAGAACAACTGAGCAAAGAAAAGAGTCATTTAAAAAAATAAATGGCTTCCTTTTAAGCATTGTTCAAATAACGTGTTATGTATAAATAAATAAAAACAGCACCTAATTGATTTTGGGTGCTATCTTAGATTTGAAAAATATGTTTGCATGGAAAGAGTTCAGGTTACTGGATCATAAGTAAAATCTCTGCTTTCCTTAGATATGAACACAGGCTGGGCCCGGGTTTCAGCAAGTATAATTAATTCTAAGTAAACCAGGAGACCCAGGTTCCAGCCTCCACCCTGCCACTAACTACAATATTAATAGCTTTATAATATACCCACAATTGGGAGAGAGAGGTCAGAGCTCATTAATTTTGTTTGTGTTTCAACTCCGCGGATGATCCAAGTTCTCCATTACTGTCTGGGCAGCATGAGAAGCACAAAGTAGACATGAGTAATATGAGCTACATGAAAATGGCAAGTTGTTTAACTCCTCTGCAATGTATTTTCCTCGTCGGCAACGTGAGAAGGCTGAACAAGAATCAGCAAGGTTCAGATTTCTTTTCTACAGAATACTTTGTTCAAAGAACATCTCACCTAGAACTCCACTACAGGAAATGGAGCAAGTCAGTGCAGTCAGGCTGAAGCAGGGCGGGCAGCCTGAGTCTTGATCATTTACCCACATCTTCCTACCATTAGCCACCCCACAGAAGGAAGGTCCAAGACGCCACAGAGAGCCTGAACAACTCCACGTACATGATGAAAACCAATGAAGTAGGTCACCTCAGGTGTTCCTCCAAATTCTAAGTGCCAATGGTTCTAAATAACGTGAGCCGGGATAGCCACACTCAACTGATCATTCGTACAATCCATGCAGAAGGAGTCCATCCCAACCAAGCACGCTGCGGTAATGATATTGTTCCCCTGACCTGACTGTGACACCCCGGGACCTACAATGACCCCCACACAACAGTCACATAACAATATTTGCTGTTCGCTGAGGGAATAATACAAGGCCCATGCTTCTGGGGGTGGGCTTTTACAATAGTTCAGGAATAGTGGAAATAGGAAGATTAAAAACAACTTAGATTTATTCCCAGAATGCCACAGCACAGACTAAAAGCCAGGCTTTCCCAAAGGCACCTGGGATGACATACTCTAGCTGCTAGAGTATGATTCTGGGCCTTCCTGCCATCCTGCTGTCCCCAGTTAGCCCACACTGAGCCTTTGAGCAACTGGTAACAGACCATTCTCCCAGCTCTGAGCAGGCCAATCAGCCCTAGAGCACAAATTGCTCAGGTGTGAGCCTGTCCAGAGTCCTGGTCTTACTCTGGGGGCACAGGAGCCAAAATCCATCGCCTCTGTCCCAGCATGCTCTACTCTGGCCAAATGCCCTGAGTGGCTGTGGAGAGTGTCAGCACCCTCCATCCAGCCTCGCACCTTGGTTCACAGCCACGTGTGCACAGAGAACATAAGATGCTGTAAGTGCTTTTTACACTAAAACAGTGGGGTTTTGTCAGTAACAAGCACCTGCTGCCAGAAAGATGCTCAGTGACCTCGGATCCACTAGCAACACATCCTGGATCTGTTCCCTTCATGAACAGGATAAATGATTCATTTGCAAAAGTCTATATTAAGGAAGCCAGGTCTGAACTTGTGCAAGTCCATGGTCACCTAAGCAACCAGGGTTCTGAACGTTGGGCCTGTGCAAACTTGGGTGTGCCCGAGTTCACCTACCAGCATGTTCCACGGGCTCGGCGTGATTCCCTGGGTTCTCCCCACGTTTGCTGGCTGGATTCTCCTCCTCCTCACCTCCAGGGCCTATGGTGAACTCGGGTCTGGAAGAAAGGAGACTATCCTCAAGGCTGTCTGTGGGCTCCTGGAACAAAGAGGACAAGCAGCCAGATGAGCAGCCCACTGGGATGTAATGAAGGTTCTGCGGCAGAGACCAGCTGCGTGCCTGCCGCGGCCCAACCTGTGCTGAGCCCTGAGGGGCAGAGCCACCTGCCTCACAGGAGGCTTGAGCCTATTTCCCTAACGGTTCGTGGACATTTAGATGAGGTGTGAGTGAAACATTCTCATTCCCTTGAAATAATATGGGAAATATCTAAAACATTGTTCCATCTTCTTAGGCCTTGCTTTCCCATCTCTGCTTTAATCCCCGTGAGTGTGCCCACCTCACCAGGAGATGCCAACCCATGCACATTTTGTTCAATAACTACTTACTTAGCAGGGAATAATAAGAGGTTCGCATCAACATTTAAAATAGAAATATTGATTGTCCAGAGCAGTGGTCGGCTAACTGCGGCTTGCGAGCCACATGCAGCTAGCTCTTTGGCCCCATGAGTGTGGCTCTTCCACAAAATACCACGGCCTAGGGGAATCTGTTTTGAAGAAGTGGCATTAGAAGAAGTTTAAGTTTAAAAACTTTGGCTCTCAAAAGAAATTTCAGTCATTGTGCTGCTGATATTTGGCTCTGTGGACTAATGAGTTTGCCGACCACTAGACCATTTAAACAGAGAGTTTTCTGGATCTCAAAAGTCCTGCTCTCCTACTGCTTTCATTTCATTAATTCCACTCCTCCTTCAATAAAGCCCAGGAATCATCTCCTCCAGGGAGACCTTATGGATCCCTATTATGCCTCTCAGGTAGATTTGTTGTTCCTTCTTCACACTCCTTGTTCATTACCTTGTTCATACCTCTCAGAATGCTCATCACTCTGTCTTCTGGTTTTTCATTTATTTAACCATCTTCCTGATTAAACTCTAAGCTTTTTATTTTAATTTGTTTTCCCATCATATACTACTGTGACTGCTGTATAGTAAGTACCCAGTGACAATGTTAAATAGACCATACTAGCCGAAACTGGTTTGGCTCAGTGGATAGAGCGTCGGCCTGTGGACTGGCGGGGTCCCAGGTTCGATTCCAGTCAAGAACATGTACCTTGGTTGTGGGCACATTCCCAGTGGGGAGTATTCAGGAGGCAGGTGATCGATGTTTCTCTCTCATTGATGTTTCTAACTCTCTATCTCTCTCCCTTCCTCTCTGTAAAAACTCAATAAAATATATTTTTAAAAAGACCATACTTCAGGGATGTTATATTGCGACAGGCAGGACTAACAAGTTTGGTGGGTTTAAAGGTATTTAAAAACTGAAGAAACGTTTTACTGGATGTATACTATACCTCAAAAAATACTTTAAGTCACTTTATACCTAGACAAACACTAGGGGAAAGGAAGAAAAAGAGAAGATGGCAAATAATCCTAGCTATGATGGTATGAGGCTATTTTGATGATGTGTGTGACTTAGATGGAAAAATAAGCTAAACAGGAAATAACTAATGCATGGAGTAGTTAAATTAAAATTGTATTGGCTGTTGACGAAGTCTGTAAGTTTTATAAACTGCAGTTACCTAGGAATTCTTGGCGCTTATAGCCAATCTATTTACTCAATATTTGGTATGTATATTTTATAGTATTCACTGTTATCTAAATTTTGTAATATGACTTTCTGACCAAAGTTATTTCAAGAAAACCAGCAACGCTTTGTATTTGTGGAAATTGTGTGGATGTGTGTGCTACAAACCCTAACTTAAGGCTCAAGATTTCTAACCCAGGAGTTCTATATAATGTAGCACCCTCCCATATTCCAGGAGCCTGACTTGGTGGAAGGAAAACTTTTTTTAACACAGTCTGACATATTACCCAGCAGGGAGCACAGCTAACCCTGGAGAAAGACCCCATCACACCACTACTGCCTCCTTATGACACTCAGACAGAGGCTACCTGGCTCCTTCCACCGCTTACCACCAGTCGGCTTTCTTCTTTAGGAGCCAGTCTCCCCAGGAGCTCACAGGCGAGCTGATAGCAGAGAATGCTAGCCTGACACAAGTTACACTCGGTTGCTTTTTCGTCCTTCTGGCAGGTGTGGGAGCCCCCCCAGGGGGCTTGGAAGACGTTGTTTATAATGGAAATTATGTCTTTCGATATGCTGTGCTCCAAACCCATCGTGATCCCATCATCTTGTAACTCCATCTGAAAGACATCAACAACAAAAAAAGGCAAAAAATAAAAGAAGAAGAAGGAGGAGGAGGAGGAGGAGTTTGGTCTTTTGTCCATTATTGCATTGACACACTAATGGGGGAAACTTTTCATTAACTGACAATATTAAATTGTTTAAAGATGGTAAGACTTATAGACTATGAATATATATTGATTTCCATGGATTCTTCTTAAAAGACTATATACATAAAACAAAGTAATGAGAATTGCTTTTTAAATCATGTAGGACATTCAAAGGGAGTTGTTTCTCAAAACGTATCACTCTCTGAGGTTTTACACATTTAAAAAATGCTGCTCCTTACCTAGTGTCCACATTTTGGTTTCTAAATAACATTATCCACTAAAGGGAACCAGGGATCCTTGGAGAAATGGCTGGTTTCAGGGGTGGGGTGAAGAAAATTTAAAATGAGCCTTAATTTCTTTTCATGTCAGAAATTAAGGAAGTATTCAAAGAATGATGGACCATGTCAAAAGAACACAGGAGCCAGCTTGAAGGGACTCCCACTAGCCAAATATGGGATAACACAAGCATCAAAATAAAAGTTAACCCACTGAAACAAATTTTAACCCACTGAATAAAATGAGAATCCATGAGTACATCATATATATATATATATATATATATATATATATATGCCTAAGCGACCTTTACTACTGGTCACTATGATGTGCACTGACCACCAGGGGGCAGACACGCAACACAGGAGCTGCTAACTGGTGGTCAGTGCAGTTTCACAGCCAACCTCCTGGCCAGACCCAATCGGCCCCAATCGCTGGCCAGGCAGAGGTATCCCACCCGTGCACGAATTCATGCACTGGGCCACTAGTAAGTAGATAAACAAATAAATATATAAATGGGAGAGAAGAGAAAACTGTTCCTTCCGTGGAAGCCAACTAATAATTTTTTTAAAATGATGGAATCAGAAAATTATTATTTGATAACCCTCATAGTAATAACTGATTCAGCTATGAATCATCCATGGATGCTAAACTAGCAGGTAAAAGTCCGATGAGAAACAGGAAATCTCATAGTCTTAAAGAATCTCTCTACAAGCTACTTATTAATTACAAGGGAAAATGATGACTTTATAGTAGGGAAATAGGCAAAATTCACCTTAATCAAGCTACTGCCACCAATAAGAAGACATTATCATGTCATGTGCTTTCTGATCTGATGCACTAAAATGAACTCAATATCACATGTTTGTATTAATGCCAAAAAATGCTCAACCCAAATCGTAAGGAAATATGAGATTCAAATTGATGGGCATTCTACAAAATAGACTTTTTTAAAATGTCAAGAACATAAAAGATGCCGGCACCGGTTTGGCTCAGTGGATAGAGCGTTGGCCTGCGGACTGAAGGGTCCTGGGTTTGATTCCGGTCAGGGGCATGTACCTTGGTTGCGGGCACATCCCCCATGGGGGTGTGCAGGAGGCAGCTGGTCGATGATTCTCTCTCATCGACGTTTCTGGCTCTCTATCCCTCTCTCTTCTTCTCTGAAAAATCAATGAAATATATTAAAAAAAAAAAAAAAAAGAACATAAAAGATAAAGACTGAAGAAGTATTCTGGATTAAGACTAATGAGGCAGGAGAAATAACTACAATAAGTGATGCTATATTGTGTTCTCAATCAAAAATAAATTTTTTGTCATAAAGATGATTGTTATATCAATTTTAAAAATAAATTTTTCTGTAAGTTACATAATAGTATTAAAATAAATTTCCTGAATTGATAACTGTACTTGGTTATGGAAAAAAATGTCCTTATATTTTCAGAGAATACATTCTGAAATTTTAAAGATAAAGGAACATCATGCTTGCAGCTTACTCTCAAATGGTTCATTAATTTTTCATACCAACATATACAGAATAAGAGAAAAAGAAAGAATAAAATGTGCTAAATGTTAACATCTGAAAACTTAAGAGAAGTATTTAGGAATTCTTTGTATTATTCTTGCAACTTTTCTGCAAGTCTAAAATCATTTCAAAATTAAAAGTCAAGAAGAAATGCTCCTCTGACCAAACCTCTTAAACTTCTCTTTTAAAATTACCTTCAAAAATCAATTTATAAAATACATTAAACTCAGCCCATCACTATAGAGGTGTACCTTGCTCTTCCCAACAATTACATTACCCAATATGTTCACCAAATGTGTTTAAAAGAATCAACTCTAATGAAGCTAGGGAGTTTCTAAAATTCATATCCATTCTCATATGTCAATATCATTGTAGATATTTATACAAAAATAAATATTTATGCATACTTATTTTTTCAGGCTCTTTAGGAAATTTCCAAAGGAGTTTGAAAAATATCTTCACCATTTCAGTAAGTGTGAAAATGTCCAACACACACCAAAAAATCACTATACAAATGCCTTCACCTCTGAACTAAAGGAAGCTCATGCTTCAGCTACCTGCTTCAGGAGAAGATCAAACATGAGGATGAAACAATTTAGGTTCATTTCATCATCTTCACAATCAAAGTCAATAGTCCTTCCTCCTGGGTGTCCAAAATTCTTGAAAGGGCTACGAAAAGGACTACGCATCGGACTCCGAAACGGACTCTGAAAAGGACTATGAAATGGGCTCAGCATGTTGTGCTGAACTCGTCGACCAGGATCAGAGGCAACACTCACCTAGAAGAAAAACATCAACACATAAGTGAACTTGCAGAGGCTCAAATGGCTGTATAAAATATCAGAAGGTATTTCCAGCTGTTACACCGATTTCCTCTCTTAGCCAATAGTATTAGTACCTCCAAATACTATAAATCTTCTCAAAACATAAAAATAACAAGTAAAATTATCCAAAGTTTCTGCCAAGTGAATAAAACATCAGCATTCTAAATAATGAAGGCAGCTGTCTTTGTCATTTATTTTTCATCCCATCAAACATTTCTAATTAAACTGTCTGCATCTACCTAAAACCATATCCTACCAAAAAATAAAATAAAATAAAAAATGAGAACTTAACTAAAGTAAAAAATTGCAAGATCAGTTTTAGAAATATAAACACAGAATGTCAGGTTGATAAGACTGTTTAAAGACAAACCGCCTCTGGATATTATAATTATTAAACTATCTTGAGAAAACAATACAAGTCAAACCTGTTTGCTGGTTATTCTCCATGTGCCAACACAACCTACCCAGGCTCTCATTGCCCTGCTCTTCCCTGCACCTAAGCCCAAGAATGCCAAGGACTGAGTCTTTCTGGCTCTCTTGCTGGCTGGCTGCCAGATGTGTTAAGTCGATGGAAGGTGCCAGCAGAAGATCCGAAGCTTATGGAGAAACAGGTAGGACTATTCCTCCCACCCTCTGCCTGTTCTGATGCTACATCTCTGGCAATCTCCTCATCATGTGATAGCTCCTCTAGCCAGCCCTCCCCGTATCGTTTCAGCTCCCGTATGGGTTTCAGGAACTGCTTTCCCATGTTCTTCCAGCCCTAGAGGAATAATGGTTTCCTACTGAACTGTGGGTTCACCAATAGCTCACCAACCCTTATTGCTCCCTTAACCTCTCCCATAATTCTATAGGCAGAGTTTCCATGTAAGTCCCTTCATCTGAATCATCTGGAATAAGTTCTGTAGCAGGATCCTAACTGACATGCCTGCCCACCATCAGATGTGAGTTAACCTCTCCAAAACTGATCATGGTCTGGGAATGTCATTACATCAACTGAAATTCTATCAGGCCATCCACAGAAAAAGTATCAAAAATTTTCAACAAACCCTGGCCAGATAGCTCAATTGGTTGGAGCATTGTCCCATACCCCAAAAGGTTATGGGTTCAATTCCCAGTCAGGGCACATACTAAAGATCTTTTGGATGAGTTCACACTCACCAGTTGGGCATGTACAGGAGACAACTGATCAATGTTTTTCTCTCATCTCTCTCCCTGCCTCTGGAATCAATAAAAAACATATCCCCAGGTGAGCATTAAAAAAAATGTCCAACAGTTTTCATACACTTCTCCCATCCACAAAGGTACAAAGGTGGCAATAAAGTGGGTTCAAAGGGGTTAATAAAATGGACTTAGTTGGTTCATAGTGACAGTATCACTTGTGGTCACCACCAGTTGATAATATCTTCCCAAAACACAATTAAAAAAAGAAAACATCCAAACCCTTCATCCCCAAGATAAAGAGCTATCTGCTCAGTAGCTGGTAAGGAATTCTTGTTTGCCAGGAGACACCCAAACCCCCCACCCCAATCCCCGCCAAAAAAAAAAAAAAAAAAAAAAAAAAAAAAAAGTACCCAAAAAGCAGTGTGCGTTTTTTGTTTTGTTTTGTTTTGCTTTCATCAAAGATAAGAGATAGCTAATAGGTATGTATAGGAAAAAAACTGAAAGGAAAATGAAAACTCAATAACAACTTATTACAGTAATTACAGACTTAATCAAACATATATTAGATTAATGCTTTCTATTACTTATGTGTTTAAAAGTTCCAGAGAGAGATGGAATAAAAAGCATTTTCAGAGAAGTTTACATGATGCTACTTTTAGACCTGTTATAATCTGCAAAATCTTAATAAGACAAAAACAGTTGTGGCATAATTACCCTTCGAGCTGCCATGTTCCCTGCCAATTCATTGACTCTTGATTTTCTTTGATTTGCCAGTTCTTTGACAGAATTAACTCCATCAGAAAACATACTTATTAATAGTTGAAGTGGGACCGTGATGTCTAACTCCGATAATACCTGAGGGAAAAAAGGCATATATATCCCCCCAAAATATAAACTTTAAAATTCAAATAAAACTACACTTAACATTTTTAATCAGTGAACTATTGAACATAACAACACTTAGCCTTCCACATATTCTATCAGCACAGTCACCCTCAATGTATTGTATTAAGAGAATCAATGGTACTACTGAACCCCACTCCCCACATCCAATAAATCATCATGTTCTTTCTATTAACACTTTGAAGTACCTCTTTGTGATCCCTCCTTTCCATGCCACTGCTAGTGCCTTATCTCATCACCTTTGTCCTGGACTAGTAATAATCTGTGGCATGTCCCCACTCCCATCTGAATGTCCCATCTGCTCTTGTTCTCTGGAGCAAGCTTAGGTGTCATGCCAAAATCAAGGTACCTTATCTGAAATGAATTTTCTGAAAAGAGATGCCTCCTTCCTTTGGACAGAATTAATCCATTCTCTGCCCTGCTTTCTTAGAATTTTCTATATACCTTTATTAGAGCAAGTATCACTTGGCATTACATTTGATTATTTGATATTATCTCTCCCACTGTGAGCTCTTTGAAGTAGGAGGAAAAGACTATTGCTTCTCTAATTGTATTCCAGCACCTATTACAGCGACTGGCACAGAGGAGCTCTATAAATGTTTCCTCAGCCTATATAATAAAGAGGTAATATGCAAATTGACCATCACTCCAACACATAAGATGGCTACCCCCATGTGGATATAAGATGGCCAGTAGGGGAGGGCAGTTTGCGGGGACTAGGCCTGCAGGGGAGGATAGCTGAGGGGGAACCCAGGCTTTCAGGTGAGGGCAGTTGGGGGTTGGGGGGAACCAGGCCAACAAGGGAGAACAGTTGGGGGGGGGAGGGGACCAGGCCTGCAGGGGAGGGCACTTAGGAAGGTGACCAAGCCAGCAGGGGAGGGCAGTTAGGGGCAATCAGGTTGGCCAGAGAGCAGTTAGGCATATAACAGGCTGGCAAGGGAGTGGTTAGGGAGTGATCAGGCTGGCAGGCAGAAGCGATTAGGGGCAATTAGGAAGGCAGGCAGGCGATCAGTTGGGAGCCAACAGTCCTGGATTGTGAGAGGGATGTCCGACTGCCCGTTTAGGCCTTATCCCACCAGGATCAGGCCTGAACAGACAGTCGGACATCACTCGAGGGGTCCCAGATTGGAGAGGATGCAGGCTGGGCTGAGGGACACACACCCCTCCCCCATGCACGAATTTCATGCACCAGGCCCCTAGTTTAATTAATAAATGAGTCAACTCCAATCATTATATTGTTCTATTTCCCAGATGTTTAGACCAGTGGCTTACATCCTCCTTCAACTGTAGCACTACCTTCAAACCAAAAGCTATGGCAAAGCCCAATCCATAAAAGATGTAAACTGTAATAGTGTTAGCCATGGTGGGGACAGAGGTTTATAGCCCTGTCCCTAGACTGCACAGCTCCAAGGATGTACAACTGAGTAACAACATCTAGCCATCTTTAGAAGAATTAGCTTTCCTACAATGAAAAGTTATCTTATTGAGACCTACCTTGGGGTAAAAATTTAAAGTTCTAGGTCCCACAAGTGACTTTTTTTTTAAATGATCTTCTTTACTCTGTGTCATTTGTGAAACATACTGTTCCTCAGTTTAGAGCCCAGAAAGGCATATTCACGACTTGAGACACTTTACGGATCACATCCTTTCATGAAACAGAAATGTATCTGCATCCATAACCTGTACAGTGGTTCCGTCCTCCTTTTCAAAAACTGCCCAAACTTCACGTCAGGTACTCAACTCAACTTAGTAGACTTTAAAGAATACCCACTAAATTCAAAGCATGTGCCAGATGTTGAGAGATGAAGGGAGTTATAAATTCAAAAATGAAAAAAATGGGAGTCCCAGCCCTCAGGGCATTTATAACCAGGAGACAAGACAAAAATTAACTGTAATATTAGACAGAAATAGTATTCACATAAAGAACCTGTGTGAATACTCAGGGAAGGAAAGAATTCTGTTGGGAAGATCTCTTGGATGAGTTCATTTTTGAGATGGATTTTAAGAGAAAAGCTGGAGTTCACAAGTGGAGACAGGACAGCATGAACTACCCCTTCTATCATTCTCACAAGCTGAATGAACAGCATGAACTACCCCTTATATCAGTAGTTCTCAACCTTTCTAAGTAAAAGACCTATTTAATATCAAAAGCTTATCAGAATCCCACAACACAGCTAGTAAACTTTTAATATCTACTGATGGAAAGATACATGCGGACCAAAAGCTACTATGAAGTTAGTAATAGTACTACATAAATTTGTGTTTTATTAATAAATTGCAACTATAGCTACTACGTATATTTAAAATACAATAACCTATGCATATGAATTATTCACCTGCAGATAGTCCTCAGCAAACATACAGACTATGGACTCTGCAGTAACTCCCCGCTGCTCTACTGGAGGATCTACAGTTCATAGGCTAAGAACTAATGCCCAAAATGGTCAAAAGTGTCATCCACTTACATGCAGCCACAGTAATGCTTGCTCCTGCACAGAAGAAGGGTATCCTGTGAACCGACAACTAATAAAGCCAAACATCTCTTCCATTGAAAAAGGCAGAGGACAGAGCTCAATGTCAAACATTTTGCTGGAAAGCAGAGCAACAAAAGTAAATGACCCATGGGCACATAGTAGGACCTACCAGGGCGTTTCTAATATTTATTTGGGAAGCCAAACACTTGAGATTAGTCTGTGTTCTGAACTGTTATTAGCATGTCTCATTTTACAGGAATAGCTTATGCCATTGGGATAGATATACATAATTCATACGGTTGTTAATAGTGTTAGTGTTCATATTCACATTAGACTCAATGAAAGTCATTGCATTTTTAAGAATGAGAGTAGTTCCCCAGCAACCAAAAACATTTTATCCAAACCATAATTATGTGTGAAAATGAGCAAATAATGTGGTATATCTATTATTCCACAAGAACAAAATATTTTCTGAATAATTCCAAATCATGTTAGCATGATCTATAGCAACTCTTCCATTTGGGCCTTCAAGTTTCTCTATAGGATTTTGTTAAAAAGTAAGTGAGATTATATAAAAGGCTTAGCACACTGCCTGGCTAATAAATGTTAGATATCATTATAATTACAGCGACTTCCTTAAACTACTTACCCACCTTAATACTTCCCTGAATTCTTTTAACTGGTTATCTGGGACTTCTGTTCTGATGGCTTCCAGCCATTCCGGCATAATACACTCCCACACAGACTGATTGATCACATTGTAGGGGATCAGGCAGAGGATTCGGTTGAGACCCTCCTTCAGCTGAGTCACTGTGCTGCAAGACTTATCCCAGTATCCACCAACCTGATGGCATTCAACAGCCACAGAAGAAAAGAACAGAATACATTTGGTTACCATTATATGCAAGGATTCCATTATATCTGAATCCTGAGCCAAGTGTTCTCAAAGTGAGATCTGTAAGAATCTACCATCAGTATCCATTAGTTACCATAAAAAAGAAGAAGAAAAAACATAGTTACAAATAGATCCAAATATTAATCACAACTAAATGAGAATTATCCCACTGAAAATTCCAAAAAGGTCTTCCTACCAGGAACACTATTGGAGCATTCTGTTTCTAAAACCTGACAGACCCATTACAAATATGTGCAGTTGTACCTGTAGTTAAGAGAAAAACAGATTTCTACTACTGTAGACTTTGGTCCTTTTGGGTTTTTAGCCATCAAAAAGCCCAAAAGAACTTTGCTTTTCTTCCCATTCAAGAACTAAAAACCTTGTATCTATGGGTATTGAGAAAGTTATTCATATCTGAGTACTCCTGTATATAGGTGTAAATAAACTTGTATCTCTTCTCCTGTTAATGTCTGTTGCCAGTTAATATGCAGGCCCCCAACCATGGGGCCCGCTAGAGAAGTTTTCCTTCCAATATAATCATTTCTTCATATTTTCAAGAGTTAGATCACACCAGCCCTATGCTATTCAGAAAGAAATAATAATAGAAAACATATCAACAGAGTCAAAGAATGCCAGGAAAACCCAACCAGTGTGGCTCAGTGATTGAGCCTTGACCTATGAATCAGGAGATCACGGTTCGATGCCTCGTCATGGCATATACCCAGGTTTCAGGATCAATCCCCAATGTGGGGCATTCAGGAGGCAACTGATTAATGAGTCTCTCTCATCATTGATGTTCTGTTTCTCTCACTCGCTCCCTTCCACTCTGAAATCAATTAAAAAAATATTAAAAAAAAAAAAAAAAGAATGCCAAAAAGTGGGCAATTTTGATTATGCAAAAATCCAGTTTTATATGTGAGTCAGTAGGTGGCACCAAAGAAGAAGTGCATTTTGATAAATGCTCAAGTCCTAAAAATCTAACAAAAAAGCTATGCTTTTAGATGGTCTGTGTTCTGTTTATTTTTAAATGTCTTCTTTAAAATAAAAATTGCCTCAAGATATCCTTGAAAGAAAATACACACACACACACACAAATTTAAAATAAAATAAAAAACTTGAAAAAAATTTTCATATATTGCTGCCAAAAACAGACTCTGAAAAAAAAAAATTATTCTGGATTAGATACAAATTATAATGTAGTCAAAAAATATGGGGTCTTCTCAACCATACATCTGAAGCCTGGGATCCACTGAGGCAGAGCAAAAGGAGAAACACAGGGAAATTTGACCTATAAGTCAGAGGAGAAAACAAAGATTTGGAAGAGCAAGGACTTCTACCATTCGTCTCCAGAGATATACGTGAAGCCACAGAAACTGCCCATTGTCAAACTTTAGCCCTTCCACAGACAATAGCCCAGAAAAGGACTGAGCTCTAGCAACCTCACAGAAAGTTGTTGTTGTTTTTTTCTTGTTTCTTAATAAAAATATTCAGCAATGTCAGAAAAGAATACTCTTTAAATCATTTTTCCAATGTATTTTTATTGATTTCAGAAAGAGAGAGAGAGAGAGAGAGAGAGAGAGAGAGAGAGAGAGAGAGAGAGAAACATCAGTGATGAGAGAGAATCATTGATTGGCTGCTTCTTGCATGCCCCACACTGGGAATCAAACCCACAACCCGGGCACGTGCCCTAACTGTGAATCGAACTGTCACCTCCTGGTTCATAGGTCGACACAACCACTGAGCCATGCTGGCTGAGCTAAATTCTTAAAGATACCTTACACATTCATCTTCCATTCTTCCCCATCCCAAACCCACATCAAAGCAGGACAGCACCTAAAATGTATCAACTAAACTAAACTCATTTAGCTGTACCGACTAAAATATGAAGGCATTTTCCTCTTCTACCGACACTGATAACACTCTAAAAGCTAAGGGGGTGCTTCTCCCCAAGTCCTTCTCTCCAGCCAGGCCCAAGCTGGAGGCCTCCACTTACCCTGGCAAATTCCATGGGTTTGGGAAGAAGGCACATGACCATGACATCAAAGCGAACATCACATACTGTTTTCAGCCACTTGGTGACAAACTGAGGCTTCAGTTTCTCCACCAAACTTCCAACTTCATCATCCATCATGTAGGCTGTGGAGTGAAACCACTGGAACACCATGGCCACTAGCCTAGCCAAGCTTTCCGTGGGTGTGTTCTCACTGGGCGTGCAGAGGCTCACCTGGAAATAGACAAATTAGACTCTGATTCAGTCTCCATTCATCGTTACATAATTATTCCATCTTCATTTAAAGGCGGAGGGAAAAATAGTTTTCTAAATGAGGGAGGCTCACTTATCTTAGAAACTGTGCTCCTCTCTACAAGGAGAGGTGGCTTGCAACAATCATTTCCCCTTAAGCTTGCACCTTCCAATAAGACTTTTCTCCTATAAGAAATATATTACAAATCTGCACTAGATAGATGCTTGTAGAACGTTGTCTACAAAGTAAATTTTCAAAAATATCTTCAGTAAAAAAAATAATTGCATACATTTCAGGTCTAACATGATCTAGAATTTAGCTGAGAATTTCTATCAGTAATAATTCTAAAATGTTAGAGCCCCCATTCCCTAACCCACCACTTTCTAAAATATACATTTTAAAACAACTAATCATCCATTCATTCGTTTGTTCTTAAATAATCTTTTACTGAGCAGTAGATTTGGATTCAGGAACATAAAAAATAAATAAAACCTTATCCTCGCCTTCAGAAAGCTCACAATAGTAGTCATTGGGTTACTAGACAATAAGTTCTAAGAACAAGACATGTGAAATCAACAACTGAATCCCAATGTGATTTTTTTTTTTAAAAAAAAGACTTTTTCAAGTAACCATGTGAAAGCACAAGAGATGTATCACTATGGAGACGCAATTCACATCTCTAATGGACAGAAACAAAAGTCTGCTTCTCTGCAGAACTGGCAAATCCAGCTTGCTTGAAACTTTGGATTGTATGTTTGGTCTTTACAGAATGAATGTTGCGGCTGAATCAGTCAATAGCAGTCAAATTCCTTGTGTTAGTTTGGCTATAATTTTTTTGGCTGTTAGACAGACTTACAATAACAACAACAACAAAAAAAGTCTCCACAGAGGCTGAACTTTTAAGAAAAATGTCTTGTACACAGAAAATAGGGTGTGAATGATCTGTAAATCATAGTGAGTCTAATATTTCACAATATATAACCTAGCTATTTTCCTATTTGTTTCCTGTCAAAAAGTGCATGTTAAACTGTCTAGAGCCAAGCACAGTAGATTTCAACACCTTGCTACTCATTAGAATCAACTAGAAAGCCCTTTAAAAGTTCTCAAGAATCTAAAGTGAAATCTGGGCACTGCCATTTTTTTAAGATATATTTTTATTGATTTCAGAGATAGAAAGGGAGAGGGAAAGAGAGATAGAAACATCAATGATGAGAGTCATCGATCGACTGCCTCCTGCATACCTCGTACTGGGAACAAGCCCTCAACCTGGGCATGCACCCTGACCGGGAATGGAACTGTGACCTCCTGGTTCAGGGGTTGACACTCAACCTCCGAGCCACACCGGCCAGGCGGCATAGCCATTTTTTAAAAGCCTCCCCCATAAATCTAATGTGCGGCACAGGGTTGAGTGTCACTGTCCAAGGTCCAGTGTCCCATTGCCAAGGTTAAGTTTTCACCATTTACTGTTTAACTTCTTTCAAAAGAAAGGCGAAATTCCACATCAGTGAATGTTAGAATGAGAAATAAGAAAGCAGAAAATAGTCAACTTCTTTTCTTACCAAGAACCAGATTCCAAATTGACTGAGGAGCCGCTGGTCGTGCTTATCGTCATCCTTGTTGTCAAAGTCGGTGTTCTCCAGGGAATGGTGGGAAGAGGAAAGTCCCAGCTGCCGCCTGCGATTCAGCTCGTGTTCCCGCTGCTCAGCGTGGAACTCGGCTTCTTTTAATAAGCTGCCAAAGAGGAGAGATTTTGTTTTTAATTTATTTTAGAGAGAGAGGTAAGGAGAGGGAGAAAGAGAGAAACATCAATGTGAGAGAGCAATGTCAATTAGTTGCCTCTCATACGCAACCTGGCTATGTGATCCATCTGGGAATTGAACCTGTGACCTTTTGGTGTACCAGAACACTCTCCAACCATCTGAGCCACATCAGCCAGGGCCAAGAGAAGAGACTTAAGTTAGACTATTGAAAAACACATTCTGGATCATGACCTATTCAGAGCAATTACTTCATAAACACTTAGGCGTCTTTTAAATTGGTAGGAGTTAATCCAAGAAGCCCAATTTCATTTCCTTACTGTTTTGTACACCATCCTCATTTTATAAATGAGCAAACTGAAGCACAAAAAGGCTACTTCCTCCAATCATTTAGAATCAAGCAGAACTGATGCCTTCCGGCTTCCAGTTCACTGCCCACACCACCAGGAGTCAATGCTCCCCCTGTATCTAACGTGAAGCTGTGAGGACATCAAATGGGCGATGCAACGAGAGACTGAGGAACTTGTACCCAAAGGAAAAATAGCCAGTATCTAGTATTCAAAAACCTGAAAATGAGCAATGAAGACTCCCTTTTCAATTTGCTAAATAAGTGACAGTTTTTTTAAAATAATACCCAATATTGGAAAGGATATACTCAGAACTAGCAATATCATACAGTACTGTTGGCATTATAAATTCATATACACCTTTTAAAAGTCAGCTTGGTAATGTAATAAAGCGATTAAAATATTCATTTTCTTTGCCCTGGTCAACCACATCTGGTCATCTACCCTAAGAAAATAAAAAAATATAGAAACAGCACTACACACAAGAATGTTTATCAAGTATTATAATAGTAAAAAATTCAGAACATTCTAAGTATTTCATGGTGGAAAAAACAATCTAAACAAATAGTACGTATCCACTGGAAATTATAAATATGGGAGCTACATAACAACATTGAAAAGAGCTAATAGTATAATGTTATATCAAAAAGAATTGTGGATGCACTGTGATTCCAGTTAGAGAAATAAAGCATGCATTTGAATGAAAAACGTGTGCAGTATGGACACTTTTTTTTCTGCTTCCGGAAATCTGCGATGTGTTATTGACAAACATTTATCTCATTTCTACTGTGCCAGCCACTGGGATGAAACAGAAAAGACTGAGTGCCTACCCTTAGATCTTGCATCCTCATATTATTGCTTTACTTTTTAAGAATCTTGCCTTAATTGCTGAAACCGGTTTGGCTCAGTGGATAGAGCGTCGGCCTGGGGACTGAAAGGTCCCAAGTTCGATTCCGGTCAAGGGCATGTACCTTAGTTGCAGGCACATCCCCGGTGGGGGGTGTGCAAGAGGTAGCTGATTAATGATTCTCTCTCATCAATGTTTCTAACTCTCTATCCTTCTCTCTTCCTCTCTGTGAAAAACTAATAAAATATATATATATATATTTTTTTTTTTTTAAAGAATCTTGCCTTAATGGATATTATACAAAAAGAGAACAAGTTTAGATGCTACCATTTGTAAAACTCCTTTCTTTGTCCTGCGAGAGAAGAAGAAAAAGCCCCAGGATCAGCCCCTCTCATACTCCACAGCCTCTGGTTGACCTCATTACTGAATTACCCAGAGTTCTCCCCACTTCGCAGCTGTCAGTCAAGCCCGCCCCTTACGCGGGCTGGTGCCCCCACTTTATGCCCCCTAAGACTCAGTGCTCTCCTAGCACCGTGCTCACCGTTCTGGATCAGAGCTACATGCTCCTGTTTTCATAGTTACATGGGTAACCTGAGGGCACAGACGACACTGTATTCCCTTCTGCCTCTCAAGTGCCTCACACATGCCTGGCATAGAACTGGCATTTGACAAAATTATTTGTTGAATGAATGAATGAAAACATCATCACGGCAGCATTGTGCTGGGCTGAGGGCACTTGAGTTTGAATTGGATTTACACCTCTCAATGCGAGAAGGGTGGCTCCGAGCCAAGGCGGAGCTTTCCGGATAAGTGACTGATCAGCTGCCTGTTACCTAATCACGGCCTCCACAGCGCAGACCAGCTCCTCGGCGCCGCACTCCCGCGTGTTGATGGGAGGAGGGGAGGTCTGGTAGAGGTGCGTTTCGGAGGCAGCCCCCACTTCGTTGCTGTGGTGATTCGAGTGGCATCGTTTGCAATAGCGAACGGGCCTGTTTCCGTGACGATCGCAGCACCCTGCTGAAAAGCAGGTGACCACGGCTCTTCTGACATGGGAACTGCAGTTCTAGACAAAAAAAAAAAAAAGTGAAATCGATTAAAATGAACTGCTGGGGCAAATGTGGCTCAGAACTGGAAGGGATGACACTAAAGGGGCCACTGAAGGTGGAAGGTGGAAGTGCCGCTGATTCCTCACATGCAGGTCATCTCTGACCCATTAAAATGACAAACTCAGTCCGAGTTGAAAATGAAGATGAGGAGTATTGTCTCTACGTGTGGGGGGTGGAAACCTTCTGCATATGAGTGGGACCGAGTTGAAAAGCCCTCTGCCAAGTCACCTCAATCATGGGGGCTGGAGAGCTCTCTCGATGATTTTGTGTTCGTTTTTCAAGAATTTTTCAGGAGAAATATGAAGGGGAAAAATTAAAACCATTCCAGAGAGAGCACAGCACAGCACGTCAGCACAGAAAAGGAATGATTGTAACCCCCAGCACGCACATTCCAAATGACCTTACCCACCGCTCAAAGAGCCAGTCCCCACCGCAGCCTGTCTGCCTTGCAGGGCAGGGAGGGAGCTGCACCAGCTCAGCTGACAGCCCGGCCCCAAGCAGGCCTTTCCACTCCCACCGGGACTTCCTGTCAAAACCTTAAACACACATCAACTGACACCACGGTAACAGCAAAATGCAGCAAAAAAACATTCCTAGATCCAGCCATTGTCCATCGTCTACACTCAGAAAGGAGTCAAGAGATAAAGTGACGGAACTGAGAGAAGCGGAGCAGCCTGGGATTCTGAAGTTCAGGGGCTGTGGTCAGGTCTACGCTGACCAGAGGCAGGAGCGAGGCAGCCTCCGCACGAAGAGATGTGAAACATCCCTGGAAACATCCCTGGCCTCCACCAGAACATGTGCCCCCAGCCTGTTAGACCTGCGACCACTGCTCAACTGCTTAGTGTCCAGCTTTTCAGTCTTTCAGTAGAGCTTAAAGAGATGTGAACACCTCTGGGGATATCATAGTCTAAGCCATTGTGAACTCAGAGACTGGAAAACACTCCAAGACAGCAACTTCGGGGAGACAGAAGAAGGAAGGAGGCAAGCACAGAACCTACAGCAAGACATTGCCGATGTACTGAGCTGTGGATCTGAGCAACCATTTCAAAGTAAGTTAAGTTCCACTGCTATTTTAGCAAGAGGCTCTGGGTACTAGTGTGAAATCTCATTTGCTGAAAAGGATTCAGGCCAACAAATCACAAAAGCAAGGTAAAAATTTTATAATATTTTTCATAGTTTTGAAAATCATCTGTTAAACTACAGTGTGTTTCTTCTCCATCTGAAGCCCAAGTCTTCTCTGGCATTCAAGTAGGCCCTGACTCCTCGGAAGGAACTACTTTTCCTGCTTTGTGTCCTTTCTTTTTCTTTTGGACATTAAAGTTCATTCTGCAGTTTTTATTGGTTTGGGACTCTCCTGCTCACTCACCAAACCAATACTACCCCACCAGCAGTGCGGTCTAGATCAGCGTACATCGGTAGTGTTTACTTCTGCCTTTTGGTGCCAATCAGTCTTTGTTCCTCTGGGAGTCTTACTGTTATATAAACAATCGGATGTGGATATGGGTTTAGTGGTAGTTATTTGCTATAATAAAGGCCTGAAGTTTAAGGTCTGCAATTTCCCATCCTGTTTTCTGGTCACAAGTTGTTTACATTCTTCCCACATGCAAATTCCTGGCTGGAGGTCCAAGGTCTTCTCATCTAAATGAAGCCCAGCTGTGGAGGAGGCTCTTTGGGTTTGGTTCCTCAGATACGCCTCTTTGAATCCAGGCTTTGAATCTAAATGGGCTTATAGCTGCTTCAACCAAGAGAGTAAGGCACGAGTCATATCACTCCCAAGGCCAGGCTATAAAAAGACATGCAGCTTCCACCTGACTGTCTAGAACTCTCTCTCTTCAGAAACACCCTCCTTGGGACCCATGGAGAGGCAATGTAAGTCTCCAGCCAGCAATTCTGACTAAGCCTAGCCTTCAAGCCACCCCATCCCGGAACCCAAACATATCATCTAGAAACCTTTAGATAATTCCATCCCTGAGCTATGCAAGTCTCCCCAGATGAGGTTTCAAACATCATCAAGTAGAGACAGGCTGTTGACTATGCCTTGACCCACAGTATCTGTGAGCATAATTAAATGGTTGTTGTCTTGTGTTGCTGCATTATGAATGAATCTTGCACAGTATCTGGGTATCCTACATATATTAGTATCCGGAATACCAACTCAAAGTCAACCTGCTTTATCACCATGTGCCATCAATTCCAAGCAAAAGCAGCAATAAAATACTCTGCCCCCAAATAATGTTTGGTTTGTCAAAGTTCTAAACAATTGCTGTGGTTCCTACTAGGTTTAAAAATATATTACAAGCCACAGATGATGCTCAACCCACATGGAGTCAGCTATTTGCATTCATTTCAACAATACACTAGAGATTTCCCTTTGATTTAGATTCCATTGGGCATGGTGTTCGAATGCTCACCATAGCCATTCTGTTTCATTCACTGCTTTAAGTTTTAAACATAAATAAATAACTCTAGGTGGCCTCACAGAACAGCAGAATTTAAATAATTCGAGGTCTATCTTTTATCTTGACAATCTTGATGCTTATTTCAAACTATTATTCGAGTGTAGGAACATGTAATACCAAAAGTACAAACTGTGCCCAAAGCAAGCTCAAACAATTCTAAACTATTTTGAACTTAATGGAAGGTCTCAAAATAATGTTGATATAAAATAAAATGTTTATCCTATATAATAAAAGCCCAGCGACCGAACAGCAGAAAGACCAGAACGACTGGTCAACCAGTCGCTATGACACACACTGACCACCAAAGGACAGATGCTCAACGCAGGAGCTGCCCCCTGGTGGTCAGTGCGCTCCCACAGTGGGAGCGCCAATCAGCTAACCAGGATGAGCGGCTGCTCCTGCTGCAGCTGCTCAGCTGACTGGCATAAGTGAAGCTCCCACAGCAGTCAACAGCAGTCAATCCTCACAGGCCACGCCCCCACCAGTGCACAAATCCCATGCACCGAACCCCTAAAGAATAAGTAATAAAAATGTGCTAATTTGAAGCTTATTACTAAAAATGTTATAAAAATAATTTTAGCATGTAAAGGAGGAGAGTGTTAAAAAAAAAATTGTCTGCTGTGGGTGTCAAATATATTAGATATATACTGCCAGAGTTGGAACATGCTGATTTACAAAATAAAGCTACTTTTCAACCTAGTCTCTCCAGCTCCTAAAAGATTCTCAAAGTAAGAATAAGGATAAAAATCGAATGAAAAGTTTGCTAAATGGTGCTGATTGCTTTTGCTCAGTGGTTAGAGCATCAGCCCATGGACCGCAGGGTCACAGGTTTGATTCCTGATCAAGGGCAGGTATCTCAGTTCCAGGCTCTATCCCCTACCTTGGACCTGGGCACATACAGGAGGCAACCCATTGATGTGTCTATCTCACATTGATGTTTCTCTCTCCCCTCTCCCACTTTCATTCTCTCTAAAAAATTTTAAAAAAAATCAATAGAAAAATATATCCTTGGATGAGGATTAAATTTAAAAAGCTTGCTCAATGACTGTATGATCCTTTGTTAAAATCTCAGAAAGAGCCAAAACCGGTTTGGCTCAGTGGATAGAGCGTCAGCCTGCAGACTGAAGGGTCCCAGGTTCGATTCTGATCAAGGGCAAGTACCTTGGTTGCAGGCACATCCCCAGTAGGGGGCATGCAAGAGGCAGCTGATTGATGATTCTCTCTCATAGATGTTTCTAACTCTCTATCTCCCTTCCTCTCTGTAAAAAATCAATAAAATATATTTTTAAAATATTTTTTTTAAATCTCAGAAAGATATAAGGTGATGTTCAGTTGAACTGCTCAGCTACAACAGGGCTTCTAATAATTTTAAGGACAAACTGAAATGCCCAAAGTATAGAAATAACTGTCTCAAAAATAATTACATAGATGGCTTTGGAGGCACAGAACCCCAATAAGACTTACTGAAAATCCACAAAGTCACACTAGCAAAAAAGCACCATCAACTTAGACTCCAGCTAAGGACAGACCCAGCTCTACATGAAAATAGGTCTGTGAGACACCCCTCCTCCCCAACTGCTACACACAGGAAGCAGCCTGAGAGAGTAGCTCAGCTGCCACCAGGGCCTTTTCGTATGGAAAAGGAGAGAGGTCTCAGAGAGTGCAGCAAGGTGCCAGGAATACAACAATGGATCTGAGAACCATTCCCAGAAAGCAAAACTAGATTCCACGCACGGCACATTCATTATCCCCAGAGACAGAACTGAAGTGGGCCTGGCTGGAGCTGCTACAGACCAGGGCCTGCTCCCTGCTTCCTCTTCCTCGTCTTGAACAGAAGTCTGTCGCTGCTATCATTTCCCTGTCTCATCATTGTGTGTTGGACTTGTACAGACCAGACGTAACTTGCCTTTTTAGTTCACAGGTCACTGGCTCAAGAGAATTTGCAGCCGAAACCGGTTTGGCTCAATGAATAGATCGTTGGCCTGGGGACTGAAAGGTCCTGGGTTCAATTCCGGTCAAGGGCATGTACCTTGGTTGTGGGCACATCCCCAGTAGGGGGTGTGCAAGAGGCAGCTGACCAATGGTTCTCTCTCACTGATGTTTCTAACTCTATCCCTCTTTCTTCTTCTCTGTAAAAAAATCAATAAATATATTTTTTTTTAAAAGAGAGAATTTGCACCCCAAGAGTTTCATCAGTGACCAGACCAGATGCAGATCACAAGATAATGCACTTTCCCGCTGAAGTCATAAATGGATAAAATTCTTGCACGTCTTGTAAGGTGCTGAGAATATTTTGCATTTGGAGAGAATGTAAGAATGTAATGTCCAGAGGGTTAAATAATGACCACAGAATTCTTGCTGCTTTATAAAAGGGAGTTTATTCCCCTACTCTGTGAAATGGTGCTGGCCTTGGGACTTCCTTTGAAGGCCGGATGAAGCAGAAGTGATGCTGCGTGACTTCTGAGCTTCGGTCTCAAAAGGCCTTTCAACCTCCTCTCTCATTCTCTCAGCACCCTGCTGCCACATGCACAGATCCAGCCTAGCCTCCTGGGAGATGAGACACCTGATGGGAAGAGGGAGGGCTAGACACCCAGTCATCCCTATCATTCCAACCATCCCAGCGGAAGCCTTAGATGGGAGAATGAGGTCATCTGGGACCAGCTAACCTCCAGCCTACTTACCAGTGGATACAAATGCATGAGTGAGCCTCTCAGAGTTTATCAAAAGAAGCTTAGCTAAGCATAGCCAAATTGCCAATCCAAAGAACTGTGATCAAATAAATATGTATTGTCATAAGCCATATGGCAAGAGATAACTGAAACAGTCCTCCAACGGTACTCATTCATGACTTACACCTAAAAAGTTTAAATGACCTGTACATGGGAGGTGGAAATAGAACTGGCCAGAACCCAAGTATCTCAACAACTAATACAAAGTTCTATATGGGACACCATACTAACTTCTCTTGTACTTTCCACAAGTAAAAAGATGGGTATGGTTTAGGGAAACTGTCATGAAAGGCGGCTAGTGAAATTTGAAGGTGGAATCTTTAACTAGAGATAACATTTAATTTACATATAAGTGAATATTTTCCATATATAGTGAGTCTGAGTATGTTAAAACATATATTAGCCTGTTTCTACCCCACTTCAAAGCAATAAAGATGCTTAGCATATAAGCTACATCATTAACCAAAGGTGGTTGCACAGATTATACTGTCATTCAAACCTTTTGTCATTAGAATTCTATTCCAAAGAAATGCATAGCTTTTATTTCAGGTAATTTATCAGAAATATTTGTGCAGAAGATGGGTGAGCAAAAGCAGAAATGGAAATAGAGACCATTCAGATGTAACAATCTTGCATGCCAAATTATTTCTTTTCCCCCTTCACAAATACAGTGACATGTACATACTGGGAAACCATGGTGCAGAAATGAGGCAGATGTCAATGAATGAATTTACATACAAACACAGAAACTCATGCCCCACCACACAGATGGTTTGCTCTTACCTTCTTCTGACATATGGCAGATATTTCAGCTGTAAGGGGAAAGTACACAAAACATCAACAAAGAAAGAGCCCATTTTCAACAAGGACAGCCATGAAGAGGAGTAAAAACAAGTTTTGTAATACAACCTCTAGACTTAGACAAAATAGCTTCTTCCTTGTCTCATGAATTATCACCTATTTATCTTATCTAATAAAAGCGTAATGTGCAAATTGACCATCACTCCAACATACAAGATAGCTGCCTCCATGTGGTCAAAGATGGCTGCCCCCATATGGACACAAGATGGCCAGCAGGGAGAGTAGTTGGGAGGGACCAGGTCTGCAAGGGAGGGCAGTTGTGGGTGATCTGGCCAGCAGAGAAGGGCAGTTGGAAGGCACCAGGCGTGCAAGGGAGGGCAGTTGGGGATGATTAAGCCTGCAGGGGAGGGCAGTTAGGGGTGGACCCAGGCCTGCAGAGGAGGGCAGTTAGGGGTAATCAGGCTGGCAGGGGAGCAGTTAGGCATCAATCAGGCTGTCAGGGGAGTGGTTAGGGAGTGATCAGGCTGTCAGGCAGAAATGGTTAGGGGCAAGCAGGCAAGCAGTTGGGAACCAGCAGTCCTGGATTGTGAGAGGGATGTCCGACTGCCCATTTAGGCCCGATCCAGAAAGGATCGGGCCTAAATGGGCAGTCGGACATCCTTGAGGGGTCCCAGATTGGAGAGGGTGCAGGCTGAGCTGAAGGACACTCAGCCCCATGCACAAATTTCCTGCACTGGGCCACTAGTTTTTAATATCATTAAAAAACACCAGAATGCTGCAAATACTTCACCTATTCTTATAAGTAATTCAACCTTCTCAGATATGTCCTGGAATTCAGATAACTTTCTCCTTACCTCCTGATTTGACAGAAAACAAAATTTTGGGCTACTATGGTTGTATGACTTCTTCAGTATCACCCAGGCTATCAATGGGGGAGGTAGATCAACCAATATGTCTATGGATCCCTCTTTACTGCTGTTCCATTATACTATGACACTGAGTTGATGTGATACTTTGAGAGCTTTACCTTGGGAAGGAGTTTCTATACAGAAAAATCTTACTATTTCAATTACTTAGAGTTGAACTAGCCATTTATACCATGCCTGTCCTAGTGTAAAATCAGCTGCATGCTTATTTAAGAGAAAGCAATTTTCAAACCCACGGATTGACCAGATGGAGTAAGGCTTCCAAACTACTGTCTACTTTAGGATTGACTTTAATGAATAACTGAGAACTCTTATGAGCGGGCATACAAATTATTTCCGTGAAAATTGATGCTTGAGAGTACTTGAAAATAGCTCTTCCGAGAGTGTTAGCATTTCTCTTGAAAGAGAAAGTGTTCAAACAATGGACTGAATTATTATTTACAGTATAGTCTATGTTCCAATTATTAAAAAGATCAAAGATAGCCCTAACAGGTTTGGCTCAGTGGATAAAGCATCAGCCTGCGGACTGAAAGGTCCCAGGTTCTATTTCGGCAAGGCCATGTAACTTGGTTGCGGGTACATCCCCAGTAAGGAGTGTGCAGGAGGCAGCTGATCGATGTTTCTCTCTCACCAATGTTTCTAACTCTCTGTCCCTCTCCCTTCCTCTCTGTAAAAAAATCAATAAAATATATAAATATATTTTTAAAAGATCAAAGATAAATGTCTCCTAAACTTTGTCTGGAAATTATGAATTAGTGGATGCCAATTGATTGAAATTTACAACTCAGTTTTTAATGCCAGTTTTGTGTGATTAATGGCTATTTAACAGTTTGCTACCTAGAGTTTATCTTAATCGGTCTAGTTAAATAATAAAAAGTTATCATTGCCCCACCAGCATGGCTCAGTGATTGAGAGTCGACCCATGCACCAAGAGGTCGCTAGTTTGATCCCAGGTCAGGACACATGCCCAGTTGTGAGCTCAATCCCCAGAAGGAATTATTTTTTTAAATGCGGTCTTCCCTATTTGTTCATTATCTTCCTCAAAAGCCATTTATCGAGTTACCCCTCTGCGCCTCTCTGTACTCAGTATGCTCCCAGCTTTTTCCACCTTTCATCTTTCCTTTGCTTTCGAGTACTTTACCTGGTCACTGTCTCCAATTAGGTAGCTGGAACACCTGCCTCCCATGGGTAGAAAAATACTGCCTTATCTATCTGATCTGTCAACTTACTGGGCTTAGCTTTCAGAACCCTAACAAACTACAAGCATTACAATCTTGTCTCTTCGTTGAGATGGGTCAGATATACTTTATCCCCATTTTGCTGATGAAGAGACTAAGTATCAGAATGATTAAGTTATTTTCCCTAAAAACACAGTTAATAGTAGTGGCAGGAGGAAGTCCAATTATTTCATGTTCTTCCCTTATTCCCATTCTGACCTGCTAAACATATCATTGGTAACACCATTATATATACATAAAACCTCTTAAAACATAATCCAGCAGGGCTTGAATCATACAGAATTCTAATTCCAAAATCTCCCCTTAATTTAGGTAGAAATGATACCTCTCCCCTCATTATTAAATGTGTAGGCATATAACAAGCAAGAAATGGATATAATGCTTCATATCAATGAATATTAATAGAATTTAATACTTCGGTTACTGTCTGTTAAATAAAATGGTACAAAAGGAGACAAATAAACCATGCCATTAGTCATGATTCCTCATGATTCATTCTTTCCGAAGTAAACCATACCTTGAGGCAGAAGAACATCAATCAACCATTCACTGTGGTCCCTATGAAGAAAAACAAAATTCATTTTTTAGCTTCTTAGCTATGTTTCCCTTCCACATGAATGTTTATAAACCATGCACTATTGCTAAGAGGCTTTTAATAGAAAGGAAGTGTAATTAAGAGCATTATCATAATAAACTTTTTCAATGTCTAATGCATTCCAGCTAAATTATAAATTATAGGCATTTCATCATATTCAGTTCTTTAAATGATACTTTCCAGATGCTAATTAAGCCAACCAAAACACATCATGATTTGCACAAAGCGGAGTGTGATTCTGTGAAGCTAACCAGCAAAGAGAACCCACGTGGATTATCCGTCATGTTTGAAAACCACTTTTCTTTTTCTCTATGGCCTTTTCAACCAGGCCGCTGCTTCGGTAAATGGAACCACTTCCTTCTGTCGCACACAAAACCAGTGAAACTCTGCAAAGCTAAAAATCTTTCAAATGGAAGTGTGCTCCATATTAAATACCTGACAAAGTAATCTTCAAAAACCAGAGAGGATAGTGGGAAATGTAGATAATGTAACCAATTTAAGTCTGAGTGATTTTTTTATCATATTGTTGTCCTTCCTTTATACCTACCCCGCTATCCTCTGGCTGCATTCTTCACAGAGATACAACGGGGGTGGTTTGTCACCCAAAGCTACTGACAGGGAAGGGTCTATGCACATCTGAAACACACAAAAAGACAGAATGAACTTTCCTGTCCTGTTTATCACATTCCTGATATCATGAGCACAAATGTTCCCATACTGACAGGTTTTCAAAAGCAAAGTGGAATGAATATGTTTAGCAGAACCCATTCAAACCTGTAACCATTTTTCCTGCACTGGCCCATGAGTCCACATAGTTGATTTAAATGTGGCTACTCTGGTTTTTCATTTCGCTTGTTATTTGCAATTCTGGTAACAAATAGTTCAAGAAATCTAACCTCCTTCCACAAAGATAAAAAAGAATCTTGTTCAATGGCTGCTGAAATTGCCTCTATATTACTCATACAGTATTACCTTCTCAAAAGTGGTAAACAAAGTGTCTCTCTTCAAGAGAAGAAAAATATATTGAAATTGAAAATCATAACTGTTACCAAAAAGCTAGCAGAAGCCTCATTCATAAAATTTAGCTTTGAATCGAACAATGAATGATTCACTTCTCACACACTGGAATCTAAGTTCTACATTAATCATCCAGTGGTTCATTGCCAGGTGTGTGGTTTTTTTCTTCACATGGAACCTGGCATTTGTTTAACCCTGCTGTGCCCTGCTCAGTTTTGGATTATTTATGGCTGAGTTTTCATTAGCCTAAGAACAGAGATGAAAAGCGTTCATTTTACAGTTGATCATTAGGATATTTTTAAATATCTGGATATTTTAAATCAAGTGAACAAAACATTTAGATTACTAGTTGAATTTTGTACTTTACATCAGTTCAAGTTTCTATGACTTACCAAAGTCATTTCGAATTCTGTTCCTGCCCTTCAAGAAATAATCTGTCCATGCTATAGCAAATTATGTAGTAACATGACACAAATTCTTTGGAACATCCTTCTGCCTTTTCTTTGGTTGTTTTTACTGATTTGAAGGGGGGAAGGGAATGCACCAAATTTATAAGCCAAATAGCCTGTCATTTAAAGTTAAAACCCTGAGGTGTTTCAATGATTGTGGAAACAGCATTATTATTCCTAAATTCAAATAATTATACCATCTAAATCTGTAAATTATATATTTCCTGTTGCTAAAGACCCAGTATGAAATTTTTTCTTAGGTAAGTTTCATTCTTCCTTTGATAATTACTTTTTGATATGTTCAAAATCAGGGATTGGCCAACATTCTGTAAATGGTCAGAGAATAAATATTTCTGGCTTTGTGTGCCATGTGTTCTCTGTCATAACTAACTACTCAAACCCAGCCAGCATGGCTCAGTGGCTGAGCATCAACCTACAAACCAGAAGGTCATGGTTCGATTCCCAATCAGGGCATATGCCCAGGTTGCGGGCACAATCCCCAGTGTGGGGCTTTCAGGAGGCAGCTGATCAATGATTCTCTTTCATCACTAATGTTTCTAGCTTTCTCTCCTTCTCCTTTCCTCTTTGAAATCAATAAAAAATATACTTTAAAAAAATTAACTACTCAACCCTACTATTGTAGCATGAAAGTAGATGATATATAAGCAAATAAATAGAACTTTATTTACAAAGATCTGGCTGGTTTGCTGACTCCTATGTCAGAGGCTTATCTAACTATTCATAAAGTGATTTTCAAATAGTAAAACTAGAAGCAGAACGTGATAAAATGAACTATAAACTCCAACATATTTTCATTGGAATTCCTATCCCAACAGCTGGCTTTTGCCCCAAACGTATTTTAGTTTCTGTGCAATCTATTTCAATAAAAATAAATGTTACTTTTCTATTTGGCAAATCATTGCTGCCTTGGTGTATAGCTGACTATTATGGAAATATTGGGCTTTTTGTGAGTACAAATCAAGTTTCCCTGAGTCTTCCCCAGGCACCCAGGTAGACTTCTTCTTCCCCTTTACTTTCATTTCAAATGAGTACAGATACCTCTGTCAGGTACTGGTTTTTGTTCACTCCACTCAAAAGGAAAACTCCTAGGAAGTTAGAACTCAATGGAGATTAGCTAGAAGACCTCTAATGTGTTTGATGTATTCATTAACACAATTCATCTGATCTGGGACTAATAATGCCAATTCTGATCTACTCTGAACAAATCTGTTTACACACATAGTAATATGTTCATATCTGATCTTGCATCAAAAATATTGTTCTCTGCTCATAAATATATTACCAATATAGAGATTTGGGGAAATGGAGAAAAGGAAAGAAGAAAACTTAACTACTTCAATAACCCTCCATCTCAATGCAATCATAGTAACTGATGTTCTGATGAGCATGACTGGTGGTTTTTCTATTAATATAAATATACAGATATACAATTTTAAAAATAAATTGGCATCACACTATACAACTTTATAATTTCTTTTTCATCTAACATTATTCCATTTGCATCTGGAAATTGGATACCCTTGATCTACGTGTCCTAAGGTCATATCCCTGTGCATGTGGGAAGTGCTCACATTGTAAAGAAAGCACAATACCACGCAGACCTGTTGTCATGAAAATACATGTCAACTAACAAGAATGTTACCCTTCTGGGAAGCATAAAGTGAAAATATAAAAGATTTTTTTATATTTTCAGAAAGTAACATTTGGAGGATGATAAAAAAAATGTTTTGGAAAAAGAAGAGGTGGTGGTTACACAACATTATGCAAGTGCTAAATGCTACTGAATTTTCACTTTAAAACCATAAATTTTATGTTGCATGAATGCCATCTCAATTTTTAAAATGACAGAAAGTAGGATGTCTTGGCCTCTCCTGGAGGACTGGCTACAGGGAACCGCCTGTGAGAAAAGCAGGGCCAGGCCAGAGGAGTAAACTGGGCTCTCTGCGTTAAGACAGGGAGGAAACCTGATTTGTGATGAATTCTGTAAGTGGAAGGCCAGAATCATCAGGAAGTGAGAGGACCCCTGTGAATGCAGGATGACATAAAACTAGAAGGAAAATAACTTGGGGGGAAATCGGACAGAAAGCACCTCCTTCCTGTTGACATCTGAGCAAGCCCAAAAAGGGCACTGTGTCAGGCAGAAAGGAGGACAGATATAAAAACTAATTTCAATTATGGGACCCAAGCAGCTCTCACACTTTGAAGAATTAAGCTGAATTCAATGAGTAACATATAAATTAGCATTTCATTCAACAACTTGCTGACGATTTGACCACTGGCAATACAATGTGAGACCAGGTCTCATGAAACAGTACCTTCACTGCTGGTTTATTAATTGCGTTGTGGCATTCAATGTGCTGACAGTGGATGGGATTCCAAGCTGTAAAGCAAAAACATAACTGATGAATACTTCTCATTGAAATGATTTGTGCCCTAGTAAAAAACAACACAGCGGATACTTCATTAGTTTTCTTTTACCGAAATAGATTCATCCTCAGAAGCCTTCCTAAAATGAATTTTAAATATATGAAAAATTTTTAAATTGAGCAAAGATATCACAACTCCATCATCCATTTTCCTATGGGAGGAGACAATCTAATATAAGGTGGCATACACAATATCAAATATTACCTCACAGTGATATACCATTGCTAAGTTCTCTATGATTTCACTGGATCCTCCCAACAACTCTGCGGGATAGATACAGCAGATCATTAACCTCATTAAATATATGAGTAAGTTAAAGTTAAAATGGTTAAGTAACTTGCTATGATCACAGAATTAGTAAACAACTAAATGAGAACTAGCCTAGTCTAGCTAGGACTAGAATTTGGTTCTTGACACTCTGCTCTCTTCACTATAGTATATACTATGCTAAACACCCTAGATTTTTGGCACGAGGCAGTGTTTCAAATTGATAGCAAGTGAAATGAATGATAAAGCAGCTTCCACCATTCCATTCGCCTCCCCACCCCATCAAATTGGGAGACTGGAAAGATCACTTTCTTGCCCGAATGAAATGCAGCTCTCTCACACATGTGACCCACAAATTAAGTCTCTGCTAGTTTGCTAATACCCAACTCCTTAACACAGTATAACAGAGAATAAGGATAAGAACCAAGTAATTATCATCATCCAGATGATTCTGTAGCCCAAAGCACTTAGCTAACATTACAAAGGTAATAGAATTATAAGTTGAAAGTAGGACATTTTTCTAAATTGCCATATTATAATCTTATAGGATCATGTTTGGCCTAATATAGAAGAATTTGCAGGTGAGAGGACATTGTTACTTAGTTACATATCAAATTATAATTCAAAAATATTTACTATGTTCTAAACATTTTATAAAATTTTCTATCTAGAAGTATTTTAACTTCAAATATTCTATTTTCAATATTCAAATATTGTTAGACTAAGCATAACATTTTGTGTCTAATTTGCAATTTAAGAAAATACAATCAACAGGCAATTGACCTTAAAAAATATACAAAGAAGAAAAAAAAGTAAGTAAAGATAAAAACCACTACTCTTATAACAGTATTATACTGCTTATATTTTTAGAGAATGAGAAAGAGGAAATGAGTAATAGTAAGAAATAGATGAAGAAATTATTTGAATATAGGCATTCTATAACTATAAGATTTGATTCCTACATGTGAGAAAGTCAAGATGAATACAGAGTATAGCAAACCTTAAAAAAAAGAAAAAAAAAGAAAAAAAAAGAATGCCTTTAATTGGTATAGAAGTTCCAAATACATAGGACATGTAGCCTCATTTATCCAAACCCAAATTCATAACAGATATCACTAACACATAAGAGCATTCTGTCCTGCTGAGTCCAGAAATGGCCTCAGAATACTTCTCAAAACTGAGCTTTTAGGAAGTCACCATTAATCAAAGATGAAACCATCTCTGAACCATCAGACTTTGCAACAGCTATAGAATTTGATAAAGGTTATAAAGATTCCTGTTCTGCCAGAGAATAATGCTTTATATGTGGATGGTGAGGATATGGAGGAGATCCTATTCCTATAATTTTTTATTCCATTTTTACAGAATCAAACTGAATTAAGAGGAGATAGTAGAATTTTTAATTTAAGTTCACCAAAGTCACACTATATTTAAGTTTACTAGAATAGTGATTCTTAGCTTTGGTTGTGTTTCAAAAATCATCTGTCAAGCCTTCAGAAATATGATGCCTAGACCCCATGTTAGATCTACTGAATTAAAAAATCTCTGAAGCTAGAGCACCAGCAGTTGTAATTGGGAAAACATTACAACTGATTGTAATGTATACTTTACCATAAGGCAGATATAATAAAGATAGATCTCCCTTCATTTGAAAATAGAATAAAAAATATAGCATAAAAACATGGCAGACAAGGGCTCTGCTTCCTACTATGACAGAGTAACTGGTATTAGACGCGCTCTCCTACCATAAACAACTAAAAACATGGAAAATACATATGGAACAACTATGTTCAGAAATCAGACTTCATGTAGTACAGGACAATGATCCTTGAGAGAAGAGAAACAATGAAATGACTCCTACAGCCACCCTGGCTTTCTTCCTGAAAGCAATTTTCAGACCTTGCCCTAGAAGAGGAAATATAAGCACAGTAGGTTGGTTTTATTGAGTTGAGGGGACAAAAACTGGCATTTAGAAAGGCAAGGTGACTTAAATTTGCTAGGTAGAGTACCAAAGAAGAAGGAGCTGAGCAAAGTACAAGCTCCAGAAATCTGAGTAGGAGTCCTTTAGGGGGGGTTGGCTTTATATTAAGCTGAACATGTATAATACAAACTTAATTAGGTTTCATAGAGGACAATTATGAGGGATTTATAACCTAATAATTAGTATATCTAATATAGGGTTGGGAAATATTCAAGTTCCAACCAGCCAGAGTGGAGGGAACTCAGTAAAATCCTGGAATATTCAATGGAGACTTTAGAAAGTCATGTCATAGTAGAAGAGCTGAACTAACATTAGTGAAAAAAGCTACCCCAGACTTACCCTAACAAAGCATTAAGAACAAACCTTGGAAGGGTTAAGCTAATCCACCAGTAACTTGACTATCAAAAGAAACTTTAACACACTATAATGGAAGACAACAAAATCCAGACACTTCATAATGTGGTATTCTTGAAGTCCAGCATCCAATCAAAAATTAATATTTGAAAAGGAAGGAAAATGTAACCCATAATTGGGAGAAAAACTGGGCATTAGAAACAAACCCAGAAATTACAGAAATGAGGTAGTTTTAGCAAACAAGGACTTTAAGACAGCTATTGTAAGCATATTTAAAGAAAAATATGAGCACAATGAGGCCAGATATTGAAGATAACAAAAGAACCAAATTAAATTTCTAAAAATTAAAAATATAATACCAAAAATGAAAAATTAACTAAATGGGAATAATGGCAGCTTAGACAATGTAGAAGAAAAGATCTGTGAATTAGGAGACATAACAACAAAAACTACCCAAACTGAAATAGTAGGAAAAAAATAAAGAGAGCTTCAGTGAGCTGTGGGAAAATATCAGGCAGAGTAAGCAAGTGTGTTTAAAAGCCAAAATGGTGCAACAGGGGCAGGGAGTGGTGATTTTTTTTTAAAGAAAAAATGGACAAAATTTTGCAAGTTTGATAAAAACTATAAACCCACAGATCCAAAAAGCTCAATGAATCTTAGGTAAAATAAAAGCAAAGAAAATCACACCAAAACTCATTAAAATCGAACTGATAAAACCAATGATAGAGAGAAAATCTTAAAAGCAGCCAGGAAAAAAAGACACATTACTTACAGGGGAACAAAGATAAGAATGATCGTTGATTTCTCGTCAGAAACAATGCAAGCCAGAAGACAATGGAACGACATCTTTAATAGGCTGAAAGAAAAAAACTGTCAACCTAGAATCTTATACCCAGTGAAAATATCCTTCAAAATTGAGTAAGAAATAAAGACTATTTGAAGACAAACACTAGAGAATTTATTGCCATCTAAGCTCCACTATAAGAAATATTAAAGAAAGTTCTTGAGGCTGAAGGAAAGCTAGGACTTTCATAAAGGCAAAAAGAGTTCTGGAACTTAGTAAATATAATGAATAAAAGACTTTCTAATCAGATTAACATGTTTTCAAAAGATGATTGATTGTTTAAAACAAAAATAATAGCCATGTATTGTAAGACCAATAATATATAAAGAATTAAAATATTTAATAACAAGAACAAAAAGGATGAAAAGGGGGAAATGAAAGTGTACAGGGTTCTAACATTACATGTAAGCTAGTATAATATTCTTTTAATGGAGACTGTTAAATTAAAGGTATATATTATAAACATTAAAGCAATTTTTAAATGTATGTATACCTAGTAATTCAATACAGAGATAAAATGAAATACTAAAAATAATCCAAAAGAAGATATTAAAAAGAAAAGAAACAGAATAGATGGGACAAGTAGAAAACAAGTACAAGATGCCAGGCTTAAGTCCAACTGTATCTGTAGTTACATTAAATGTAAATGGCCTAAACAATAATTATATTACATGTAAATGGTCTAAAGGTCATCAAATAGATTTTAAGTTTTTTCAAAAAGCATGACTCAAATATTTGCTGCCTATGAGCAATACTTGAAATATAATGATAAATATATTAAAAGTAAGCAGATAGAAAAATTAGTGCCATTATATATGATTAGCATACATTAGCAAATGCTAATCATAAGAAAACTGGAGTGTCTATATAAATATCAAACAAGTAGACTCCAGGACAAAGAACATTACCAGTAATAAAGAAGAACATTTCACAATGATGATATGGTCAATTCATCAAGATGACATAATAATCATAAATACCATGTACAGTTAATAGTAGAGTTTTAAATTATATGAAGCAAAACTGACACAAATAAGTCCATAATTCATGTTATAAATTTCACCAATCTTCTCTTAATAATTCATAAAACAAGCAGACTGGAAATCAGTAAAAATAGAAAGCTTAAACAACATTAACAACTTAACCTAATTAATAATGATAGAATTCTCCACTCAGCCACTGCAGAATATACATTATTTGCAAAGTTCACTAACAAAAACAATATTTGACCCATAAAATAAGCCTTAAAAATGTATATGTAGCAATACATAGAGTATCATTCCTGACCACAATGAAATTAAACTAGAAATAACAAAAACATACCTGGAAAGTCACTAAATATTTATATTTCTGAAAAATACACATCTCAATAATCCATAAATCAAAGAAGAAATCACAATGAATATTGGAAAATATTCTGTACTAAAATACAATAAAATGACAGCATATCAAATTTGTGAAATGCAAGTAAAGCAACGTTTAAGGGGAAATTTATAGCTTTAAATTA